CAGAATGTCCAGAGTGTACTGATGTTGGGAGAGGGAGATGGTGCGATTGCTTAGGTCTCTAGTGATGGAAATGCCAAGTAGGTAAGAAGTAGGGCCAAGATCACAAAGCTTGAAGTGCAGGGAGAGGTCCTTGACAACTTGGTCAAGTGCAGAAGTAGAAGTGGATGCCAGTGTCATGTCATCAACAAAGACAGGCAGGATAATGCGCACATCAGCTCTGTTAAAGACATAGATGGCAGAGTCTGAATAAGTACGCTTGAATCCGAGTTTTTCAAGCACAGTGTGCATCTTCTGGTTCCACATTCTGCCTCCCTGCTTGGTCCCATAGATGGCCTTGTCCAGCTGGCAAACAAGATTGCGAGGGCCCTGATGGAATCCCTCTGGCTGATGCATGTAGACCTTGACATCCATGACTCCATTCAGGAATGCATGGGAAATGTCAATGGAGCGCAAATGGAGGTTGTGGATGGCTGCAATGGCAAGGACAACTCTGATGGATGATATGCGGACAGTAGGTACAAATATTTCGAGGAAATCAAAGCCAGGGCGCTGGTTATAACCTTTGGCCACATATTTGGCCTTGTAGCGCTCAACAGTGCCATCTGAGTTGCGCTTGATCTTGAAGACCCACTTGCCACCAATAGCCTTGACTCCAGGAGGTAGTTCCACTAGTGACCAAGTACCATTACACTCATGAGCTTGAAGCTCTTCCATGGCTGCCTCTCTCTATTTATCTGCATCAGGACGCTTCATTGCATCTGCAAATGACCTAGGCTCAGCAGAGTCTCCAAAGTGTGCCACTTCATCATCAACTGCCTCAGAATCACTGTCATCACTCTCAATGGCAGGAGTAGGTTGTCTGTGTAGAAGCCACCATGGTCTAGGTGGTCTCCTAGCCCTTACAGGGCGTCTCAGTGCAATAGGCAAGTCAGGAGAAGGTGAGCGATGAGGAGGGTGATTTGGAAGCTCAGGAAGTTGATTCACAGGTGGTTTTGCATCAAGGTCCAAATGAGGCCCATTGTCAGGCAATGGCTGAGGCTGCTGAAGTGCAGCTGGTGAGCCCATATCTCCCCCTGGACCTGGTGCAGGGACATCCTCAATCAGGCCCAATGGCATGGATAGCAAAGGTGGAGTGGGAGGTGGAGGTGGGACATTGTCAGAAGACCTCTTCAAGCCAGGGAAGTAGCGCTCATCAAAATCAGCTCTCTCAGAGATAACAGTGCGCTTGGTGGTAGGATTGTAGAATTTCCATCCCTTGTACCCCTCAGGGTAACCAATGAACACACATTTCTCCATATGAGAGCCAAAGACGCCTCTTTTGTTCTTTTGCACATGCACATAGGCAGTGCAGCCCCAAACGCGAAGGTGAGACATGTCAGGCTTGCATCCATACCACAACTCAAATGGAGTGGCATGGGCCACTGCATCAGTGGGACACCTGTTCCAGACATGCACCAAAGCAGACAGACATTCACCCCAGAAGCTGTTAGGCAATGCAGACTCTGATAACATGGCAGTGATACGCTCAGTCAGAAGTCTGTTTGCTCGCTCTGCCACACCATTCTGCTGAGAACGATTCCTGGTGGTATGCTGTCTGACAATCCCATGGTCATCTGTGAATTGCTCAAATTCCTTGGACATGTACTCTCCCCCTTTGTCATTGCGCAGAGCCTTGATTTTGCACTCCAATTGAGTCTCAGCATAAACCTTGAATCTCTTGAAAGCATCAAAGACATCTGACTTGGCCTTGAGAGGCACAACGACACAGAATTGACTGTGATCCAAAGGATGAGCAGAGCGAGTATCAGATGAGGGGAATGGATTGGCATGCATTTTGCCAGACAAGCACGGTTCACAGACAGGATCAGGAGCAGCCTTGGATTCCAGTGTAAGCCCAGTGACCAGATCTCTCTGTATCAGTCTCTTGACATCAGCATGATGGTGGTGAGCCAATCTGCGATGCCAGAGCATCAAATCAAGTGGTATAGTTGCAGTAAAATGTCCCAATTCAACATAAGCAGCAGTAGATCCATCAAGGAATGCTGCATTGTTGTCATTGATAGTTGCAGTGAACAAGAGAGTGTTGTCACACATAAAGGACATGGAATGAGACGAAATGGTGACATTAAAACCACTTTGACGAGTTAAATACAAGACTGAGAGGAGATTATTTCGAAGATCTGGTACATGGAGCACTCTAGAGAATTCCACAGCCCTAGCCACTTTGCCATTCATCACAGGATTAAACACCACAGTACCAACACCAGCTGAATAGACAACAGTGTGATCAGCCAGCTTGATTGGCACACGATATGGGGTATAGTGGTGCACCCAATGATGATGAGGTGTCATATGAGAAGTGGCGCCTCTGTCTGCATTCCAATCAAAATCAGCATCAAGTTGGAGAGGGCAATGAGGATCAGAGGGATGAATAGAACAAAGACTTGCATTTCCAGCTGATTCAGTGACCACAGTAGATGAATTGGCATTGTTGGGCGAAAATTTGGGCTGCTGAGAGGTATTCTGAGAGTTGCTGGAGCCTGCCTGAGCCTTATTGCCACACTTGTAGCGATTCTTAGCACCCTCCACTGCCTGTTGGCGACTAATAACGTATCTGTGGCATTTATCCTGGGTATGACCAAGTAAACCACAGAAATCACACTGAATGCGAGTAGAGGTGGTGGATTGGTTGCAATGATGGCAGTTAGGATGGGTACAGGTGCTATTGGCAGTGGTAGACAAAGAATGCAAGGCAGAATTGACTTCAGCACGACGACGGCGATTGACCTCTTCAGCAAGGAAAGCATCCCTGAGCCGAGTCTTATCCAAGGTGCCCAGAAGCAGTAAAGACGAAGTGAAGTGGGCATATTGATCAGGAAGCGCCCTAATCATGGCCATACATGTCAATTCATCGTCTAATTCAGACAATGAGAAGCCAGTAGGACGAAGATTTTGAATCTGATGCATGCCTTCGTCAATCCTGGTCATGAGAGACTGCAGGGACTCATCCTCCTTCTTTCTGATAAAGAAGAAGTCATCATAGGCGTTAAATCTTGTCCCAGGCTTCTTAGAGACGTGCACAATGGCCAGTTTCTCCCAGATCTTGACAGGATCATCAATAATGCCATCAAGATGGATGCGCTGCTCTTTGGTGACATTGAGGTATAATGCACCAGCAGCCTTTTCAGCTCTCAACTCCCATTTCTCTATTGCTTCAGCGTCAGTCCCAGGACACTTTTCAGCGCCAGAGACGAGCCTCCACAATCCCTTGGTCATCAACCAAGCTTGCATTTCACCACTCCACTGGGGGTAGTTAGTGCCAGACAAGGGATGGAACTTGGGATCAGAGTCAGACATGATGGGTGTTGTATAAGACAATAGAGAAATGATAAATGATGTAGGAGACGGCTATAGGCGATGGAATAGTGGCAAAGACAATGGGCAACAGTAGGAGGCGAGCAGATAAGATGGTGAGGCGGTAAAGAGAGGATATGGAGAGGGTCAGAAAGCGCAAGGATAGGTCCAAATAGGGTCCAAAAAGTGTCCAAAAGCGATCCAGGAGGGTGCTAAGGCTTCCTAGTGCTGCTACAGGGTTATGCCTGTGTTCCCCTTTCAATTCCACACTGATATTAACAGAGAAATCGCCTCAAGACAGTGTTGGTTAATAGGGCTTGTATATGAGTCAACAAAGTGACTTGAGCTCCCCAAACACCGCAGACTGAGAGAGGCTCTAGGCAACAGCAAACTGAGGCAATGCAGGCGAGCTTCACAGTCTATAGACTTGTTCTATCTGATAATGGACAGAGTAGAGAAGATTGGAGCTTTATGCACACACCAGATATGCCAAAAAGCGAAAAATAGGGCAAAAAGTCGAAATTGATGCAGAGACAGATAAGATGGATGGATTGCCCCCAAATTGAGGGTGTAGAGTGCGATAGTATAGGGTAGTAGATGGCTCAAATAGGGCCAAGATCTGAGCACAGGATGTGGAGATATGGAATAGGGGGCTAAAAGGTGATCAAATGATGATGAAGGCTCACAGAAAGACCAAGCTCAAATTCAACCGCTCTGATACCTCTCCTAGGGTTATTTAGGCCGTAGAAGACGATGGTAGAAGTTACAGGACAATCAGATAAGGATTGGGCGAGATATGGTGCAGATAAGGCCAAAAAAGCTTCCAAAATGGGGGTAACTTGCAACAAGGAGTTGTTGTTGGAGATCAAGATGAGATCAGAGTAATCTGAGGTGATGGATGAGATAATAAGAGTCCCAGAAGACGATGGTTATGATGGATAAGCAGTAGGACGCTTGGATGGTGAGATATGAGGTCAGGAAGATGGCTAGAGCACAGGGCTCATAACCTATTAAGAACAAAGCTTGAAGGAAGTGTCTAGCCACTTGCTGAGAGCAATCAAGGACTGGAACTAGAGTCCAATGTGAGTAACTTTATTATTAGAGAGTATGACAGGTATACAGTACCTAGAGTCCAATATGAGTAACTAGAGAATAGGAAGCATTGGACTCTGCAGTACTGTCCGAAGTTTTATAAACAAAGGTAAACAAAGCAGCCACAAAGGCAAAATAATAGAGAACACAATCAATAGTGAATGATAGAAGAATAGATAGAGAAAGGAATGAAAATATATAGGTAGCACAAAGGTGCAGAATCACCAAAACTAACACCAAGTTTCTCAAGTCTCTGAATGAACTGTTGTAAGTCTAGTTTATTCGGAAAACTACTGATCCACTACGCTATAGAGAGACTTTATACTGCTACGGTAACAACGGGATCAGCTCACTGAGTCCAACAAGTCCGTTGGTAACTATTGATCCATAAGGAACAGGATAAAAAGGAATGAGGTGGTGTGGAGTCCACATGGTAACGAGCGATGACGGCCAGCGTCAGGTAGGATCGGATCGGGGTTAGCCACGTTACACAATGCCTTATTAGGAAGGGACGTGAGAAATGTCATGAGTGTGCTCTGACCTAACTTTCATCCAATGTTTCAATGGTACCACCACCCTGAAGTTTTGCCTAGACTAGCAGTCGTCCTGTAAGGAGCCTTGGAAAGCCAGAAATTCGAGATCAGAACGTAGCCCTGTAGGCCGACGTGGAAAAGCTGATTCACGGTAGATTTTTCATTTAATGTGAAATTCCGTGTACTTACGATTAGAACCCGAAAGTACTGATTCAAAATTTTACTGTTCACCACTGACAACAGAGGCATAAAAATGAATACCGTGACTAAACCTGTCGTGTATGTTTCTTGGCCATTAGCACCACTCACTTTGTCTCTGGTTTGCACCTCGCTTGCAGAGCAGGACATATCGAGCGAAATCGTTTCTTCCTTGCCAAAATCTTTTTTCAAGTTAATACAGTGGTCAACTTACGACTCCATCGACCATGAGCTTACAAAATCTCGTCCCTTCGATGTCCTATCTTCATCGTATACTATTCGCAAAGCTTTAATCAGGAAACACTTTCTCTCGCGATGTATACGTTCCTACATCACCAAACATCCCGAATCTTTGCTGAAAAATTCTGTTCCTCGAACATGGGAACTAGACATTGCATATGCCGACGAACTTGATGAAATGTGGAGCGACGAACTTTGGGACCTTGGCAATGAACTAGACTCAGATAACCCTTTAAAATCTCATTGGTGGATTTTGAAACCTGGAATGGCAGACAAGGGTATGGGGATCAGACTATTTTATAGCAAAGAAGCTTTGCAGGATATATTTGAGGAATTTGATCGTGATTCGGAAGGCGAGGAATCAGATATGAATGATACTTCTGTCAGTACTTCTCAGCTGCGACACTTCGTCGTCCAGGTAATGTCTGCCAAATTTATTCCATATTTCCACGTCATTGACTCGTATACAGGAGTACCTACAGTATCCGCTGTTGCTCAACCCTTCTCATATTTCTCATGCCAAGGTCCAAGGCAGTTCAATGGGCCACAAAGTTAATTGATTATTGTCTCGACCTATCATTCGATCGTGACGTTTCCATTCTATTAGTTCCACCTGCGAGTATACTGTATAGCTGCAGGTGCCTTGAAACTCTATATGTACACTCGCATATTGGCACTTTTCTCGTCTAACCCATACACTCCACCAAACCAATCCAACGGATCTATAGACCTCACGCCACACCTCACAAATACGTCATTACAGATTGATCGAGGAGAAGCGGGAGTGCGTCTTTTGGATGAGCTTGCAGGTTGTCAAATCTTTTCCCTGGCTCAAGATGTAAATCAAACGAACGCTTTTACCTCCGGTGACATTCGTTTTATCAAAGATCAGATGGCCAACATCCTCGCTGAGACATTCAAAGCTGCATTAGAAATGCCTGTTCATTTTCAGGTAAGCATATACTGTTATCAACGCACCAAGTGTCGTAGAAAATGCCCTCTCAACTTGTGATTGCCTAGGCGCTACCCAATGCATTCGAATTATACGGTGTCGATTTCTTAGTCTCTCATGAGCCGTATGCTATGGGACCGACAAAAGATCCACCGATAAACCCACCATTTCAAGTGAGACTCCTGGAAGTCAACGCAGAACCTGCCATCGAATTGACTGGCGCGCGATTGACCTGGATTCTGGAAGACCTGTTCAAGGCCATAGGTCAAGTTTGCGTACATCCGCATTTCTGCGAGAGCACCGAGGAAGGGATAGACGCCGAATCTGCAGACTGGGCCGTGGGAGAAGTCCGTTATAACTTGCATAAATGTCTTGAAGTTCAAGTGCGAGGTTCCGGTGGGTGGTAGTGGGCTTCTTGCAACTTTTTCTTTTTTTGGGTGAGTGTTTGGATATTTCTGCACATCTACATTTTCTAATGTAGCTGAACTTTCAGGGTCTTATTAAAAGAATCGGTATCTCATCCTGGAATAACTCTGATAGCAGAAATGTGGCCCAGATGACCTCACATAAAATGTATCAGAGTTTCGATTTTCGTGTGTGCTGGTGCTGGCCGTCGTCGACAAAACTACGCATTGCTGGTGGTGGTGATGTTGTTCGAAGTGCTTTTGCAATGAAAAAGAGCAACACATTATCACGACGTGATAATTCTTTTGTGCGGGTACGTGACATGCACCATAGGCAAGAAAACGTGGCGGTTAGTTTGATGCTGCAGCGGTCATGTGCGTCAACCTAATAATCCCGGCCTCTGTGCCTGGCCACCTAAGACGCCGCCCGTTGTCAAAGACAAAAGATCATGCCAGTTAGAGCTCGACAATACTGAGTTTTTGAGTAGTAGCACGGACGATTTGATGTCGCGCGTCAATCATTTAGTTAGGTCTCAATTTAGCTGGCTCCAGGCAAGTTTAATTGGACGATGTAGCAAGAGAGAACCTCCACTTTAGGTGCCAGATTCAAAACTTCTGGGTTGTGAAGTTTAAGATTACACAGAGTGTGCTTTTTCACGAACATAGAACGTTATGGATTATTCAAATTGTGTTGTATGTATTAAGTTGTGGGTCAATGATGGCCTGGTTTTTTACAGAGGTGAAATCTAACATGCCAGCTATGTATCAGAACAACTTCTTCTGCGCTGAGATTTCTACAAACATTCAGCTTACACAATGGCTACTACGTCGTGCAAATTGAGAATACCAGCATGTGAAATTTCCTCCCTGTTTTTGAGTTTTGGCCGCGAGTCTGTGACTATTGTTACCTGACTGGTACACAAAGCTTCTGTCATTCACTGCTCTGCGCTGGTTGCTGCGAATAGCTTCTGGTGCTTGCACTTGTCTCTGAGATGAGGCTTTGGCAGAGCTTTCTGTGTATACATGTAAGAGCTTATCCGGAGCCTGCGCTACGCTTTTAAAAGCCATATACATTAACTTCGCGAATTTGTTTAGATGGGAACAACAACAATATTTAAAAAAAATGTAAACTATCACATATGTGCATTGTACAAAATACAGTGTAAAATAACCATCCTACTGTTGGCAAAAAGCTGAGATATCATTCGTGTTTTGGACGTTTCTGGGACAGATGTTGTGAGAAATAGACAATGCTGCAAATATTCGATAGAACCTACCGATGGTGAGCTAGTCCTCAAAACGTCATGTTTACACTTCCTCGATATGATATCATCTTTCAAGTTGGGGATTTTCTAGTTAGAAGATCAGAAAGAGCGATGCACTACTCACAATGGATAGACCTATTCTCAGCATGTAAGCGCGAGGAACTATTGGAATATTCTGCATCGGCTTCTTTCTACCACACGAAGGCGCAATATCAATGGTGAGGCGAAGCTTATGAGTTGGATAAACGCACCTCTGTTTCTACACGGTCTAGTGTGGCTATAAGCTCGCGAATAATGTTTATCTCTGCTTGAATAGTAATTTGGCGTCCCATAAGTGGATTGACAGATGCTTTGCTAGTAGTTTGGGCGGATGATAGGTGTTTGAAAGATGGTTGAAGGTACGTTCACATTGACATGCGATGGCTTTCTCAGTGTTGAGAATGCATGATTGAAGTCTGTTGGCTTCAGCTTCGGACTGCCTTCTCAGCATTTTGAACATTTGCCTCTCTTAGTAGGTAGAACAATCAGTAGCAAAAGCAACATCAGTTGCATAACAGATACACTCACCTCAACTTTATCACGTCGGAATTCAAGACATAGTCATCCTTGGCGAAGGAAAAGGCAGTCAGTCTCCCATCGGACTGATGAAGACGTTGGGTCGTGGGGCACTTGAAGGGACCCCCCCCACCTCCCCCTGTTGGGTGATTTTTCGATACACGCAACACAGAATACGTGACCTACACAACAATTTGCTTCAAATTGATACCTCTGAAAGACAATGAAAAAAGACTTACCACAGGTAAAGGCTTGGTACATGAATTATCTTTGCAAGAGAACTTGTCAAAACAGACGCAACATTTCGGGCGCATGATCGGTGTGCAACCTTTAACAAAGGCAAGAGTACGATTTAGGATAGTGAGAACACCCTTTATACTCCTGAGCCACTGATTATAATATTAATTTTCATAGCATATAACGTGGCAAGCAGAGCACTTACCTTGCATGTCACGGAAAGATGTGGAAGGCATGAATGAACAAGTCAAATGTCGAGGTCCTAGGATTCTACTAGTAACATACAACATACTCGTCTCGGCTGATAAGCATTGCATCGTTGGACAGGGTGTTGATTTTGAAAGAAAAGACGCAGATTGTGATTGGATATCATCAATCTGTGCGTACCGGTGACCGACACGTAGAAGTCAGGTCTACTGGCCATTCGTGGAGCGATTCAAGTATATCAAAATATCAAAATATTGTTACATGTATCTATACCAAATCCAGTAATCTCTCACATATTGTATTACCACGGTCACACTATATCGAGATCTTCAACCCACACTTCAACATATCACTTACTTCAACTCATCGTCAAAATTTTCACCACACCAGCTTGTTTTGAAGCCTTTCGAGACCTTTAAGACCTTCAAGGCTTGTGTTCATACGTTGACATCGCTTTCCGACGCTGCATCATTGGCATTAGGTAGGTATAATCTCAGCTATCTACTGTGACGGGCAATAATATTAATAAATTCAATTTTGCCTCGTGGGCCTCAGGATGGATGAGGATAAAGAACGGCAAAAATGTGGAAATTTAAAGGCATAAAGGACAAGTCTGAATTTACCAGCTTTAACTATACCATTTTCCCCAGGCCCAACGGTTGATACATCCAACCCATTGCAATTCTGTCTCAATATCATGCCTGCTCTATGCACTCCTATTCTCAGCAAAAAGGTGAGTTTTCTGATATATTAACACTCATACCTTGTAAGCTTGATTTTCTGAAGATGTTCCCACTATCAAGGTTCGCTCTACCTTTGTCAACAGCATGTACTTTCTGACATCTTCGAAGAAGCATTGTTTTCTGGATGTTGCTGTTCTATCAACGGTTCCGACTCACGGCTATGCTCAACCCTTTCCCGCTGTTGAGCAGGTTCTTGGAACCAGGTTTCCAATCCATGATGCCTTTGATGAGGTCACCAACCCACATGCTGTCGCCCAAGAATACCTGGTGTGCTTTCAATATGACGACCATGCTCCTGTCAACAAAGAATTACTTAGACTTTGTTCCCAAATATTTTGGAAAGGAGATATACTGGTCTTGAAACAAGGCACCAGGAAATGGGTTTGAAGTTTCCATGGTACCCATGAGAAGTACTTAGCCAAGTGTGCAGTTATCCGGTGTGTCCTTTTTTTAACTCAACTTACAGCTCACTCACCGTCTTCTGCCTATTACAGGTTTCTTCAAGTATCAGTGATGCATCTTGAACATGCAAGAGTGAATGAAGAAGTGGTTCTTTGTCCTATAGATGTGAAATTTTGAGATTGTGGTTGTAACAACCAAGAGGCGCACAACTAGAACACACTATAGAGATAATGATGAGCGAGTGGTTACCCCTTAGGCTTCAACAAGTTGGTTGTGAGGATACAACAGGAGGACTTGCTACTGGAAACCTCGTCACCTCTTCATCCTTGTCGTTCTCAAACCTACCTTGTGCTACAATTAGCAAGGTAGTGCTCATCTATACTCGTCACTAAGCCCCTATCTTCTATAAATTCAACTATCCCTCCTCCTCAAAACCCACACCCATACCTCTCTGGGTTTTACTTTGAAGGACCTTCATACATACCACCCCACAAACAACCAGAGCACCCACTGTTTTAGGAGGCAAAGCCCATAAACAAGTTCCGTGGAATCTGGGAGGATTGTTTGTTAGTTTGTTTTTGTGTGTGGTTTTCTAACAACAGTTCTCATCATCGACAATTGGAGCCCACCGCGAGGGGTAGTTTCCTTCAAGCTAAATTCCAACCATTTCATCGCCATCACTGTTTAATTTATCATCTACACCTTCTATCTCACCCACCACTTTATCTGTCCCATCCCTCTCTTCCAGTAACTCAATTCCTGTACCAGCTTCTACTCAGCAAGCTTCGCGTTTACCCCCTATATTTTCCACTATGAATCAACCCACTACTCTCTCAGTCATCACTATGCCAATTCCTGGCACTCGTTATGCTCCTAAGAAGTTCAAGGGAGACTATACTCGTGTCAGGGATTTTGTTCTCCACTATGAGCGCATCTGTCATGCAAACAATGTCACTGCTGATGATGAAAAGTGCTCAAGCATTCTCCAATACTGCTTCACATATGTTCGAGAAATCATTGAAGGAATGAAGCATTTCATTACTGTGCCTGTTCCAGATAATTCCCCAATTGGTTCAATCGAAAATTCTAGCACTCTCAGAGCACTGGAAGACCTGGAAACTCGTCTAGAAGAAACTATTGAAGCCTCTATCCCTATCCCCAATGCCAGCACCTTTGAAACATTCTTTGACTTTATTCGCTCAATCAGGGAAGATGAAAGGTCTGCTATTTTTGGTCTACTGAACAACCTTCAATATAATCACAACATGAGTTCACTCTCACTGACTTCAGACTATGTCATGAGAGGACACCATGGCTTCGATGAAAACCACAACCTTTATGCTGATTATGTCCTGCTCCATGCTCATTTGCGATTTGACCAGAATCATGGACCTGGAAGAGCACAATCTATTATCAGTCGCTCAGGAACTGCACATATCCGCTTCTTTCCTCAAACAGAATCATTTCCAATTCCCACTGATGAAGATATAAATGGACCTCCATCACGTGATATGAATGGTCAAGTCAATGTGACGGTGGAAGTAATACAAGAATCCGATTCGGAGCCGATACACAATCATATAAATGGATTAATTAATGATGACTCATCCACTGATGATGAATCACCACCCCCATATTCGCGTCAACAGTTACCATCAAATATCAGTGACTCACCCCCATCACCTTCCTCTACCAATGCTACAACTGCTTCTTCGCTCCCCCCTGATAATCGCACACTCATGCACCATAATCGCACACTCATGCATACTATTTGCAATGATAGTCAAGAGGATGAAAGGAGATTAATTCCTTACCGCCCCTTCAGCTATCCCTCTCCACAACAATAGGAGTGGAGCATCAACCTTCCATCAATATATCATCCAATATTACTCCATATCTTCGAACTTCCATGCATCACTATCATCATTTTCCCACGTCACCATCAGCTCAGCCATTATTGATTATTCACACCAGTGCCAGAAATTCTACCCCGATTCTAACACATCTTCACTCCATCCTAAACACTTACATCGAGCATTACAAGCACCTAACATGTCCTGGCTCGAAGGGTTTCATATTACTAAAGAAGCTCTCATCATCGAGATTGTGGTGGGAGTGTTACTTGTCCTCGCCCTCTTCTACGGTTTTGTCTTCCCTCATATTCGCGCTTATTGTCGACGAGAACGTGTTGAGGTTATTCACCTCCACAACAGGACAATTCATCCATCCAGTGCATCAACATTTACCACCAGCACTGAGGTGCTTGCTAGTGCCGCAGTTGAAGTTTGAGGTAGATGCTGGTGATACATTTCTATATTCCTTTCTTACTTAACACTCCATTCAGCGCTTTTGGACCATATGCCACCTTTTCCCTTTTTCTTCTTTCTTGTTACATATCTATTACTTGTACAAAATGGCCTCTTAGATTTCTATGTTATCCGGTTTTTCCTTCCTTTACTCTTGTACCAACTTCTTTTTCTATTGTCTATGTTCCCCTTTCGTTCTTATCTGGTCTTTTTCCTCCCCCCCTTGTAAAACATCCGACCTCATCCCTATCCTATTCGGTCCGAGATGACGCAAAACTACCACGGCACTTTCCTTCTTTGAACACTTTTTGTTTTGACCCTAGTTATATGATAGATATTGTGGACCCTATACCTGTACCAGCACCTGATTGGTCAAGTTTTGGAGCCTACAAACGTGTTGATCGCAGAGTCAAACCTGTTCCTGGAGTATTCCCAGAAGACGCACGTGTCACTCGGTCATTTCCAGAAGACCCACTCCTTTCGCTCCCACCCCTTCCTGTCCTTCCCCCAGAATTCATTCCCACGCTGAAGCTCACCAAGGAGCGCCTTTATGACGAAATGAAGCTAAACTCTGATGGATTCTTATGGCCAGAAGAGGAAAAGCTCTTCGCTCACATCATGATACTCAATCAGCGCAGTCTTGCCTTCGAGGAAAATGACAGAGGAACGTTCAGAGAAGACTACTTCTCTCCCTACGTCATACCTGTTCTCCCACATGTCCCTTGGGAATACAAGAACATTCCTATTCCTTCTGGAATCAAGAACGAAGTCATAGAATTGCTCAGAGACAAGATCAAAGCTGGAGTCTATGAGCCTAGCTAGTCATCTTATTGCTCTAAGTGGTTTTGTGTTTAGAAGAAGAATGGCAAGATTCACATTGTCCATGATCTTCAGCCACTTAATGCAGTCACTATCAAGGACTCAGGAGTACCACCTATCCTTGACGACTTTGTGGAGCCATTTGCTGGTTCCCAATGCTATACTGTGTTTGATCTCTTTTGGGGATTTGATGCTCGAAAAGTGCACCCTGACAGTCGTGACCTTACCTCTTTTCTATCACCACTAGGACTTCTGAGGATTACTTCTATGCCTATGGGATTCACCAATTCCGTTCCAGAATTCCAGAACTGCATGACTTTCATCCTGCAAGACGAAATTCCGCATATTGCCAATATCTTTGTTGATGACCTCCCAATCAAAGGACCTACTTCTCGTTATGAAGATGCAGATGGAAACCCAGAGACCATCCCTGGCAACCCTGGCATTCGTAGATTTATATGGGAATATGCCATTGACGTTCATCACATTATGCATAGAGTTGGCCATGCTGGTGGAACTTTCTCTGGAAAGAAGACTCAGTTATGTCGTCCTCAAGTTGTGATTGTCGGACAAGTATGCTGCCCAGAAGGTCATCTCCCTGACAGTACCAAGGTTGACAAGATTCTTAAATGGCCAATTCTCCAGACTCCCAAAGATATTCACAGTTTTCTTGGTCTATGTGGCACAGTTTGCATCTGGATCCGCAATTACTCTGCTCTTGCACGTCCCCTGACAGAATTGTATCGCAAAGGAGCTGAATTTCAATGGGATGAACGCAGACAAGAACCATTTGATGCTCTAAAGCATGCAGTATCTTCTGCACCAGCCCTTCACCCTATAAATTATTCGTTACACAGCCCAGTCGTTCTTTCAGTTGATACCAGCAAGATTGCTGTTGGTTTCATCCTCTCCCAGCTTGATGAAAATGGAAAGAAGCGTCCAGCTCGCTATGGCTCTATTCCCATGAATGATAGAGAGGCAAATTACAGTCAACCCAAGCTAGAATTGTATGGTTTGTTCAGAGCACTTCGTCATTTTTGCCTTTACATTGCAGGAGTAAAACACTTGCATGTGGAGGTGGATGCCAAGTATATCAAAGGCATGCTCAACAACCCAGATCTCCAGCCTAATGCCACTATCAATCGTTGGATTCAGGGCATCCTTCTCTTTGATTTCAAGCTCATTCACATACCTGCTGATCGTCATCGTGGTCCTGATGCATGATCTCATCGTCAACCAACAGAGGAAGACTTTGAAGATGCTCAAGAATCAGATGATTGGCTTGATGATATCGCCCTTCTTATTGATCTTACCAGACCTCTCCCATATCACCCTATGTCACTCCCTTCATTCCTTACCAATGATTCTTCTCAATATGATGTCCTTCGTCAAATCTTCCACTTTCTTCAGACCATGGAGCTGCCTATATTTTCCTCTCTTCAAGCCCAAAAGCGTTTTGTCAAGCGATCACTTCAATTCTTCTTGAGAGGAGACAGCATGTTTAAGCGTCGTCACTCTGCTCCTCCTCTCAAAGTTATCTTCAATCCTGACCTTCGACTTCACATCCTTACTGAGGCACACGAAAGGCTTGGTCACAGAGGAGTTAATGGTGTATTCTATACAGTCAGAGAGCGCTTTTACTGGCCCCATATGTTATAGGATGTCAAGCATCATGTTCGCACCTGCCATGAATGCCAGATTCAAAGTGTACGCAAAAGTGAAGTCCCACTTACCATCTCATCGCCTCCTACAATCTTCACCAAAGTCTATGTCGACATTATGCTTATGCCAAAAGCTGGAGGATATCGATATCTTGTTGCTGCACGAGATGATCTGTCACTTGCTGCAGAAGGAAGAGCATTGAAGAAAGCATCTGCACATAATCTTGCACGCTTTTTCTGGGAAGAAATCATCTGTCGCTACGGAGCTATAGGAGAAGTTGTCACAGATAATAGAAGTGAAGTCAAAGGAGCATTTGAAGAGCTTGTGGAACATTACCAGATCCCTCATATTCGCATTTCTCCCTACAATTCCAAGGCAAATGGTGTTGTTGAGCGTGGACACTTCGTCATAAGGGAAGCACTTGTCAAGTCCTGTGAAGGCAATGTCAATTTATGGCCAACCAAGGTCCATCATGCCTTCTTTGCAGACAAGGTCACTACTCGTCGTTCTACTGGATTCAGTCCTTTTTATCTGTTGCATGGAGTTGACCCAGTCCTACCATTCAATCTGACAGAAGCGACTTTCCTTGTTCATGGATTCCATACTGCAATGTCAACAGAAGACCTCATTGCTTTGCGCATTTGTCAACTAGAAAAGAGACAGGTGTCACGATAACACAATTTCTGGACATTTCCTTTCTTTCATTCTCCGCTTCAACTCTATACTTTAAATGCCACGCGGCATTTCCCCTTTCTCACGCCGCGTTGCCTTCCTTTTATTTTTAGATTTAACTCTCTCATGCAGTGGAGCTGGCCATACGGGCTAGGCCCTATGACATCATCAGCCACTGCCTTCATCAACTGTATAGTACACATGTACAAACAACCTGTAGTTGTATATATACCCCAATAGATCCAGGAGACTCCTCAGCGAGTCCTCCTGTTGTATACCAACTAACTCACTGCAGCCTAAGGGGTAACCACTCCCCAACTTCATCTTCTCTATAGTGTGTTCTGTGTGCGCCGGAGTAATTCACTCTTGGTTGTTACATTAGGACTCGCTCCTCTACTCTCTCGCACGTGTGTGCAAAAGTCCCCAACTTCATCTTCTCTATAGTGTGTTCTGTGTGCGCCGGAGTAATTCACTCTTGGTTGTTACATTAGGACTCGCTCCTCTACTCTCTCGCACGTGTGTGCAAAAGTCCCATTGGGCACCCGGACTCCAGGGTGAAGGAGATTGGTTAGCGGTTAGGAATATCCCACATAGCAGATAGGTGCGCTCCTAGCGACGGCCTTGTAGTGCTTTGGGAGAAGAACCCAAACCTTCGATACGCGGCCCCCAGCGTTAAGGGGAGTACCTTAGCTCAGAAGTCGGTGTGGAACCACTGTTGATTAGATTTAGAATACAAACTTTCACTTTTGAATACCTCTGACCAGGCCGGGCACTTGCCTCCGCCAGTCTGGAGAAGGGTTGACAGCTTAACAAGCGGACCACCCCCTGACAACCGTTCGGACCAGGGTTTATTACAAATACATTTTTATATACCTTTTTAAATACTATAGTGTGGGTAGTCGGAGATTGAGATCCGATACTCAGCTGGGAAGAGGTTGATCCGCAGATAGCAAGCGGGGACCCCCAGATACCTATTTTTACATTACCCAAAGAGAACAAGTCGACATGTCGTCGCAACCCCAAGACATGAATGCGCTACTGCACGCAATGCGTATGCAGATAGCTGCGTTAACCTCGCAGCTCGCCAAGATACAGGCCAACCCCCCTGTAGCAACCCCCTCGGTAGAGAAAAAGTTTAACAAGAAAGTCAAAGTTGTTGCTGACCCTGGCGCCTTCGAAGGAGACAGAGCGCAATTTGCTGAATGGTGGATCAAGCTCCAGATTTGGGTCAAGGCGAACTGGGACGCGTTTGCCGACGATTTTGAGGTAGCCACTGCGGTGCTATCTCGCCTAAAAGGACCTGTGGCGGGTCGATACGCCCAAGTAAGACTCCAGGAATGCTACACCGCGGGTGTGTGGCCCACCTGGGACGATCTCAAAATAGAGATCGAAAAATATTTTAAACCACAAGCTGAGCGTGACTGGGCGCGTCAGCAAATCCGTTCCTTCAAACAAGGAAACATGAGGACGGATGATTTCGTAACCCGGTTCCTGGCCCTCTCAATCCAAGGGGGTCTTGGCAATGAACACGCAGTGGAACTGCTAGAACGCAATGTGAACCCTCGCATTGCAGAACAGATCTATCTGCAGGATACACGAAGCGACAACTTGGCCCTGGCGGCTGAGGAAGTACGACGAGTCGGTAGAGTCATAGAGCTCTACACCATGCACCAAGGTGGCGGGTCCACCAAACAAAACAACATACCCCAGAGGCGCCCTGGGTCATCAAACCATCAAAATCACTCTCACGGGTTCAAGCCGTTCAGGCTGCAACCAGGGCAGGGAGCCCCTATGGATATCGGCGCGGTCCAAGGCGGACAGATGCGCAGATTCAAAGGGAACTGCTATAATTGCGGCCAGGAGGGACACATGTCCCGAGACTGCAGAAAAGGGGCGCAGGCTGCCCAACAAAAAAATAACCAAGGGCGCCAGGCGCGCCAACTAGAATCCGAAAAGCCGGACGATCAGCTCAACTCTTTGGCCGGTTGTTCGTACGACAAAATCCGGGCCTTCTTCTATGACCAGCAGGTCAATGAGATGAAGGCTCAGGGAAAAGAATTCGGGGCCTAGGTCACTTGGGTGCCTTAGCTCCTAGTAAAAATGAAGTAAACCACAACAAGGTGGCCCCTGCTCCGGGGTGTTGCACGAGCAATAACGGAATGACGGGGATGGCTCCCCAATTTGTAAATAAATTCTTAAATTTGTTGTCTGAAGTTTGTACTTGTATGAAGAAATGCGACTGTAATATTTATGATACTACCGCTGCACCAGCGTCTCCCTTGGAGCGCGGCCCCGGCGAGACAAACACTAGGGTGCTTAATTCTGGTAAAACTAAAATAGAAAAACATGTGTCATTCGATATTTCCCCTTCTTCTTCTTCTTCTTCGGAGCCACCCTTTCCCAAAATCCCAAGGCGTGTGTTGATGTGCACATATTTATTCCAAAAGGAGATCCGTTTAGATGTTGGCGTGGAAAACCCTGCCCGGGGCAAAGTACACTCAACGAGCGCGCTGCTTGATTCAGGCGCTAACGGGATCTTCATAGATCAGGTCTGGGCGGAGCAAATTGGACTCCCCCTTGTAAAATTAGATACATCTATTCCCGTCTATAACGTTGACGGTACGCTTAACGCAGGTGGCTGTATCACTCACAAATGTTCTTTTGTGGTCGAATACCAAGGACACAGAGAACGAGTCACTGCCAAAGCTACCCAACTAGGGAAGATTAATTTAATCTTAGGCTGGACCTGGCTATTTAAACATAATCCTGAGATCAACTGGCAGACAGGGGTTGTCACATTGTCACGTTGCCCTCAGGAATGTGTAAACTTGGGTAAACCAAATCATGTCCGTCACGATGAGCGTCTTGAAAAGTTAAACGCTAGTCACGTTTACGAGCTCAGATCTTTAGAAAAGATCGACGATGACGATGATGAGGTAAAACCTGAGGAAGAGATTAAGAGGCTGGTACCTCCCGAGTACCATGACTTCTGGAAAGTCTTTTCAAAACACAAATCAGAACGCTTCCCAGAGGCTAAGCCTTGGGACCATGCTATAGATTTGAAGGACACCTTCAAACCAAGAAAAGGACACATGATACCACTCTCTGCTCCAGAAAGAGACGAGGTATCTAGCTTCATAGACGAACAACTTAGGAAGGGTTACATCAGACCTTCCAAAAGTCCTATGACGTCCCCGGTGTTCTTCATTCCTAAAAAGGATGGTAAGAAGCGAATGATTATGGACTATCGTTATGTGAATGAGCACACGGTTAAAAATGCGTATCCGCTGCCTTTGATTAGTCAGCTAGTGGACAAATTGGCTGGCGCCAAGATCCTGACAAAGATGGATCTCAGATGGGGGTACAACAATGTACGAATCAAAGAAGAAGATGCTTGGAAGGCCGCGTTCACGTGCCACCGAGGATCTTTCGAACCCCTTGTCATGTTCTTCGGGTTGACCAATTCACCGGCGACCTTTCAGAGCATGATGAACGAGATCTTCGCGGATATGGAAAACTGTGTCGTCATTTACATTGACGATTTATTAATATTTATGAAGTCGGACGATGAGGCTGAGCACGACAAGATCGTGCAAGAAGTCCTTCGACGCTTACAGGAACGGGACCTATTTGTCAAACCCGAAAAATGTAATTTTAAAGTGAAGGAAGTAGACTTCCTCGGTATGATCATAGGCCAGAATGGAATCAGGATGAACCCTGAGAAAGTTCAAGCTATTTTGGAATGGCCAGAACCTACTCGTGTCAAAGGAGTTAGGGCCTTCCTTGGCTTAGGCAATTTCTACCGAAGGTTTATCGAAAACTTCGCAAAAATCACGAGACCGTTGAACGATCTCACAAAAAAGGACATTGTTTGGCATTGGGGCGCCAGAGAACAAGAAGCTTTTGATAAGCTTAAACAGGCATTCACAACAGCGCCCATATTGGCATTTCCAGAGTTAGACAAAGAGTTCCGGCTAGAAACCGACTCTTCTGACTTCGCCACTGGGGCTGTTCTATCGATCAAATGCCCTGACAATCTTTGGAGGCCTTGTGCCTATTTATTGCATAGTTTGTCGCCTACAGAGCGCAACTATCAAATTTATGACAAAGAGATGCTGGCCATCATTAGAGCTCTGAAGCACTGGCGGCATTACTTGGAAGGTGCTAGACACCAATTCGAAATCTGGACCGATCATAAGAACCTAGAGTACTTTATGACGGCCCGAGACCTGAACCGAAGACAGGCCCGCTACGCGGTGTACTTGTCAAGGTTCAATTATAAATTAATTCATAAGCCTGGAAGCTCAATGGGGAAAGCGGATGCTCTATCCAGAAGAGAGGATCATGCCAACGGCATTGAAGATGACAACAAAAGTGTCACCTTGATAGATCAATTAAGGGTTGCCAATGTTAGAATCGGGCAAGATTCCGATCTTCTAGAAGTCTTCAAGAAAGACATCTCCTCAGAAGAGAAGGCACGCCTTGACGGCAACGGAAACTATTTATGGGAAGACGGGCTCTTCCATTTCAAAGATAAAATCTATGTGCCTGAGTCTGTAAGGATCAAGGCAATAGATAGAAATCACGACACTCCAGTAGCTGGGCACCCGGGGTGGCAACGAACAATGGAGTTGATCTCCAGAAACTACATGTGGCCTGGCATGGTCAAAGACGTACAGGAATACGTAAAATCCTGTCTAAGATGTGCCATGGCCAAAAACTCTCATCAACCGCCGGCCGGTAAACTTATGCCGAACCCGATACCAGCTGGGCCCTGGCAGGATATATCGGTTGATTTCACGACAGATCTGCCCGAGTCAAACGGGTATAATTCAGTAATGGTAGTAGTGGATCGCTTCTCTAAAGAAGTGGTATTCATACCTACCAATAAAACCATTACCGCCGCTGGTACGGCAGATTTATTTAAAGATTTCATATGGTCCATCCACGGATTACCAGAGACGGTGATCTCCGACAGAGGACCACAATTCGCTAGTGAATTTATGGAAGAACTGTGCCGGATGCTGGGCATCAAACCTAAATTATCAACGGCGTTCCATCCACAAACTGATGGACAAACGGAGAGACTCAACCAGGAGTTGAAACAGTATCTCCGAATATTTATTAATGACAGACAGACGGATTGGGCCAAGTGTCTAAAAATAGCCCAGTTCTCATATAATGTCAAACAGTCGTCGGCCACAGGAAAGGCACCATTTGAGGTTACTAGATTGTACCTCCCTAGAATGGGTGTAGAACCTGGCAATAGCAAAAACGAGGCTGCTGGGAACATGGTGAAAGACATGAAGTCTGTCTTAGACGAAACGCGCAAGGCGCTATTTAAAACTGCAGAGCAGATGAAAGACAGGGCAGAATGTAGACGCTCTAAGGCCCCTGATTACAAGGTCGGCGACCTGGTCTGGTTAGACACCGACCACTTAAAGTTAAAACATCGGCAGTCTAGAAAACTGACCGAAAAGTGGATTGGCCCTTACCGGATTAAGGAAGTCAAACCCAATGCAGTGGAGCTGGAACTCCCAAAACGAATGAGGGTAGTACCCATGGTCAATATTAGCCGTGTGAAACCCTACAAGGGACCGCTGCCGGGACAGCGAGTAGACCGGCCCGGACCGGTTGTAGTCACCCAGGAAGCTGAAGAAGAGTTCGAGGTCGAACGGGTGGTAGACGCATGCTTGAAGCGTGGAAAATTAGAGTTCCTGGTCCTATGGAAGGGCTATGGAGACGAGGACAGAACGTGGGAACCAGAAACCCATCTGGAAAACTCCCGCAACGCTGTTCGCAAACTTTATTCTAAGAATCCCTCAGCTCCCAGGAAGCTTAGAGGCATGGATTCAAAACTTTTTAATTCCCTTTTTCAATCTATGCCCAAAAATTTTACCACTACCTCCGGTATTTGGTCTCGCCTGGAAGTCGAGCCTTAGAAGGGGGGTAGTGTTACGATAACACAATTTCCGGACATTTCCTTTCTTTCATTCTCCGCTTCAACTCTATACTTTAAATGCCACGTGGCATTTCCCCTTTCTCACGCCGCGTTGCCTTCCTTTTATTTTTAGATTTAACTCTCTCATGCAGTGGAGCTGGCCATATGGGCTAGGCCCTATGACATCATCAGCCACTGCCTTCATCAACTGTATAGTACACATGTACAAACAACCTGTAGTTGTATATATACCCCAATAGATCCAGGAGACTCCTCAGCGAGTCCTCCTGTTGTATACCAACTAACTCACTGCAGCCTAAGGGGTAACCACTCCCCAACTTCATCTTCTCTATAGTGTGTTCTGTGTGCGCCGGAGTAATTCACTCTTGGTTGTTACAACAGGATGATTTGCAACAAGCTGCACTCACTATACGCAAAACTCGTCTCAGATCTAAAGCGCAGTTTGAGAAACTCTATGCACGAAGGATGTTCAAGAATGAATACCAGCCTGGAGAGCTTGTTCTAGTGCGGAATACTCAGGTTGAGAAGGAGCTGGATCGTAAAGCAAAGCCTTGTTACAATGGCCCTTATGAAGTTGTGCGACGTACTAAAGGAGGATCATATGTTCTAAAAGAAATGGATGGATCAGTATCACGAAGAGGAATTGCAGCATTTCGCCTACTTCCCTATTTCAACCGCCACTCTATGCCCCTCTTAGACGAACTGGATGACCATGATAACGACCTAGATGAACCAGAAGATGAACCTGACTATGAACATGACAACTCGGACGATGAAGATAACAATTAATGACCTACCTGAACGAATTTCATGCTGACATGACCCCTTAATGAGTTGCCATGTTTTGTTTCATATGACCCTACCTTTATGGAAGCAACTGGGGACAGTTGCAATTTCAAGTTGTTCGTGGATGTCATGCACCAAAATTGATTGGTAGCATGGACAGGTGTCAAGAATGAAGCGAATATTCAAAAAAACTTGCCTTTGCGCCACACAGGCACAGTGCCACGTGGAATAGTAATCAATATTGCCTTTTTCAAATCTGTGGCTGATCAGCACCACCTCTATTAGGCAATTCAGTCACGCTCACCTTTGCTTTTCCATTTGGTACTTTCGGCATTTCGGCATTTCGGCAAATTTTCGCGTTGCCACTGGCTACACATTGCATTGCGCCCTCGTTTTTGTCGTTTCCTTCACTCCCCTTCCTTTTCTTAGCCCCACCATGGGACCCTTCCTCTCCTTTTTATTCTCACCTGACGGTCATTTCTGAATCCCCATTTTAGTTCACCTACTCGTCACCTCCACCCTCCTCCTCCTCATCTTCTTTGCTCCCCCACCATTTCTGATGTCACCACTTCCTATCCGCTTCCATCGCCGATCTGTCGACTACCACGTGCCACTGCTGATATCAGCAAAGCCCCGGCGGCCGGTCCAAATAGGGCAACAGGTCCATCTTCATGACGTCAATTTGCCATCATATACCATCAAAACATTGGTCGCTCGTCTTGCCTGGTTGGAGCGTGGGTGGGTAGTTTTTGAGCTGGAGAAGGTTCATCCCCTTGCGTTGCCCATGTTTATCGCTGTCCCATTCACTTGGGTGCACTTATCTTTTGTCCATCGTCTTCGCTACAGCTACAGCTACCACACGCTGCCTGGGACTCACTTGTTCCAAATTGGAACTACTCCCCTCCCTCCCTCGCTTGACCAGGTGGTCCAGTACAACCAGTCCATTGGTAAAGCCATGGAATTGTCAGATTTGGACTAGGTGGTGGACCGGTGGCTCCAGTTTCTTTTTTTTCAGCAGAACATTCATTTACAGTGTAATTATTTTGATTTTTGAATCATTTTATGGACACATATTTTTTTAGAATGCCTGACTTACAATAAAGGAACTGTGTTGATACTGATATTGTTTTTTTTTCTTTATACTCTTTTTACTGCATCTTCTTATGACATCACGATTTTCTTGCTCTTTTTCTCTTATTGGACTTTATTTTTATGACTGTACAAACCTGTACCATTACTTACATAGCATTCATTGTTCTATCTCTTTCTTTCCCTTATTTTGACAATCTTATCCTGTATCAACTACGCAGGATTCATCAGCATACATTCCTTCCTTCATGTTCCTTCTCATTCTTTTTGCGCAGCTATACTGTGCATAGCCTACCTTTCTTTTCACTATATAAACCCCTGTATTTTACCTTGTAAAAACAACAAAGAACTCGATTCCAGACTTCTTCTCTAATCTTAAGTCCACTTCTTACTGCTACTTGTGATCCAGTGTGGTCACAACATTTCCCACTGCTACTACTGTTAACTGCTGTTATTGTCACTTGTCACTTTTAAAGTCTTTATCATCCCTTTCAATTAGAGTCCTTCTGAGCACTACAGTTTGTGCGTCAGGAGCCTGCTATCACTGGGAGCCTCGTCACCTCTTCATCCTTGTCGTTCTCAAACCTATCTTGTGCTACAATTAGCAAGGTAGTGCTCATCTATACTCGTCACTAAGCCCCTATCTTCTATAAATTCAACTATCCCTCCTCCTCAAAACCCACACCCATACATCTCTGGGTTTTACTTTGAAGGATCTTCATACATACCACCCCACAAACAACCAGAGCACCCACTGTTTTAGGAGGCAAAGCCCATAAACAAGTTCCGTGGAATCTGGGAGGATTGTTTGTTAGTTTGTTTTTGTGTGTGGTTTTCTAACAACAGTTCTCATCATCAACACCGGTTTTGTCACTCCCACTTGAGTGCAACCGTATTCCCATAGCTTTAGAGCATTTCCAGTGTTTTTCATGAGTGAGGGGTTTAGTGAGAATGTCTGCAACCATATCTCCTGTAGAAATGTATCTGATTACTGCCTCCCCCTTTGAAACTAAGTCATCTCGGATAAAATGATATTTCCGTTGAATGTGTTTTGTGCGAGCACGGAACTGTGGATCTCGTGTAAGAATGATAGCTGCTTGATTGTCACAGTGCAATGTTGTAGGTCCATTTTGAGCATGTCCAATTTCTTCAAAAAATGTCCAAAGCCATGCAAGGTGTTGTCCAGCATTGCTCAATCCAATGTATTCTGACTCTGTGGAGGATAAAGCTACCATGCTTTGTCTTTTGCTTGTCCAGGAAATTGCTCCTCGGATGGTGATAAAAACAAAGCCTGATGTTGATCGAGACGTGTCTCAATCTCCAGACCAATCTGCATCTGAATATCCATAGAAATCTATGTCCATGGAGACATCTGTGCCATCATATTGTAGTTCCATGTCCTTGGTTGCTTTCAGATATCGGAGGACACATTTTGCAGCTTCCCAGTGATGACTCCTTGGAGCTGAGCTATGTCTGCTTAGTATTCCAACAATGTAGGCAATGTCTGGGCGGGTTCCGAGCATGGCATACATGAGGGAGCCTATAATTGAGAGGTATAACACTTGGCGCCCTTCAATATGCATCTCGTGTTGCACAATATCTTCCCCTGGAGCATTTGCGAGAAGTTTTAATCCATGGGCCATTGGTTTCCATACAGGTTTGCAGTTCTTCATTCCAGTACGCTCCAGGACTGTGTCAATGTATTGGTGTTGCAATAGGGATATTGTTTTGTTTGAACAATCACGTTGGATTTTTATTCCGAGGATGTATTCTGCTTCTCCAAGGTCCCGCATTTTGAATATGGATTCAAGTTTGGCTTTTGTGATATCCATGAATTTCTGGGATGAAGCTCCTAGGAGGACGTCATCTACATAGACAACAACAAAGCATATTTGTTTGTTGTCCCGGAATACATAGAGACATGTTTCTGCATTTAGTCTTGTGAAACCAAGCTCCTGGAGCTTGCGATCAAAAGTTTTGTTCCATGTACGACCAGCTTGTTTTAACCTGTAGATGAATTTCTGCAATCTCCAGCAGTATCCAGGTTGGATAGGAACACCCATTGGAGGAAGCATGTATAGTTCTTCTTCAAGTTCTCCATTAAGATGAGATAAGCTGTGGATACGTCCATTTGATCAAGTTCTAGGTTGTACTTTGCTGCCAGGGCTAGAATAATTCAGATTAACTCTAAGTTTGCAACCGGAGCAAAAACCTCCTGGTAATCAATGCCCTCCCTTTGAGTAAAACCTCGTGCAACAATCCGGAGTTTGTATCTCTCAATGTTTCCATTTTGATCAAACTTGATCCGGAACACAGGTTTTGATGTGATGGGTTTCACCCCCTTCGGAAGTGGAACAGTGTCATATACTGCATTATTATTGAGACTTAGGAGTTCCTCCTCCAAGGCAGACTTCCATAATTCTCCATCCGGCGTGATAAGGCTTCCTTTAGTGTCCTTGGAAGGTCTGTGTTAGATGGACCGGTACTTGCTATTCCAGCAAAGAATATCTCCTCTGTATCAGATGGTTCTTCATGAACCTCAGGAGTGTTAGGTTTCTCCATGGAGTTGTCATGCTGCTTGTTTCAAGACTGTTCCTCATCTAGAGTCCTTTGATAATCTCGGTTTTTGTCTGCAGGACGGGTCTGGCGACTGCTTCTGCGTACTCCTAGGACTTCACAGGCATGACTGCTCTTTTAGGAACTTGTGCAGGTACTCCAGGGAGTAGACGCATTTGTGTATTTGTTGCCCCACTCACTCCTAAAGGTGTTGAATCACTCCTCGGAGGCGTTGTATGACTCCATGGAGGTGTTGGATGACTCCTCAGAGGTGTTGTATGCCTTCCAGAAGCTGATCCAATGGACAGGTTGTCTAGCTGTATTCGGACTTCTTCCACATCAGCTGGCTGTACATTGATGGGCTGTCCTCCCACTGACTGTGACTCTACTTTGGCTTTCCGTTCTGAAGATGGCCAGTGTTCAGGTCTTGGTTGTAGAGACTGTTGTGGAGGGTGTCTTAGCTGATCAGGTGCTCCCACTGCTCTTGGAACATCTTCATGCTGATATGGTCCCATTGCTTGTGGAACATCTCCTTGGAGATTTGCAATTCATTTAAATCTCGGATCCAAGGGTCAGGATCATCCTCCTCCAATGTATTTTGGTCTGGATAGTGAGCATTCTCTGGAATGAGTCCCTCCCACTGATCTGTGCTAGTGTCTGTGTTCCAGGAAGCAGTGTTGTCCTTTTGTACCTTTCCAGATTCATTGAATATGTCATGCCGACTGGAAAACACAGTTTGTTTTTCAGTGTCTAGGAGTTTGTAGGCTTCCATTCCATGTGTGTAGCCAATCATTATGGCTTTGCGCACCTTGGAGTAAAACTTCCCTTGCCTTTTGTCTTTCGGAATCAAAGCATATGCTTGGCATCCAAAAGGGCAAAACAAAGTTGGATCAACTCTCCTTTTAAACAGTATTTCATATGGGGTCTTTCCATGGAGTCCTGATGCTGGGCTGCATGCTGTGATATCTGCAGCTGTTTGCATGGCATCTACCCAAAATGACTTTGGGAGCTTGGAATCATGGAACATAGTGGTTGCTAATGTAGCCAATGTCTGATTCATGTGTTCTGCAATGCCATTTTATCCCGGAGTATCTGCAGCTGTAGTTTTGTTTCTTGGATAACACCATCTCCTTGGAGTTGATTTTTGAATGCATTGCCAGTATATTCTCCTCCCCCATCGCTCCGGAGGAATTCTGTGTATAGTGGAGTGAAGTTTTCTTTTCCCAAATGGGTTCGGAAGAATGTTTGGACATCTTCTTTCCATTGCTTGTATCATTCCAGTGCTTCACTTTTATGTTTTAGGAAGTATATTCATGGAAATTTGGAGAAATCATCTACAATAATAATCCAGTACCAAAAACCCTCCCTGTAAGTTGGTTTGATTGGTCCTCCAATATATGTGTGCACAATTTGTATGGGGCGCTTGGCTCGGTTTCCTCCAGTGGACTTGAAAGGTAATTTCTTCATTTTTCCTAAAGCACAAGGTTCACAAAACTCCGGGGTTCTGGCAAGGGTGTCTATGTCCTGGAGCTGTCTTTTTGTAACCATTCGTTGCAAGCGGTCCATTCCAATGTGTCCCATTCTCCTGTGCAATAAATGTACATCTACTGCTGCAAAAGCTGACTCCGGGTTGATTTTGGGTTTTGCTTGGATGTGATAAAGTCCTCGCTTGTGTAACGCAGTGAGGATAAGTTCCTCCTTTTTCCGAACTTCACAAGCATTTGACCCTGCTGGAAAAAGTGTTGATAACCCCGTTTTGGACAATTTGTGGACAGAGACGAGTGCTAACATGAAGTTTGGCACAAGTAAGACATTTGACAGTGCAATATTGTAGTCCTTTTTGCCAACAGTTGCTTGTAGGATTACTGTTCCAATCCCAATGGCATTTACAGAGGATTCATCCCCAAAACTGATTGTCCTTGGAGGATGCAGAACATGGTATGTTCCTGGCTCAAACCAGGAGCGGTGAGGGACCATGTGGGATGTTGCTCTGGAGTCAATAATAATTGTTGTTTTGGTCTTACTGGGTTCCGACACAAGGTAAGCTTGAATGCGTTTAGCAAGGGGCTTGGAAATATATACATGTTCCAATGCAATATAACTCTGTTCCTCCTCGGAGTCAGATCCAGATGATTGCTCTGCTGTATTTGCCTTTTCCTTCTCTTTTCCTTTATCCTTGTGTCTTTCCTTTCCCTTCTTCCTTTGACCTTTTTCAGCTGACTGAAGTGTTTGACACTCCAAGGTGTTGTGTGATTTGGCTTTGTGGAAGTTACACCATTTCTCCTCGGATTTGAGTGCTGATTCGGAACCTCGAGGGGCCTTCCCTGACTGTCGTGCAACTTCTGCAGTGATCCGGATCTCAACTGCATCAAAGGTAAGTTTATTTTCTTCAATCGTGTTGATTACTGATGACTGAAATATTTGCCATTCAGGAGTGCATGGGAGAGATTTGAGAAGAGCGAAAGCCATCAGTTTGGTATCAACTCCTAGTTTCATTCCGGAGAGGTGTGAATCATTTGTCCGGATTTTTGCAATGTGGTCCTGGATAGGTGATGTCCCATCCCAGGACAATTTGGTGAGTTGCTGGAATGAATAGGAGGCCGAGGCAATGTTGGATGTCTGACGGAGTGAGACAAGTTTATCAAATAACTCCTCGGAGCTGGTGAGGTCTCCAGTCCTCATTAGGAGGGCATCAGAGATGTGGTCCTGGATGATTCCATGTGCCTTCTCATCCTTAAGTATCCAGGTGATCTCAGGATCCTCCGAGGAGGTAGGTTTTCCCGGTGAGGGCTTAAGCTCCTCTCCAGTAACAACCCGGAGAACTTTTTCCTGACATAGCTTTGAGATGATCCGGAGTTTCCATATCTGAAAATTGTTGGGTCCAGCGAGAACTGGACATGCGGATGTATCGCGTGCTGTGGCCATGGTTCCGAGGTTGCCGTTTCAAACAAGAATTATTTCCTGCATAGGTTTTGCGCACCAGGGCTCATAACCTAATAAAACTATGTGGAACTCAGCCACTGCCCAAGAGGCTATAGAAACGACTTAGGTATTCCTATACTAAGCCCCCTACTACTTATAGTCGGAGGTGCTACTCGCTACAGTATAATGACTCCATGGAGTGGTGGCTATGCTCCATGGAGAACAATGGCTGCTTTGGCAGAGACCGGGTTTATCCAGTTTTGTCATCATGGTGATCTCAAATTTTCGTTTGTAGATCAGCCAGTTAGATCCGTCTTCTTTGAGGTTGGGCAGCTTCAGATGATAGGTAGTTGCTTCGGTTTGCGACATGACTGGTGAGTAGTCTCGAGCTCGTAGTTTAGTGTTAGAGTAATCTGCTTCAGATGATTCGTCTTTGTTTTTCTTTACAGCCACAGGGCTCATAACCTATGGGTCAATAATTTCAGACTGGTATAGAAAAGGTCTATATTCGGGAACATGTACCTATGGTTCAATAATCTTTAGGTACATGATTAGTAAAGTATTGTAGTTGGGATAGGCTATGAGGTACTCACTTCAGACTCGTATAGAAAAGGTCTGAAGTGAGCCTCTGTGCGCGAGCGGCTTATATACTGCTGCTCGCACCAAAGCGTCAGTCTTACAAAAATCCTTGTCCCGCTTTAAAGCGTAGACATACAAGCGTATATACAGAAATCCTATTGTTTGTTTAATAGCTTAGTGAAGCGGCGAGTAGCTTGTCCTCGCTTGTATTCCAACACCTACCTTATCAATGCATCAGCACAATGTGATCACACAATTTCGCCACAATGACACGCAGTTGTTTGTGGACGCAACATTCACCTCAGAAGATTTTTGCCATGCCATGCGCCTCGTGAGAGAAATTGATAGCACTGGCCTCGAGAAGAAGTGCCACCTTGAGATTATTCAGCATGAAGAGGGTGAGGTCCAAGCAAAGAGGCAGAGGGTTGCAGAGGCAGCAGAAGGAAGCACAGAAGAAGGCAAGCCGAGAGGCTGAATGCAATGCCACAGCGATGGTCCTGACGCCAAATGAAGAAGAACTGAATCGGCTCACCAAGGATAAGCTGATTATTCAACTGGAGATTCACCGGGTACAAGACTCGACTATACCTCGGGGCCTGTGAGGCATAGTGAAGAAGGACCTCATAAGGATATTGATAGCTCAAATCTCTGTCGTTCTCCAGCAAAACATGCACGCTGCATGTGGATGTGGTCCCCGTGAGCAAGATGGAAGCTTGGACTCGAGCTAGGGGCACAGTCAAATGATAAGATTCTCGCGATCACTAGTTTCTTTGCATTTTTAATAAAACATAGTCATTCATTACTTCATACAGTACGAATACAAATACCTACTTGCTATGTGTACATTCCGAGCTTAATACACCTTATATAACGCAGCTTGCTCGAAACTACTCCCTGTGTCATTTCATAGTGCGAACTTGAGGGGAATATTAGGTAAGCATCACACACTTTTGGCGGAGGCTGCCCACCCCCACAAACGATGACTCCCTTGGTTGTGGACCAGACCTTCCGAATTGGGAACACAATGCCAGGTTCAAGATAAATGTTCGGAGTCGAACTCGTTACGCATATTTGGTTCCGTGCAGCTGACAAGGTCGGCTTTATCTGGTTTGCTGCATACTGTAAATCACGTTAAAGACTACCACTTTTCTCCTTTTCGAACAACTCCACTACCCAAAGTCACTGGCATTACACGATTCAAGAGGCCTCGAGTGGAACAATCGCAACAGGTCACGGGCTTACACATCATATTCCACCGCTATAACCTTCTACTCCATGGATGCGACGACAGTGATTCACGAGTTTGAAGATATTTATGACTGGCCTCCTCCTGTAGCGAAGCTCGCAGACTTACTTTCTCAGCCCCTCCCATCTTGGCTTGCCACCGGTCCATACCCTTGCACGTCCCCTTGTGCCTCTGATTCTGTAGATATTCTATCTGGACATCCAAAGGATCGTATAGTAACGACCGAGAATTATGATTCTGGCGGCTCTACGTCTTTGAAAGTCGTGTTTGACTTGGTCATGACGGCCTCGTCTGATTTACGCGCCCTCAGTGGCAGGGTTGCATACGGTTGTCCTCGCCCCACCATTCCAATTTGGATCACAATGCTTAAGCATCTATTTCTCCATTGCTCGGAACACATATCGATACTGTAATGATCTTTTCTCTTTTTTTTTTTTTTGAAGTTTGCATATTTCTGATAACTTGACGCGCGGATTTATTTTCAATTTTTAGTGAAGATGAATATTTTGTCAGGCCACGCGCGCCTCGTTCGCGGGATGTTTCCTCCAGTGGTCCAATCACCGACGGCTTTGCATCACTTATTATAGCCCACTATGTCAATCGAGCGGATGAAGATCAAGACACTGGCTCAGCATGTCACTCCTCACAAGACAGCTGTACGAGCTCTTCTAGCGATGACAATTCTTCTCATGTACGAGACGAAAACTATGGGGATAACGGCGAAATTACGAAGAAGAGGAAGGCAAACACGAGTAGCTCAAAGAATCATCCTTTGAAATTTCCTATCCACGCCCATCTTCTTCCCACACGCGGTCGTCATCTCTCCGCCGTCCTCCCGATTATTGGGGTTGCTGACGAATATAATATCATCCCTCTCATGTCAAGTATGCTTTACCAACGGCGTGTTTGGCACATCGACCAACCAATTATCGGAATTATTTTCCAAGGGACTGGAACTGTTGGCCAAGTCTTATTTGGTTGGCTGGATCATGATTCTGGGACGAGCGGAGATTTGGTAAGCTCTTCTTCTCTCTTCTATGACTCGACTGAACCCTTCTCTAGCCTGGGGTCCATATCGCATGTGCCAGCCCAAACTCTCAGCCTAAGGCGTCATTAGGCATATTCGATTTAACCGACCCAGTGGCCGCCATATCATTGGCCCAATTTGTGCTTGGATTATCGTCGTATTTCAAGGACCTTATCAACGCCACATCAGTAACGTCTGTCGATGCGGATCCATCCCTGCACTGGAGATCAGATCTCATCGATATCTCCTCTGAATCAGGAGAACAATGGAAGGAGCGAGTTTCAAGGTGGGCATGCGACGTACACGTGTCCACATGCGCGAGGTTCCTACTATTTTCAGTTTTGTAGTTGCAGGGCATGCATCCTTATTTATTTCTTTTTAAAGCAGCGATACTTCCTCTTCTCCTCCCCGTACCCCACCATTACACGCTACACGTTCTCAGCCTAGCTGCTGGTCCCCAACTATGTCTTCGAGAAATCTGCATACTATTCACGAGGAAGGACACGATGAACCCAGAGGCTCCAAGTCTCTTCGAAGCGGTGTCAAACGTGATGGTACTCAAAGTGACCACAAAGTGAGCAGGTGAGCATGGCAAGTTTTGAGCGTAATGATGGAAATGATATAGTAAATTGATATTCAGCGATAAAAGCTTTTCTGCAAGTCAATCTTCTGTTGCAAAGCACTCTGTAAGCAAAAAGTCGACAAAAATGTTATCAACCTCTAAGTGAGAGCATATACATATACATCATGTGTTGAATCGTGACTTACAATATTTAGAGATAAAAGCCCCGCTGGAAATCAGCTTTCTGTCGACAAGTACTCCGCAAGCAAAGAGTCGAAAACAAATGTATCAAACTCTAGGTGAGAGCATATACATTAAACGTGTTAAATCATGACTGACAGCTGGGATAGTTTTGCGATGAAGAGTGAGAATGGCTTAGATGAAGAATTATCGATTACGAATTGGCTTTTTGATAGAAGAGCTCTCACGATCGGTAGAATCTTGTTAGCAGATCTTGCTCAAGACCCAGAATCGGAACACAAAGAGATTAACGAAAAAATCAAATTTTACGACGAGACGACTAAATTTTGCTGGCCAAGCAGCTGGAAAACATTGGTTAGTTTCCTCGATCTTAGTGCCACGTCTTATATACTCACGTCAATGCAGAGTGACCTACCTGGATCAGACCTTAGCATTGAAGGGCATCGTAGAATGCTTTTTGAAAATTATAATAACTATGTTCAGGCTGGCAACGAGGTTCCAGACCTGGAGACCAAAATCATGGAACTCCTCTCCAGTCGGTTCTCCTCTATGTTGTCATCTTCCGATGGTGCATATACTCGAGCTCTTGCAGCGGCGAAACGTAATTCTAATGAAGCTGAACGCCGCCATGATTGGGACAATCTGTTACTCAAATTTTTCACGACCTCGAAGTACACTGGTAGCACAAACCGTGATGTGTTGTAAGTACCAGGCAACGCGCCCTAAAGCATATCTAATCGTTTACGTAGGCTGGAACGTGTTTTAAATGCACCTCGAAATATAGCCCTTGACGCGATGAGGACTTCTGCTGCTGATCACGTGCGAGAGCGCTCTAAGCTAGCACGTCAATATGAATCACATTGCAGGCTAGCAGACTTCAGCTATGGCTATGATGGGGGAAACAGAGTTGTCGCTTCTCAAGCTCTTCAGGCGCTTAACCAGTCTGCTTCATTTGTCGAGCAAGTCAAGGGTGATATAGAGGCCCGCTTGCTCGATGCCCTCGAACGTCGCACCAACCAAGAACCAACACGTGGAAAATGTGATGCAATTCTAGTCGTACCCCTTGAAGGCGTCTGCGCTAAGATCGTTAAAATCCTTGGCCAGTCCGAAGGCAGGAAGTTCGTGAAAAATCTTGCTTTGATAGCACATCCTGGTGCGGAAAAGTCGGCATCTGGGACTGGGAAGAACGACAGAGGTGAGAAAAAATAGCTGAGTCGTAGAGCTCTTGCTAAACTCGAATGAAATCAGCAAACTCGGACTCAGCTCGACATCTGACCGTTGAGCCTCAGCCATCATCGGTCACGGACAACAGCAAATCAACTTCCTATCCCTCCTTGCACAATGTCTTCACGGCAACTGTTCCGAGACCACCCTCCGAGTCCTCGGAAACCCTGTCGAAAGATGTCGTTCAGCTTCAGGCAGCCCAGGACGGGGAAATAGACAATGATTTATTATTGCCAGTCCTTACCGCGGAGTACAAGAAAAAAGATGTTACTACGACATTCAAGGCTTTGAACCAGTCTCGAATGTATACGGTTTCAGCACTGTATTTTCTGAGATCCTTGGGGATCGTTGATTTTCCGCTTTTTGGCCTAGTCACCTCTGGGTCTGAAGGAGCAGTATCAATGGCTTGGTACTCGTCCAAGCAACAAGTAAGTATGTTCATTGATATGCTCATTGACATCTTACCATCCCTCACCATAGAAAATTTTTTTAATGGAGCGGAACCTCCAGTTATATGACATTTCAGACCCGCTCCAAGTTTACGAGTTTTCTGTAGTTCTTCTTCGCATTGCTGAACATGGTCAGAAGCTCGAAGTGAAGCTGCAAGAAATGCTGACCAAAATTGATGAGCGAAGCAAAATTGATGAGTGAAGCAAAATTAAAACATCCAAGCACTGGTCTAATTTGGCTCAGCCAAAAGAACTGTAGTATATCTCAAACCATGTCTATAGGCTTGCATAGCATCACTGTCACATTTGTACATACTCTTGTATTTGTGGACATGTCTGAACACCTGCATAAAATATCAGAAAATATCAAATATTATTTAAATGCCTTGCCAGCCACTGAAATGCCTAAATATTAGTCATTGCTTGAAATATACAATGAAAGAGTTGCTATGTAAAGGCCATTACAATCTCAGTTTGCAATGCCAATTGCCATGAGCGCTACAATGTCATTACCAGGCCAGGCTCAAATTGTAATTAGAAAAATACATTATCAAATGAACCTTTTATCTTTACAATGGACTAGTGGTTGTTATCAATGATTTGTATAATTGTTATCAGGAAACTTGTAATCATTATTGAGGAATTCTTATCATTATCAGGGAACTCTTATTATTATCTATTAAGAACAAAGCTTGAAGGAAGTGTCTAGCCACTTGCTGAGAGCAATCAGGGACTGGAACTAGAGTCCAATGTGAGTAACTATATTATTAGAGAGTATGACAGGTTTACAGTACCTAGAGTCCAATGTGAGTAACTAGAGAATAGGAAGCATTGGACTCTGCAGTACTGTCCGAAGTTTTGTAAACAAAGGTAAACAAAGCAGCCACAAAGGCAAAATAATAGAGAACACAATCAATAGTGAATGATAGAAGAATAGATAGAGAAAGGAATAAAAATATATAGGTAGCACAAAGGTGCAGAATCACCAAAACTAACATTATCATGGAATCCTTATCACTGAGATACAATGCCAATCATTATTACATTTATTTGACTTACATTACCAGGATTCAGACTAAGGGCCTTGTACTTTATTACAGTTACACATTACTACCAAATTGGAGCATAATAACCACTACACTATTCTACCGTATTTACTATATCATTATGCTTCAATATGATACACAAATTTATGCCATTGTAAGGTCACTGCAGTATGCACTTATCTGTATGTGCCAACTTTCAATGCTTTAGTGTGGGGTGCTACACTGGCTCAATATGTGAATGGAACATGTTAACCAACTGTACTAAAGACAAAGAGAAATATAAGCTACTTTTGAGATCTTGTAGTAGCACATTGATATCCAAAAGTACCAGTAACTTTCCTTCCTCTTTTCCCTCGCACATTAGCACTCAATGAAACTTCTGAAACCTCAACTTCTGCGTCTACTAGGCCAGGAGCAACGGCAGGTCCAGATTGAGCAACTGAAGGCCCTAGATTCTCGGCTACAGCAACACTCTGAGTGTCTGAATCTGTCAATGTATTCATATCCAGAGAGAGTAAGATTATTTCTATGATTTTGTGATTAAACTTACAATAACTGCAGCCCAAGCAACTGATCCTGGAGTGACACTGCAGATACCCCAGTTCTGCACATTGGTGTGTGCACCTCCAGTGCTACTACTTTCCTGATGGAGGGAGGTGCTACCGCACAGAGCAACCTTTAAAAGCTAAGTTTATGTTAGAATATAACAAGTGAAAACATTGAATATAAGGACTTACTTGAACAAGAATCTCCCAATTGCCAAAAACTGTCCTGTATGCTGTATCTTCCTTCAAGTTCGGAAATAAAATTGGCAGGATAATCTTGTACTTTGGATTGTTTGCGGATACTCCAAGCATCTCCTGTATCTTGGCAACATTAGCTTGATCATACTTGATATTGGTAAAATACTTTGCAGGGAGATTGAATATATCCCCGGCAACTGGGCAAATCTTTTTAATTTTGTTTGAACGGGAATCAGCAATAGTAATTTTCAGCTATCATACAGATCAAAAATAATGGGAGCGCAAACAGGAAGGCCACTTACAAGATCACTGAAGTGATTAGTAATCCTAATTGGATGGAGTTACATAGAGAAATGGCCATATAGTTTTTCTAATAATGCACTTTCTTGCATTATGGCAGATGCATAATATTCTGGGCTATTGGATGAGGGTGGCTCTTTTTGACGTGGCTTGATCATGATGTCTGTGTTGGGAAACATCTCAACCATAAGCCCATACTTGTGTGACTCCTTCTGTATGACTGCCTCCTGAACAGCGAGTTCATCTGGTATCTCTGATCATCCTTTACACTTTGGTTTGTTAGCCTCCAAGGTCTTATTTTGCTCCTTTAATGACCTATTCTGCTCCTTTAACGACCTATTTTCCTCTACTAACTTCTGAACTTGAAGCTGCAGTACTTTGAGTGCCTGATGTGATTTCACAATTCAGAACTTAAGTTTGAATGTTACTGGCCATTACCTACATCTGCAAGTTACGTTTTTGAGGCGCTAGGACCTGGGATATTGATACAGGAAGCCAGAGTGTCATCATCTACTAAATCCTCTAGTTCCCAGTTGGAGAAACGCGACATAGTTGGTAATGCTAATCACCAGGAGTGACCAACAGTTTTGGAGGGGCAGGCAATGTAACATAAGTTAGTTTTGACCCTTTCAATAGTGCCAGAATACTGCCTACCTTGAAGTGTGAGGCATAAAGTTTCTGGGAGCTGTGATAATGCCATTTCGGCCATTTGGATTGAAAACAGCTGGTCCAAACGTGTTGTCCATACCAGGAAATCAACGTAAAGTATACACAATGGAGGGGGATACTAGGTTGTAGGTTTATGACTAAAGACTCTTCTTGCTGTGATGCGAGAAGCTTCATCCTCAGCTAAATCATGTAATTTTAGTCAACTTTGTAGCCAATGATAGGATGTAAAATGTGCCTTTGTGCATCAGATATTATGGGCCCAATTTTTTTGGAGAGAGGGCCCTTGTGGCTAGTAATAATAATGTAATAGATGAATATGAGCACCAGTGTCGATGATGACAACTGCAGTTAGAAAACCACACACAAAAACAAACTAACACATAATCCTCCCAGATTCCACGGAACTTGTTTATGGGCTTTGCCTCCTAGAACAGTGGAGTGGTCTGGTTGTTTGTGGGGTGGTACGTATAATGATCCTTCAAAGTAAAACCCAGAGATGTATGGGTGTGGGTTTTGAGGAGGAGGGATAGTTGGAATATAAAAAGATAGGGGCTTTGTGGTGAGTATAGATGAGCACTACCTTGCTAATTGTAGTACAAAGTAGGTTTTAGAATGACAAGGTAATGAGGTTCCCAGTGATAGCAGGCTCCTGACACACAAACTGTAGTGCTCAGAAAGACTCTAATTGAAAGGGATGATAATGACCTTCAAAAGTAACGAGTGATAATGACAGCAATTAACAGTTGTAGCAGTGGGAAGTGTTGTGACCACACTGAATCACAAGTAGCAGAGTAGTGAACTTGAGATTAGAGAAGAAGTCTGGATTGGAGTTCTTGTTGTTGTTTTACAAGGTAAAATACAGGTGTTTATATAGTGACAGAAAAGTAGGCTATGCACAGTATAGCTGTGCAAAAAGAATGAGAAAGAACATGAAGGAAGGAGTGTACGCTGACAAATCCTGCATAGGTAGTACAGGATAAGATTGTCAAAAACAAAAAGAAAGGGATAGAACAATGAATGCTGTGAGTAATGTCACAGGTTTGTACAGCCATAAAATAAAGTCCAATAGCAAAAAGAGAGCAGGAAAATCATGATGTCATGGGAAAATGCAGTAAAAAAAGGGCAAGGCAAAACACTATCAGTATCAACACAGTTCCTTTATTGTCAGTCAGGCATTCTAAAAAAATATGTGTCCATAAAAATGATTCAAAAAATCAAAAATAATCACACTGTAAATGAATGTTCTGCTGAAAAAAAAAGAAACTGGAGCCACTGGTCTACCACCTAGTCCAAATCCAATGGTTTCATGGCCTTACCAATGGACTGGTTGTGTTGGACTACCTGGTCAAATGAGGGAGGGAGAGGAGTAGTTTCAATTTGGAACAAGTAAGTCCCAGGCAGCGTGTGGTAGCTGTAGCTGTAGCAAAGACGATGGACGAAAGATAAGTGTACCCAAGTGAATGGGACGGCGATGTACATAGGCAATGCAAGGGGATGAACCTTCTCCAGCTCACAAACTACCCACCCACACTCCAACCAGGCAGGACAAGCGACCAATGTTTTGATGGTATACTATGGAAGATCAACATCATGAAGATGGACCTGTTGCCCTATTTGGACCGGCTGCCGGGGCTTTGCTGATATCAGCAGTGGCACGTGGTAGTCAATGGATTGGCGATGGAAGCGGATAGGAAGTGGTGATATCAGAAATGGTGGGGGAGCAAAGAAGATGAGGAGGAGGAGGGTGGAGGTGACAAAGAGGTGGATTAGAAATGGGATCCAGAAACGACCGTTGGGTGAGAATAAAAAGGAGAGGAAGGGTCCCATGGTGGGGCTGAGTAAAGTAAAAAGCAAGGGAGAATGACGAAAGTGAGGGCACAATGTGTAGCCAGTGGCGACACAAAAATTTGCCAAAATGCCAAAATGCGGAAAGTACGGAATGGAAAAGCAAAGGTGAGCGCAACTGGATTGCCTAGTAGGGGTGGTGCTGATCAGCCAAGTCTTTTTGAATATTTGCTTCGTTATTGACACCTGTTTATGCTACCAATCAACTTTGGTGCATGACAACGGTATTTACTGATACTAATGGCTTTGTAATATACAAATCTGCCTCGGGGATATCACTTTAACAACTAGTAAACACTATTTACAATGAAATACTATGGCTATTGTCTCTTTTTACTCTTTAGCTTTAAGATTAAAAACCAGCAAAAAGCAAACAAAAGCATGTATTAAAAACTCCGTATTAGGCCAAACCAGACACGATAGGACTGTTGAGCCTTACTAATACCAGGCCAGAATTGTCCGTGTCCTCTGCTTGAATTGACAGATATCCTTTATCACAGCACTCAGGCTGAATTAACAGGTCACCCTGGTGAGCTTGATCAGCATACTCTGGCACTTCAGCACGATCAGCCGTGTCAGCGCAATCAATGTGGCTAGCGTATTCACACTCATCACACGTATTATCCTTACAGGTATCTGATCAAACCTGTCCACAGCGTTTTGTATCTAATATGTTATCCAAATATTTTACAGCATTATCAGGCCGCATTTGGCCAAATCATGAAAAACAGATTTTTGCAACAGACATACATAGGAGTAATTTAAAACTCATAAATCAATTTGCACAAGCTACATTCTCCGATGAGATGTGCCAAAATAATAACAGAGGAGGAGCATACCATAGCCTATGATTAGATGTTGCAATAGAGTAATCCTTTCCAAAATATTTGCCATCAGAAGCTCCTTGTCTACCTGGACATTGTTGGTGGAAGGCCTACTCAAAGAAAAGTGACACTCAGTCTCAATAACTTGAGCAAGCTGCTCTATTGAGGGTGGTTGTATAAGGTAAAGGGGATAGAGAAACCAAGTTTGGCAGGAATGATGGTCTGGGAGAACTAGTCAATAGTTCGTGTAAAACATTGGGTGGCATTTGTGGGCCATAGTCTCATCAAAGAACTCCAATGATCATGATATGGCATTTCGTGGTTGGTACATGTCCTGGCATGATTGTGGCTGTTATACTCAAGGTATATGAGAATGTAACCCAGTCAATATCTTATTCAGATTTTCATTTTTGTTAGCGGAATATAAATGCATTCCAAGGCATTGTAAAACATCACAATAATTCCTGTTCATTAGAACCTTATATCTGAATGACCGCTCAATTTTCTTGGTACACAACTGAACAATAATGCAATCGCAACAATCTGATCTGATGACAGGCATATCCATGAAGAACCATTAGTGTAAGTTCCTTTCAACTAAATTGCAATGATGTTCAAATTTTTGAGCTTACGATAACTCCCTCCAATAAGCTCAACAAGGGTGGGACATTTGCAATAATGTGACAAGGTTAACATGATTTTTTTAGTTCATGATATTCATATCCACAATGGTCAACTAATGTCAGTTGTCTACAACTCTTTATCAGTGCAGTTCAATTCACGTCAATATTTATGACTGTGCAGTAATTATATCACAATATGCTGAGTCCACGATAAGCCTATCGATAGAGATTTAACAATGTGAGTTCTTTCAAACTACATAGCAAAGCCATGAATTGTTTTGCACTTGCAATAAATGGTATATCTAACACTTAATATATGTCAGATGTCGACAATGGCATGATGAAGTCTTTGTAATTTTTTGAGCTTATAATATTTGCACCCATAATGGTCCGAGGGTGCTCCAAGCTCGATTTGCTAGGGATAAAAAATGCAACACCTTACAACTTCTTGGTAAGTATAGTATCTGATTTGATTTGGCTTTCTAGCCATTTGTAATTACAAGGTAAACTTAGCAATAAATTTGGTGCCATGACTACAATATCCAACTCAGTGGATTCAGCAATCACAGTACAGTTATATTTCAACATTAGCGTCAAGCCTTCTGAGAGCAAAAGTCTATGGGTCGGTTCCAAGTACATGTACTATATAGCATCCTAATTATCAATGACCATGTTTCACATGAACAAAATAGTGAGAAGCCACTGTGAAATAGTTCCAAGATACTGAGTGATATACTGGCATGGGGGATCTGTAATGTAAAGTAAAAGAGGTGGTGAAATGAAGATACTGCATCATAAGTCATCAAAATTGTCAAATATATCAGGCTTGTCCTTGTTGTTGTCATCAAACTCCCCATCATCAAAGTCCATTTCCACGGCATTGATGTCCATATCCTCCTCTTCGGGGTCAACCTCGTCTTTGTCCTCCATCACCTGGACCCCATCAAATGCCAGCCTTTTCTCTGCTGACCTTGCCCCGCTGGTGGTTGGTTGGTCCGCCTGAATTGATCTGTAAACTCCAGCTATACACTCCCTCTAAGGTCTTCTACTGTGCACCGTCACATCCTCTTCCTTGTCAGACGCCTTGTCGACTATATCTTTGCTCAGGACCAATTGCGAGCAAGCCATATGGCTAATGCCACCCCCACAGAATCTCATGAACATGTTGCAATCAACAAAACTGTTCTTGGTAAGCCAATGTAAACAGTCAACAGGGAAGGAAAAACTTACATGTTAACATAATATGCACTCTAATCATCGGATTCACCAGGAGCATGGCCAGCAGATGGGCCTGGCCTCAACAAGACAGAGGTTTGTTCATCATGGAAGGCGGTGTCATGCACCAAAGTTGATTGGTAGCATGGACAGGTGTCAATAACGAAGCGAATGTTCAAAAAGACTCGCCTTTGCGCCACACAGGCACAGTGCCACGTGGAATAGTAATTAATATTGCCCTTTTTGAACTTGTGGCTGATCAGCACCACCTCTATTAGGCAATCCAGTCACACTCACCTTTGCTTTTCCATCTGGTACTTTCCGTATTTCGGCATTTCGGCAAATTTTCGCGTCGCCACTGGCTACACATTGCATTGCGCCCTCGCTTTTGTCGTTTCCCTTACTCCCCTTCCTTTGCCTAGCCCCACCATGGGCCCCTTCCTCTCCTTTTTATTCTCACCCGACGGTCGTTTCTGGGTCCCCATTTTAGTTCACCTCCTCGTCACCTCCACCCTCCTCCTCCTCATCTTCTTTGCACCCCCACCATTTCTGATGTCACCACTTCCTATCCGCTTCCATCGCCGATCCGTTGACTACCACGTGCCACTGCTGATATCAGCAAAGCCCCGGCGGCCGGTCCAAATAGGGCAACAGGTCCATCTTCATGACGTCGATCTGCCATCATATACTATCAAAACATCGGTCGCTCGTCTTGCCTGGTTGGAGCGTGGGTGGGTAGTTTTTGAGCTGGAGAAGGTTCATCCCCTTGCGTCGCCCATGTTCATCGCTGTCCCATTCACTTGGGTACACTTATCTTTTGTCCATCGTCTTCGCTACAGCTACACCTACCATACGCTGCCTGGGACTCACTTGTTCCAAATTGGAACTACTCCTCTCCCTCCCTTGTTTGATCAGGTGGTCCAACACAACCAGTCCATTGGTAAGGCCATGGAACTGTCGGATTTGGACTAGGTGGTGGACCGGTGGCTCCAGATTCTTTTTCTTCAGCAGAACATTCATTTACAGTGCGATTATTTTTGATTTTTGAATCATTTTTATGGACACATATTTTTTTAGAATGCCTGACTGACAATAAAGGAACTGTGTTGATACTGATAGTGTTTTGCCTTGCTCTTTTTTTACTGCATCTTCCCATGACATCATGATTTTCCTGCTCTCCTTTTGCTATTGGACTTTACTTTATAGCTGTACAAACCTGTGATATTACTCACAGCATTTATTGTTCTATCCCTTTCTTTTCTTTTTTTGACAATCTTATCCTGTACTACCTACGCAGGATTCGTCAGCGTACATTCCTTCCTTCATATTCTTTCTCATTCTTTTTGCACAGCTATACTGTGCATAGCCTACTTCTCTTTTACTATATAAACCCCTGTATTCTACCTTGTAAAAAAAAAACAAGAACTCCAATCCAGACTTCTTCTCTAATCTCAAGTTCACTACTCTGCTACTTGTGATCCAGTGTGGTCACAACACTTCCCACTTCTACCACTGTCAACTGCTGTCATCGTCACTTCCCACTTTTGAAGTCATTGTCATCCCTTTCGATTAGAGTCCTTCTGAGCACTACAGTTTGTGCGTCAGGAGCCTGCTATCACTGGGAACCTCGTCATATTGTCGTTCTCAAACCTACCTTGTGCTACGATTAGCAAGGTAGTGCTCGTCTATACTCGTCACAAAGCCCCTATCCTTCTATAAATTCAACTATCCCTCCTCCTCAAAACCCACACTCATACACCTCTGGGTTTTACTTTGAAGGATCTTTATACGTACCACCCCACGAACAACCAGACCACTCCACTGTTCTAGGAGGCAAAGCCCATAAACAAGTTCTGTGGAATCTGGGAGGATTGTGTGTTAGTTTGTTTTGTGTGTGGTTTTCTAACAGCAGTTCTCATCATCGACAGCGCCTGGATGTTGGACCCTTGTTCCTGCCTTTCAACACCTTCATTATTGTGGGTGTCTTTGGGAGCTTGATGGTGAGGGTGTAAGGTAGGTTCCGGCTCATTACGCATCATCCTCCTGAGGTGCAGCTCTTGGATCAAAAGCTGCTTTATGACTCGCATTTTGTTGGTACGCCTATAAAAGTGCTTGACCGAGCAATGTGCTAATTCACCCTATTACAGAAGTATTATTGTGGTTTAATTAGGTTTTTTTGGGGATATAAACTCAGCTATTCGTGTGGTATACGAGTCCGTGCAACCAAAGAGGCGAATTATGCGCACGTAGTCTGCGAGTGCATGAAACTTGTAAGTACCCAGATTGAATACCTTATTACGGGTACCGGTCCCTTCTGTCTTACTCAGAGTGGGTTTGTCTTTCAGCCTCCGAAGACAAGCAGCCTTTTCACGTGGTAATTCCGTTGTCTTGAAAGCTGAACATGTAATATCCCAAAATTGGCGGGCTAGCTTGCAAAGGGCTTTAAGCGCCGTGTCTAGTAATTCCAGAGTAGATTTTGTGTGAATATGTAACTTGGCAAGTGCATGCTATTCAGACAGTCGGAAAAGGAAGGTTTGTAATATTTTATTGTGCTCTGGGGGAAATAAGCCTTTGAAAGCCAGCATAAAGCACTACAGGTCAATAAGTAAGCATGTCTCAGCACAAATAGAAAAACTATACCTGCAGTATGTCCTCAAAGTTCCTTGCTGCTAATTTCCTCATCTGAAATACATTTGCAACGAATGCGCGGATGGTTCCTTGGCCAAAGGGAAGAATTTGACGATACCTATAAGGAAGTCAGATAAATTACAAAATATATTTTGCTTACAAACCTTGCGTCTAAATCAGCAACGGCTGAGTGACTGATGGAAAAGAGAAGACAGATGAGATGGGTGAAGGTTGACTTCCATACACCAAGCTCAAACTCGTGCATTAAGTCCACCACGGAGATCTGAAAAGAATCAAAACCGAAAGGACTCAGCCTCTCTGCAAATGCATTCTAAAATGTAAATTAGTTATTGGAGACTTGTGAACAGAGTTCTGAACAAACATACTATGGTCGGCACCAGAGATTCAGACTGTAATAAAACTTGGACCGCTTTTATAACAACCAAGAATTATTTACTCCGGCACACACAAGAACACACTATAGAGAAGAGAGAAGGAGGGATCACCCCTCAGGTTTCAGTGGGTTGGTTGTGCTAGACAACAGGAGGACTCACTGAGGAGTCTCCATGTATTGCTCCTGTATATATACTAAAATACATGAGGTACTGTACAGTTGTAAATAAAGTTTAAAGTCCAATGTCTAGCATGTGACCTGTCACATGGTGAGCCTAGACACTGGTCAGGTGATGTGTCACATAACTTGGTCATGTGACTATGAAAAGTCGAAAATGTAAAGTAAAGTAAATGGTCACATGACTGGTCATGTGACTTGGAAAATGAAAAGTCAAGTACAAAAGTGAAGCGTAAGTAGGTGCTGGTATGTCAATTGTAACAGCTTTTCCGTTGACTGGTACACCTTGTTTGTAGATAAAATCTCTAGCGAGCGACACCTTTCCTGCGATATAAACACAAGCTTGCAAAAGTCGGGCTTGAAGATTGTGAACTAGGCCTGATTGATCACAATGTGATAGTTGGACCAAACAGCAAGGACATGGGCATTTTCCCATATCTCGGATTGCAGCGAGCATAACCCTATGTACATATGATACGTAAACAAACTATAAGAGGGTCCACAAAGCACTAGCACTCACTTTTCAGGGTAGTCTGCGGAGTAGGTAAGGATTTGTGGATAGAATCTCCTGAATATCCCGTCAAAACACTTGATAATTATACCGTGCTTGTAGGGGTGCATAAAATTGGAATCGAGAAGCAGCCTCCAGACTTCATGTATAAGCTCTGAACGACAATGGGTGATAAGAGCGGTAGACTTTTGCGTTTGCTGAACGACTATTGATAAGAACTCTTGGAGGTTATCTGGCAACTACTGGATTTTAACACCAGAATCTTGGAATAAGCAAAATAAACCTACTGTTGGTATATACGCAATATGCTGACATGCTCTGGAAGTGAGCCTCCCGCAAGCGTATTTTGATAGGTTGCCGAGATACATGTAAATAGGTGCCTGGGCATTTCCAAATGATGCAAGACTTGTGGAGTCTGACCAGAACATTAGGGCTGCAATGACCCTTTCCAACTTGCATCCGGGTTCGGGTGGTTGTCTGCTTAGCTTTTCCTAAGCTTCAAGCCAGGCATCAGAGGTGTAGAGTTCATTGCACATGCACTCCTCAGGGCCACCAGAGGGAGGAACCCAAAACCATTTGAAAGAAAACAGATGAAGCCCCTTTGCAGAGACCTCAGAAAGGACCGATTGAAGGACCAAGATGATAGGGTGGTATCTGAAGTGAGGAATAGAGAAAACTTTACCATTTCCGTTTGCATCCATCGTCCTAGTAGGAATACAAATGTTTACTTCACTCTCTTTCCAACCATCATATGTGAAAGGGTTATCACTGGGAGAATCAGACTGATCAAAAACCTGGTTTGCGTGATGGGCATTAAAGCTACGCAAGTCCTTAATATTGAAGTCCGGGGCCAAGATAATGTCTCAGACAAGTCGCATCACCTCCCTCTCAGATTTTTGATGGGAGCCGGTGATCATCCACTTCATGATACAATGTATAGACATATTAGTAAAGGGCCAGGGAGCTGGGTGGGATGAGTGATTAGATTGCAATACCATGGTATCCCCGGTCATTGTGGGATCCCTATATCTTACTTGCCAAAGATCTTGAGGGCTAATCTTGTCTTCAGGATCATATGAGGGGCAGCTTGCATATTGATGATCAAGGCCAAATTTGTTTATGGAAGTCCTTATTCCGTCCCTAATAAACAGCAGCACTTTAGAAATTGTGGAAGGCTCTACTGGAACGTCTATCAGTGCAGGTCCTTCAGGAATATTATCACAGTATAGATCAGGGAGTCTGGTGGACTGATCACTCCCAGAATCCTGTATAGATGTTTCTCGATGAGGTTGTGATATGGATGCTGTAGAATCAGGAAACCCAACCATGGATGATGACAAGAAGGTTGGAGGAAGAGAAGTGGAGATACATGTTGAGTCAAGAGCTCCATGGCCGAACCTATCCGAGACCCTGCAAACATTATCACTTGGTGCTAAGAGATTAATTTATGTCGGCAATTACTCACAACAAGGCAGTGTTTGTGTGATATAACGGTGCAGAGGTGTTGCACAATCTATTAAGCGCAGTAAACCTTGCCCTCAACTTTTCAAGTTTTTCCTCGCGTTTTTCTACTGCATGAGCCTGCAATTCTTTGTATAGCTTGCAAGAATGTCAATGTTTACTGAGTCCTTGTTGACAGGTGGATGTACGGCCACAAAGTTTGCTGCATAATAACATGGCAAAGATGTAGAGGAAAAGAAAATGGAGTGGTAAGCCCTTCATAATAATTGCTGGTTAAAGCGCTGATACCTACAGAATGGCAGTGGTAGAATCAGCTTCAATAAAATGTAAGGAAGTCAGAAAAAAAGCAAAATAAGTGCACCAACTTAAATCAGTCATCCAGAAAGGACCAGAAATTTGTGAGACATTGACCTGTGACCCCTCAATACAGTGCACCAAGTCCTCCTCAGGTACATATCACCTATAGAGCTCACATTGACGAGCTTCATCCGCCCATCTATGCTCCCACCTCTTGCGCTGAGATCTCAGTAAACTTGTGTTTGTGCGCAAGCGGGCTATTGCCTCCAATAATCTGTTGTTCTTGTCACACAATGCCTCGTTGTCTGTGAACATTGCAACTTTTGAAGCTAAAAGTTTCTCGTATTCTGTATGTAAGAAGCAATTTGAGAGTTAAAGAATATTCTCAGAGGGAAGTTTTACATAGTACCAGAGGGAAGATTATCCAAAATCCTATCTTTTTGACTAGCCTGAACTTGATGGGTGATATTGCAATCTGGACAATCCAACAGAGGCCCAAAGAAAGCGGCGGCTATTCCACCGAGCGCACCCATGCTTCATATTGGTCAGTTTTGGCGTCTGAATTTTGGATAGATTGAACAAACTTACAATTGAAACCAGGTGGCCTGTTGGCATGCAGGTCCGGTGCAGAACTCACTGTGGAAATATGTGTTATTGTTGCTAGAGGTTGAATTTGGAGGTTGTACACGGGCGGAGTGGTCTGAATCATCTGCCAGTGAGTTATTCATGTGCATATCAGCTATCATAGTAATGTGATAAGGTGTGAGCAAGTGCGGCAACAATAGTTTGATATTTAGATAGTGTTTGACTTCTCCTTTTTATACAGAAACGTACGACTTTAACCCCTTCAACATTGACGGGCTCTCATAGATCCTACAATCCAATGTCAGTAGTGAAGCAATATTATCGCTGTTGGCGAGGTTGGACCCATACCCCGGCAGTTCGGTGGGATTTGGAACAACAGATACTGGTGGCAAAGCATTCCTGCCTTGAATTGGTGATCGCGACTTGCTGTCACGCAGGTTGGACCTCAACCACACCAGTTATAAGGTAATTGTCAAGTGATGTGTGCTTTCAATTGATTCATGATGTAATCTTAGATGTAATTCCATTTGACGATTGTTGGCTAAATTATGCTTCACGACAATGTTGCATAACTTGGGGGAATATCTCTGTGTAAGTCGCAATCCCCGAGCTTTTAGTCACTGCACTGCCAATGTTCTTAAAATCCCACTTGAATCCGCTGGCATTGTCAAGACGGATCACCCGAAGGCAATTCCACCAAGTTGGGCCATCTAAGTCTTGTCACAACCTTTTGGCGACCACGGCGAGCCTCAGCTACTTACATGCAGCATTGTTGACAATTTGCATCCACGGTGTGACTTATACTATGGACTTCACTATGGATTACCAGCAGGACTTGGAGTTGGACGTGACAATGGTTGACTCGGATATGGATCATACTGTAAGTGCCACTGGGGGTCTGGGTAGGTTAAGTAATACAATATGGTTCAAGTCTGTCAAACCCAAGCGGCGGCGTAGGGAAGCCATGGAATGGCAAAGTACCCGTTTTAAGCAAGAGTCTAGCTTCTGCAGAGGCGTTGAAGGGCAGCAGGCTTGTGATTTCTACCGTGGTACAGAGAATCAACAAGATACTGATTTGTACCAGGGACTCCCGGGTCAACAGTATTACTTACATCAAGACACCAGGCAGGAATCCAACTGGCTTCAAAGCGTCAAGAACCAGCCAGCAGGCTTTGGGTCTCGGTCCCGGTGTCATGCACCAAAGTTGATTGGTAGCATGGACAGGTGTCAATAATGAAGCAAATATTCAAAAGACTCGCCTTTGCGCCACACAGGCACAGTGCCACGTGGAATAGTAATTAATAAATATTGCCCTTTTTGAACTTGTGGCTGATCAGCACCACCTCTATTAGGCAATCCAGTCACGCTCACCTTTGCTTTTCCATCTGGTACTTTCCGTGTGTCGGCATTTCGGCAAATTTTTTATTTTTGTGTCGCCACTGGCTACACATTGCATTGCGCCCTCGCTTTTGTCGTTTCCCTTACTCCCCTTCCTTTGCCTAGCCCAACCATGGGCCCCTTCCTCTCCTTTTTATTCTCACCTGATGGTCGTTTCTGGATCCCCATTCTAATCCACTTTTCCGTCACCTCCACCCTCCTCCTCCTCATTTTATTTGCACCCCCACCATTTCTGATGTCACCACTTCCTATCCGCTTCCGTCGCTGATCCGTTGACTACCACGTGCCACTGCTGATATCAGCAAAGCCCCGGCGGCCGGTTCAAATAGGGCAACAGGTCCATCTTTATGACGTCAATCTACCATCATATACTATCAAAACATCGGTCGCTCGTCTTGCCTGGTTGGAGCGTGGGTGGGTAATTTTTGAGCTGGAGAAGGTTCATCCCCTTGCGTCGCCCATGTTCATCGCTGTCCCATTCACTTGGGTACACTTATCTTTTGTCCATCGTCTTCGCTACAGCTACACCTACCATACGCTGCCTGGGACTCACTTGTTCCAAATTGGAACTACTCCTCTCCCTCCCTTGTTTGATCAGGTGGTCCAACACAACCAGTCCATTGGTAAGGCCATGGAACTGTCGGATTTGGACTAGGTGGTGGACCGGTGGCTCCAGATTCTTTTTCTTCAGCAGAACATTCATTTACAGTGCGATTATTTTTGATTTTTGAATCATTTTTATGGACACATATTTTTTTAGAATGTCTGACTGATAATAAAGGAACTGTGTTGATACTGATAGTGTTTTGCCTTGCCCTTTTTTTACTGCATCTTCCCATGACATCATGATTTTCCTGCTCTCTTTTTGCTATTGGACTTTACTTTATGGCTGTACAAACCTGTGATATTACTCACAGCATTTATTGTTCTATCCCTTTCTTTTCCTTTTTTTGACAATCTTATCCTGTACTACCTATGCAGGATTTGTCAGTGTACATTCCTTCCTTCATATTCTTTCTCATTCTTTTTGCACAGCTATACTGTGCATAGCCTACTTTTCTTTTACTATATAAACCCCTGTATTTTACCTTGTAAAACAACAACAAGAACTCCAATCCAGACTTCTTCTCTACTCTCAAGTTCACTACTCTGCTACATGTGATCCAGTGTGGTCACAACACTTCCCACTTCTACCACTGTCAACTGCTGTCATCGTCACTTCCCACTTTTGAAGTCATTGTCATCCCTTTCGATTAGAGTCCTTCTGAGCACTACAGTTTGTGCGTCAGGAGCCTACTATCACTGGGAACCTCGTCACCTCGTCATCCTCGTTGTTCTCAAACCTACCTTGTGCTACCATTAGCAAGGTAGTGCTCGTCTATACTCGCCACAAAGCACCTATCTTCCTATAAATTCAACTATCCCTCCTCCTCAAAACCCACACTCATACACCTCTGGGTTTTACTTTGAAGAATCTTTATACGTACCACCCCACGAACAACCAGAGACTCCACTGTTCTAGGAGGCAAAGCCCATAAACAAGTTCCGTGGAATCTGGGAGGATTGTGTGTTAGTTTGTTTTGTGTGTGGTTTTCTAACCACAGTTCTCATCATCGACACCGGCCTCGATAATCAACAGTTTGAAGTCTCACCAATGCATCACTCCCTCAAATTCCAGCAAACACTACAATTCTCAGCACTTTTAGCAGGGATATGCATCCACGCAATATCACAATCAGCAGAGCCTTGACGGCTTCCTGCCTTTAAACGCCTTAGTCCCTCTACGGTGTAATATTCAGAATATGATTTGATGTTCATGATTTTATTTTAGGGTGTGTCTCAACAAACTGTGCTGTGTTGCACCACATTATGTTTCACACAGAGTTGTGTCGTCAGGATGTGCCTAGCCAGATAGGAGAGGAACTGTATGGTTCCACTCAACATGTAAAGGACCAACAGGACAAGTTTCAGCGAACTGGCTGCTCGCATAATGTGTCTCATTACAGCCCTGTACAAGATCACTCCACCAACGTTCATGTTCCTTCTTGGTCCACAACCCCAGCTCAACCAGTGGTTCCCACCTTCCCTGTATCTTACTTTGGGAAGAAGATACTGCTGATATCTGTACCAAAAAATGCAAACTCGAGGGATCCGATCCGCAAGGGTTACTATCACCCAGACAAAATCATCTTCCTTAATCAAACTATTGAATTGTATAAAGTTTACTTACCAACTGTCCACTTGTACCCTGCGGAGTCCATTGCGAGAGCGAGTATCTTTGAAAAACTCTCAGAATTAGTGCAGGCCGACAAGAGTCTTCATCAACATGCAAGACAAAGGCTTAAAGGTTCTCCGTGTTCGAAGCTGGTTTGGCATCTCAATCAAAGTTTACTCAATGTAGTGCTTACATTTCTCGTGCAGGTGTTCGACACAGGAAAACAGTTCTGCTTGTTGTTGGGAAACTGTAACAACCAAGATTTACTCTGGCGCACACAGGAACACATTATAGAGAAAGATGATGAGGGAGTGGTTACCCCTTAAGATGCAGAGAGTTAGTTGGTATACAACAGGAGGACTCGCTGAGGAGTCTTCTGGATCTATTGGGGTATATATACTACTACAGGGTTGTTTGTACATGTGTACTATACAGTTGATAGAGATAGTGGCTGATGATGTCATGGGGCCTAGCCCACATGGCCAGCTCCACTGTGTGAGAGAGTTGTGTTCTAAAATAAGAAGAAAGGCAACGCGGCGCAAGAAAGGGAAATGCCACGTGGCACCATGTGTGAAAACTAAAGTACAAGGTTAAGGCAGAGAATAAAAGTAAAGAGAAAGTCCAAAAATTGTGTTATCGTAACAGAAACCAGTCACTTACAATACTCCTAGAGTATTTTGGGTCTGTCTCTAAGGAAAAGATGCAGGGTATATTTTGGGCTGCGCTTAAGGCTGGGACAGTGTTTTGGATGTCAGATCCCAACATTTTTGACACAATCTGGTATAGATGTTTGTTCTAAGGGTATGGTTTGGGTCTGCAGATGCTTTGGGGCACCTGTATGGACAGGAATTTGCAGAAGGAGCTGCTTTGAAGATAACGCCAATAGCTTCCGCAATTTGTTCTGTAAGTCCCATTCTTGGTATGTTTAACCATGAAGTGCTTATTTTATACTCTGTATTAGCTTGAAAGGGCCATGGTCAATTATCTCACTAAGCAAACCAAGTCAAAGTCGGTATTTGCAGCAGTTCCTTACAGTGCCCAATATTGCCATATTGTCAACACACTAATGGATGAGATAGTTCAGGAGGAAAGTCTTTACTTTAGAAATGAGATGATGAATTTGGGCAGCTCCGTCTATCATTGCATTGGACACCTTGTTCATTTTGGTTCAAAACTCACAACGACAGCTATCTGAAGACATATATAGCACAATTATCATAATATTAAAGTGTCGGTTTATTATATATAAGCACATAAACATTATGGGTGTTCCAGGTGGATTTTAAATTAATTATTTTGAGGGACATTCTTCTGAACTTCCAGAGGATACAGAAGCAAACCACTTGTCGTCTTTTTCCTCAAGTTCCATACAAGTGAGTACAATACTGGCTGTTACAATTAATGTACCTACTTACACTTCACTTTTCGTACTTTTACTTTTACTTTTTCCAAGTCACATGATTGATCATGTGACCATTGACTTTACTTTATATTTTCGACTTTTCATAGTCACATGACCTGTCATGTGACTCATCACCTGACCAATGTCTAGACTCATCATGTGATTGGTCACATGCTAAACATCGGACTTTAAACTTTACTTACAACTCTATAGTACATATGTACAAACAAACCTGTTGTAGTATATATACCCCAATAGATCAAGGAGACTCCTCAGTGAGTCCTCCTATTGTCTAGCACAACTAACTCACTGCAGCCTAAGGGGTAACCACTCTTCATCATCTTTTTTATAGTGTGTTCCTGTGTGCGCTGGAATAAATAATTCTTGGTTGTTACAGCATCATCATTATGAGAATGGGTAGGACTTGATTTACAACAAAGCATTACTAGAGTTAAGGGAAATTTGAGAAGTAAGTCCCAACACTCCATGAACTTAACTCAATATACTCACAGCCAACACAGATAGTAGAAAGGAGAAAGATTGTCTGAGGGAGACAATACTTGAGCAGAGGGATGGTGATACACGTCAGTGAGTATTTCTCATAACCTTTAAGTAATTATTTGGTTGGTACACTGAAAAGGAATAGGCAACCCTGAATTTGTGGTGACTTGGCAGGGATTTGGCAGTAAGGCAGCTCTTCTCTTCTCACACATGACTCCTCGCATGACTGAGAATCAGATTATGGGCATCTTGAAATTGCGCTCATACTGCCATGTTACTAGTAGGGAGTGCAGTTGAGCAGACCTCCCCTAACCTTCCCTTTTGATGCCTGAGAATGCTTGAGGATTTAGAATCCACATGAATCCCGCATGTACCTTTGTTGTGATGACATACTTGCTAAAACCTCAAAAGTTATTCAGAATAACCATCAATACATAGCACTCAAATTGAACATGAAGATACTCACACCAAGGTCAGGTTCTCTTCTTTGCCATGTTTTATCAATATTGCTCTTGGAAGTGATTTGGTCACGCTAAGGTGCATTTCCACTCCTACTGAATGATCCTGTTTTCTTGCAGATGTCAAACTGATGGGCAATTGCATATCTGAATGTTCCAGACCATGTCCCACACTCCTATTGTCTTGGACTCCTATATTTTGGTATGTATCTCTTGCTCACTGTCTCCTCAATCTATGCTCACTCATAGTACACACATTCACATTTTCCCCGTATATGCACAAGCATATCAGATTATCCACTCTGGTTTTCCTGGTGGCTTCTATCATCGAATCCTGTCCGCGATGTCTATTATTGCAATAATTGTCCCAATCACTAGTGTGCAACATTGACAGTGAGTAAGTGTGGCATTACTTTGGCAATCCCCATGTTTGGATCAAAAACTCCCAGTGACTGCAGTGGCCACGCAGAGAACGTCCAAATTTAGAGTTACATTACCCACGGGCCGGTCTTTCCTTCTGTCCTTTACTCACTCTTCGCTGTATCATCATTGCCCTCTTACACTAGTCAATACATGCTGTCATTCAATCGCGGGGTAAGTCTTTATCTCATCTCATTATCTTATTTTGACGCCTACCCACGTGCCTGCAAGTATATCCGTGAGCCAAAGGTAAGCTTGCATTCCCACCTATGTACGCTATTTTCACTGCTATTTAGTAGTTTATCGTGTCCCACTACCCCCGAGTCCACCAACGACATAATGCTCACCAAAGAGAGCCATTCAGTTGTTGTGCAGGCGGAAGAGAATTGGGAGACGGTCCTACAGGTGGAGGAGAGTCGCACATTGGTTGCGCAGGTGGGGGAGAGTCATTTGGTGGTTGCACAGACTATGAGTGAGTTTGCTCACAGTTGTTCATCCTTGCCAGCCCATCACCACCGGTGCATCAATTGTCGCCCATCACCCATCAAGAGAACGTGATTCCGAGGAAACTCAAGCCTTGAACAGGGTACATCTCACATTTTACTACATTTATTCATTATCATTTTCCCTTATGGTCATGTAGGCGGACCAATTCTTGATGTTCTCGAACACTTCTTCGACTGTCGCACGGGGCAAATTTAGTATAGTCGGGGGTAATCAAGAGCACAATATTCATTACCATTTTTACCTTTTCCCTCGCAAGGTTTGGTTCTTTGATTCTGAGTGGGTTCAGTTTGATTCTTTCTATGTTTCTTGGTTTACTTCTCTTAGCCATTCTGCTTTCTATTTTTTCCATTCTCAGATATCTTTTTTAGATTAGGTGCTTCATCCTTAACACAGTGATAGATAGGTCACGTTGGTACACTTGCTTGTAGAAGTTTCTCAAAGATTTGGAGGCAGCCTTACAGGGATTTGCTCATAGTAAGTGCCGATACACTAAACGTCCAAATCAAAATAATGTGATATAATGGACAACAGCTACTGGTGGAGATTCCCCATTCCCTCTCAAAAACTCTATCATTTGGAGGTCATCCTCCATCATATTGGATGCTTCATACATATTCTTGTGAGGCTCTACAAAAGTTCGGTATAATCACGCTCAATTTCCTATTATTATGGACTAATTTTCCCTCCTCCCTCAGATATCTCGGTGCTTCTCAGCTGGACCACAGGTGGCCCATCTCAGTCCAGTAGTAAACTCATCCCAAAGTAAGCTATCTAGCCTACATAACCAACGCTAGAGAATGGAGAAGGAGGACTATTCATTTATGACTTCTGGGTCATATTTGGGCTCCAGGTCCCAGCCGTCTTTCTTTTGACCTTCATGTTTACCTGTGCAAAAGCTGTTGAGGACGTTGAATCAGTGTCTATCAAAGGGAATAAAAGAGGTAAACTTACTTTATCATCTCTCTACCTTCCCGAAGCAAAGTCTCATACTGATCAATTTCAGCCTGCTTTTGATGGTGAAATTCCAGCAAAACCCTCCGTGCCTCCAGGAAAAATTTCATGATGTTGCCCACAGGAATATCAGTCCAGTAATAGATCCAAGTAGGATCAACGAATATGATGTCTTTGACTGTGGTAATGCCGCCTTTTTGAAGATTCAGGAGAAGAATATGTTTTTGCAGGCGGGTCTTAGCAAGATCAAGCAACAATATTATCTCCTCAACATAAGGATAATCCAAGTGCGGATATGTATCAATATCGCATTTCCAGGAGAGCATCAATGGAATATAACACTTTCCATGTTCATCTGGCCATCTTAGACTGTGATGTTTCCTTAGTGGATTATGGTTGTGCAAGACTCCCTTTCGATGGCTCAGACCTATACTGCTATGTGATCTCGTTGTTCCTGCTGGTCTTGCTATTAGAAATGTGTAAGCATTCCACTTACAAGGAAAGATCTTTACACCTGCTTACTTTGAATTTTGATACTCATGTTGACCATATTCATGCTTGTAATGTAGATGGCAGATGGTAAACATCAATATGTTTCTGGTAACAATTCAAATCTGATTGCCCTTTATAATCTATTATTTGTTGGCCAATAACATTTGAGGTAAAGAGTTCCCTAAATTCGGTTCCATGGATCAGTTACTTACATAATATATGAAAGCAAAGGTTGAGCACCAACCTATCCATCAGCAGGAAGTATCTGCTGACCCAGCAGATGTCAATAAATATATTACAATCAATGGGTTGGATCTCAACCTGCAACGGGTCTAACGCTGTGCGGTGGGTGGCCCCCCAACCCTGCCTAATGGTTGGGCTCAATAATTGATTATAAACAAAAATTTTGCTAGTTGACCATCAACCTTCTAATTTCAGCCTGGAAAACTGGTGCAGAGACTAGGTATCTGATGTTGAAGTTAGATTTGGTGTTGTATGATTGTCACAACGACATGCTTAAGGGCAATCTTTTTTTTTCTCCCTAAAAACTCGAAAGTCCATCCCAGGTCGGGAATATCTTGTTTCATCTGCAGTACCTATGGATGCATCTTCCCCTCCTCAAAACATGGATTCTGCTACTGTGCATGCAGGGACAAAATGCAGGTTAGAGGTCCTTGAACAGCAGCGTGAAGGATTCAGACACGGGCATCAAAAACCTTTGTCTATATATAAGCAGGTATGTTATTTGCTTTCCAGCTTACATCCCTTCTGACGCTCAACTTTGTCATCAAGCTCACGAAAGGGGCAGATGGTGCTTGCAGGGATGATGCAGGGAAAATGAAACCAGCTGTTGTTTTGTGGTTATCAGAATTTTTTCCAACAATGTGTTCATGTTCTCCTCTCAACACAGTTGACAAAAATGGGCAAGGTTTTGCTCACAGCCTTACGGGATACCCCCCCGTCCTTGCAAATATGACTGGAATGACGGTAAGTATGTCCCAACCGCCGATTGCTACAATGCTGACTCCTTGTTTAACAGTGTCAAAGATCAGATCCGGGACCGACACCCAAAGTTTCTCGCCACGGCTATGAGCTGGCCTAGATTCCTTTACTCAAAATACACGGATGACTCCAAGAACCTAGAGAAAGGATTTCTGCAAGGTACTCTACTTCTCAAGGTCAGTATTTTCTCCCACCATTTCTGTCTCTAACATTTTATCTTAGGCATACAAATTCATATTCACATCACCAACATCTGCCCGAGATGTCAAGGACAACAAATGTGGACCCCCCTCTTCCCCTTCACAAACAAGTCAAACATTTACATCACAATTGCACAAGGGGACATGTAGCTTCACTACTTGAAATGTCTGTTGTGACGCCTCGCTCCATTGCATATATAGCAGTACAAGTAAGTTGCCAAGTTTTTCTCCTGCAGATAGCTTCCCAAACTCAGCATGAAGTTACAGTTTGCTCTTTCAAATGTCGGATCGCCAAGATCCAACGATGGCAACTTTGACTATATCTTATTCCATAACAACATAGTGGATTTCTTTGAAAGTCCACCTGGTCCTGCGGCTATTGCAGACATTGAGGAACTTCTGCTATGGTGGTTTTGGCCGCTTTTTCAGTATTTGATAACTCAAAGCATGTTGCAGAAAAGCATTCAGTCCCTCGCAGGCAGCAGTGTACAGTCCACAGGTTGTTGAGGGTATGTTGGTTGCTCGACTAGCTGCTCAATGTGCCAGGAATCAAGGAGCACCTGTGACAACACCAACAAGACACAACAGGAGGACTTGCTGAGTCCCTCCCCATATATTGCTCCAGTATATATACTAAAATATTTGAGGTACTGTACAGTTGTAAATAATGTTCAAAGTCCGATGTTTAGCATGTGACCAGTCACATGATGAGCCTAGACACTGGTCAGGTGATGTGTCACATGACTGGTCATGTGACTATGAAAAGTCTGAAATATAAAGTAAAGTCAATGGTCACATGATCAGTCAGGTGACTTGGAAAATAAAAAGTAAAAGTACAAAAGTGAAGTGTAAGTAGGTGCTGGTATGTCAATTGTAACAGCACCTCAGTTATTACAATAGTTCGAGTAATAGCTAATTATGATACCAAATGGCAATTCAATTTTTTATATGATCTTTTGCATATTTGTGCTCGCAAGATCTGTAAGATGTGTGATCTAGTTGAAAACTAAGAAGTTTGTTGTGCGTTGACATAGTCTTTGATATCCATAACAACATGAGTGTTCATGGTCAGAGCATATAGATATGTTGTTCCTTGATCAGTTATGTACGGCCGTTTAGTATTTTTGTAAGTTGTTATGACTTTCTTCAGCATAGCTTGCCTCATATAATATGTGTGAAACAATCCATTGTCTGCAAAAACATTACCCTTTGCATATTACATGCTTCTCATGTCCCTATTGATATATTTTGTTTCTGCTTTTGCAAGAGTATGTGATATATGATCATGTGCTTTTGCTATTCTTACGCAGGTTATAATTTCACAAGGATATGAGAGAGACTGACCACCTCGAGACATCTTAGGTCAACTTTAGCAGTCTTCCAAATAAATATAAAAAATGGTAAGATATTGATGAAGGCATGCAAGTATCTTACTATCCCCAATAGTTTCCTGAATGCCATAAATTGACAAAGCAACGCAAAACCAAAGTACTGTTACTTCTGAGTACCAATTTTGTCCATGATTTTAGCTCATGTAGCCACCCTTACCTCTTTGTAGTTTCTCATACACACATCGCAAGTTATTGGCATATATTGCATTAATACCACCCTTTGTTCTGGACATGTCATTGTAAAACTGTATATTTTGGTTATAAGTTGATCAGCCCTGTGATCAGTCTCCAGTTTTTGGCAATCCTTTCAAAATATCGGCAACCCTCCCCTCTCAGACATGTCATTGTAAAATCGTACATTTTTCCCAGAAATTTATCAACTTGCGTAATTTTCAATTGCATTTATAATAGCCAACATCATTTTTATGAATTGGTCGCGCAATAATTTATTGGAGAAAAATTATACCACTTTACAAAGGCACAAAAATGTTCACTCGGTATTCAAGTATTCAATCTAGTGTACATATCAATGTCAGATATTTCACCTATACCATATCTCCTGTTCCAGATATACCGCTGGCAATCTGCATACTTTAGCTAGAACTTTGTCAACCCCCATGCATTATCTCCGATTTTCAGCAGCTATTCTAAGACTTCAAAAACCTTTTTGCATTTGTAAAATGCAAAAAGCAGGTGAGAGGAATTTACTACTTTGCAAAAAAATTTACTATTTTTACTTTATTGAAATCAAGACAAAATTTGAGGTATCATGATATTTATTTACCATCGTGCACCAACATTTGTTTGTCCTAGATTATTGCAAGAAAATCTCAACACCCCTGCATGTCCATGTACCTTTCATTGTTATATTACAGATACACATCATTATTGACCCTATTGCCAATGATGAAGTTCGTTATAATGCCTTGGTTGCAAGTATAAACTTAGTCATAATAGTTACAGATATTTGTGTAATTCTAGCCTTTATAAGGTCATTGCAATCTCGTACAATAAAATTCATAACCCGTTGATGCTTTCAACTGCTGATAAATTCCAGTTTCCTGATATGCAAGGCATATGATAACGCCCTATCCCAATCTGCGGAAATGGGAGTTTTTCTCAATTGCTAAGTATGATAGTGATGATAGTGTAGTGCACTGTGTAGTACTGTGACTGTAATATAGTGGTCAAAATCACTGTATTTTAGTAGGCAGATGCACTGTAAATGAGCAAATTGCCAATGAAAATCTCAGTGATATAAATCAATGAAACCAACTATTCCCTGTCTGAGCATTAGTGCATTATATTTTGACTTTCAGTGCACTATCCACTGACTACTATTGAAGAATCTCACTGATCAGTAGCGTCACAATCACGTGCCAAATACACTGTTTTATTAGCAACTAGTATCAAAATAAGCAGTATGGTACATAATGTAGTCACAAGTGAGCACAATATGAATATAGAAATACAAACTTGATGAGCAAAAATGAGACCTGGGACCAGATTGACAGACAAAGAGCAAAGAGTAGGAATTTGGAATATTAACAGGCTAGTTGAGAAGAATGTGACAACAAAAAAATAAAGGCAAGTCCAAGTGAGAGGGTCTTTCAAACTTTCTTGTGTAGTTGCAATTTGGGTGGAATTATGTCATCAGCCAATTCAAGCTGAGTGTTGTGAGGTGTTCTTGCATAAGATAGCACACATATGTGTGGGACTCACCGCTAATGTACCAGAGAAATTTGAGGGACCAGCGATAGGAGGGCTTGGGATATTGCTTTTCTTTTTTGTGGTTTTGGCTTTTGATGCAATCTTGCAATTTTGTGTGTTGTGTCATGGATTCGGAGATGAACTCAGACTTACTTTTGGTTTCTTTGTGAGTGGCTCTGCTTTCTAGTTGTGCGTAACACATGTTTGGGTTTGGGTTAGTATATAAATTATATATTTAGACAATAACAACGGGGGCACAAACCATTTTTGCTGTTGAACTTTTGTGGGGCCTAGTACTTGTTGTAACCTTGACTTCAGGCTCCTTTGTATGAGATATAAAGCCAGACGACAATCTGTACAATATGTGATGCACTAGAGTAACCTCTGCTTTTTTAACCATCCAAGCCTCAAGAAGCATAAGTAAATAGTATACAGGGCACATATTGATAACCTATATTCACCTTGGGTTTGACCTTTGACAGCTTTGCTGTGTCTGAGCCTTGTGGTGTGGTCTGAGTCTCCATGGTATGACCCAGTGCATCAGTCTTTCATTTTAAGACATAATGCAATTTTACCCACCTTTTACTTTGTGGCCTCTTCCAAAAAACACTCCTTAGCAATGTCCTTGAGCTCCTTCCGGCGCATACTAATAATCTCAGTATGTTCTTTCATCTTTGTGCCAAACTCGGCCCTGGAGATTTTGTCTAGTTGCTTATCATTCTCTTCATACAGATGAATGTTTTGGCCTGCATTTCCACTAGCTATTATCTCTTCGTAGGCCTCCTCAAGACTGCATTTCAAGTCTTCAGATATTAGTGTACAAGCAACAAATGGAACAAGAAAGTAGCGGGTAAACCGTGAGAGACTGAGTGGCCAAAAGCTGTGAATTGGAGTAGTTTTGAGGTCTATAATCTGCACTAGAACTGATTCAATTATTGAGCTTCCTTTGGCACCATAACTGTGTTAGAAATAGTTGTCAATACACTGGCAGGACATCAGTGTGTAAATGTATATTTATATTACTTACTAGCCAGGCCTTGAATTTATATACACCTGAAGTGGAGCACTAGGCACAGATTCAAGCTTCTTAAAATTACGTCCAAGGCCTGCAGCCTCAAGGTCATCCAAGAGGTACTTGTAAACAACATTCCCTACCCGTTTCCTTTGGCTAAGAGTGACCTGTTCAAGTTCATCCCTCATAGCAATAATCCAACGACAAAAAGCATGCCAGTCAACTACCAGCGGCCAGTTTTGATGTGCACAGATGAATGTGATATTGCTGGTCTTGTGCCCACTTGATATCCCCACAAAGCTCCAGTTTGAGTCGTAGAAACCCAGTAGTATTAGACTTTCCAGCACATTTCAGCTCTCTGTACTTGCTAAATTTGTTGACCAGTTCCTGAGGTGGGTTAGCGGGTACAATATGCTTGCATCCATCTAGTGGACAGACTATGGGTATTTCAGATATGTCTGAAACACCATTACTGACTCAAACAGCATCATCCAAGTCCCCAACTTTTTTTTCAACGCTGTAGTGGCTGTTAAGTCATCAGAAACTCTGACCGATGTCATGCACCAAAGTTGATTGGTAGCATGGACAGGTGTCAATAACGAAGCAAATATTCAAAAAGACTTGCCTTTGCGCCACACAGGCACAGTGCCACGTGGAATAGTAATTAATATTGCCCTTTTTGAACTTGTGGCTGATCAGCACCACCTCTATTAGGCAATCCAGTCACGCTCACCTTTGCTTTTCCATCCGGTACTTTCCGCGTTTCGGCATTTCGGCAAATTTTTGCGTCGCCACTGGCTACACATTGCATTGCGCCCTCGCTTTTGTCGTTTCCCTTACTCCCCTTCCTTTGCCTAGCCCCACCATGGGCCCCTTCCTCTCCTTTTTATTCTCACCCAACGGTCGTTTCTGGGTCCCCATTTTAGTTCACCTCCTCGTCACCTCCACCCTCCTCCTCCTCATCTTATTTGCACCCCCACCATTTCTGATGTCACGGGGGTCCTATCCGCTTCCATCGCCGATCCGTTGACCACCACGTGCCACTGCTGATATCAGCAAAGCCCCGGCGGCCGGTCCAAATAGGGCAACAGGTCCATCTTCATGACGTCGATCTGCCATCATATACTATCAAAACATCGGTCGCTCGTCTTGCCTGGTTGGAGCGTGGGTGGGTAATTTTTGAGCTGGAGAAGGTTCATCCCCTTGCGTTGCCCATGTTCATCGCTGTCCCATTCACTTGGGTACACTTATCTTTTGTCCATCGTCTTCGCTACAGCTACACCTACCACACGCTGCCTGGGACTCACTTGTTCCAAATTGGAACTACTCCTCTCCCTCCCTCGTTTGATCAGGTGGTCCAACACAACCAGTCCATTGGTAAGGCCATGGAACCGTCAGATTTGGACTAGGTGGTGGACCGGTGGCTCCAGTTTCTTTTTTTTTAGCAGAACATTCATTTACAGTGCAATTATTTTTGATTTTTGAATCATTTTTATGGACACATATTTTTTAGAATGCCTGACTGACAATAAAGGAACTGTGTTGATACTGATAGTGTTTTGCCTTGCCCTTTTTTTTTTACTGCATCTTCCCATGACATCATGATTTTCCTGCTCTCCTTTTGCTATTGGACTTTACTTTATAGCTGTACAAACCTGTGATATTACTCACAGCATTTATTGTTCTATCCCTTTCTTTTCTTTTTTTGACAATCTTATCCTGTACTACCTACGCAGGATTCGTCAGCGTACATTCCTTCCTTCATATTCTTTCTCATTCTTTTTGCACAGCTATACTGTGCATAGCCTACTTCTCTTTTACTATATAAACCCCTGTATTCTACCTTGTAAAAAAAAAACAAGAACTCCAATCCAGACTTCTTCTCTAATCTCAAGTTCACTACTCTGCTACTTGTGATCCAGTGTGGTCACAACACTTCCCACTTCTACCACTGTCAACTGCTGTCATCGTCACTTCCCACTTTTGAAGTCATTGTCATCCCTTTCGATTAGAGTCCTTCTGAGCACTACAGTTTGTGCGTCAGGAGCCTGCTATCACTGGGAACCTCGTCATATTGTCGTTCTCAAACCTACCTTGTGCTACGATTAGCAAGGTAGTGCTCGTCTATACTCGTCACAAAGCCCCTATCCTTCTATAAATTCAACTATCCCTCCTCCTCAAAACCCACACTCATACACCTCTGGGTTTTACTTTGAAGGATTTTTATACGTACCACCCCACGAACAACCAGAGACTCCACTGTTCTAGGAGGCAAAGCCCATAAACAAGTTCCGTGGAATCTGGGAGGATTGTGTGTTAGTTTGTTTTGTGTGTGGTTTTCTAACAACAGTTCTCATCATCGACACCGAGGACTGAAAGGTAAGATTGTTGATGCCCAAGTCTTCATTCTCATTATCTGATTCCTAGTTATAGATAGATAGTGGTAGTCAGTTCTGTCATGAAATACAGGCCTAGAAATGAACTTACTACCACATGGCGACACTTCCATCTGCAAATAACAGGACTCAGAGGTTCAATATCTATTCCCTCAGCCTTACGCTTCTCACCAATAGTATGAGTTTTCTGTTTGTATTTCTGGACTATTGTGGCTGGTTCCTGTGGGACGGCTGCTGAATCAGGTGTTAGGCTAAAACATCAGACAGCTTTACCTTATCTTTCATAGGTTTTTGGCTGCCTGCAGGAACCTGCAGACAGGCATCAGCTGATCTGCCACTGTTGTATGCTAGCGCACTACTTACCAGAGATCTTTCCTTTCTAGTAATCTCTTCATCCTGGGGCTTATCTTCATCCATACAGTTTTTGTCCTCATGTCTATTAAGGACTTTGGCCAGTCCATCAAGATCATAGCCATTAAACTATAAGGATACCACAAGTAATTGAGTATTCTATTAAAATAATTGATAAAAGCAAAATTTTACCTTATCACCATCGTCACTAGTGGTGGTCTCAATCTCTTGTTTTTTCAAATATTGGATACAGTGGCGTAAAAATCTCCCAATCAGGTCATACATAGGCCAGTGACTGGGAAACCTCTGTAGATATTTGTATTTTTCTTGAGCCTAATATGGCTTAGTTAGCCAATATCTGAATGCATTTGCAGCACATACCAGTGAAAAACCATGTTGAGGACAAATTGATCTTGATTCCGCAAGGTTGCTGTAACATCAAGGTACTTCCATGACAGCTGATGTGCAACAGCCTAGAAAATGTCTAGATGTATGCATATATGCTGAGACAACCTACTGAAAATGTGTTATACTGCCTTTTTTTCTTGCCTAGTTCCATAGCTTCTTGAATATTGTATCCTTTTGGAAATGATTTTCCTGGTGAACCTTTTGGTTTGCGAATATACTTGCCTTGTTGATGATTGCTGTGGCTCCCTCGCTTTCCATGATTTTCTTTACCTATGCCACTTGATTTTGATATCAGCAATCAAAACAGAGGAAATTGTACTTACGCTGGAGCTGGTGGATTTCATATTTGAGCTCACTGATGTGGGATGCCACAGTGTTGATTTTGCTAGTCTTGTTGGTGATTTTCTTGCTCTTTGGCGCCATTAAATACTGCAAGATGTGAGGTTACAATCAACGTCACTTGGAAGGAGGCAACTGAGATTACCTACCACGTGGATATTCCCACGGTTTTAGACTTCTGCGCGATTCATGGTTGCTCAATCGCCAGGAATACCATTGCTCATACGGGATGTTTGCGTTGAACGATATGGTGAAAGTAAGGAGAAGTGGTGATGGAGGGCATAGTGGATCATTGCAAACACAAAAAAAGAGAAAAAATGATAATGAAACAAGAGCGGACAACAAAAACACCACACAATGAATGAAAAGATTTTGGATCACGAGGCAGGAGCAGAAGTGATTTTGGCCGCAAGAGAAACACCTCGCACGGTGGACATCTTGAATCCTAGCTTCTGCATTACAGCCAACAAATCTGTGCGCTGAAGAGGCTTGGTGAGGGAAGCGGCAAATATGTTACTGAGGTTGTTGGCATCCACACCACTGCAGGCGCTCATGGCAATAATAGACGAATTTGTATTCTTACTATTTGTGCTCTTGATATACTGAGCAGCGCTTTTACCATGCACTAGTAACAGACCAGATCAGCTACAAGAAGCAAGTGATATGACAAAAATAACTCACAGACTGCCATGTGCAATCAAATTCTATGAGACTATCAGTGATTATTCAGAGATATGTTTCCAAGAGCTACTCACTAATATCTCGCATAGCCATACTAATAGCCTCTGACCCGTCTGCAACTACAACACAGCGGCATCCATAGCGAATCAACAAAGTCTCCAACATCTTTGCTGTAATGGGGTTATCTTCCGCGAGCAGGCATGTAACGGCACAATCACTAGGGTCCGGTCCCTTCCGCAGATCAATGGAATAGACTGATTAAGGCAGTGTAACTTCATACTGGCCGGAGCCTTGACTTGCCGATGGAGGCCGGTTTTTAGAGCTGGAACCATCCCCAGCACTAGATACTGAAGCTGTCTGTAGGCGACTAGGCATAGAATTCCTACATTCACTGTTATCCAAGTAATTGAGCTTGAACCGCTCAACTGCACCAAACTCGGAAGGTTTACAAGCATGGCTGGCCATACTACCTGGAGTAGAAGGTGGAAGGCTGGCTTGAGAAGGAGACAACGCCAGAGAAGATGTGGAAGTGGCTGGAGAAGGGGGATTGGTGGATATTGTCTTCTGATCCTATGAAGTAGTCATAATGCTGGGTGGTTTCTTGATTCTCTGAGAAACACTTTGCTTACCTGAATGCATGTTTGTCAGATCCGACAAAGTGTGAGTCATGGGCACAAGATGGTCCATTTTCAATTTACGGATTACGTCATCATTGGCTTGCTTGAGAATGGGCAAATTCTTGAAGCTGAAGGAACTAAAATCATTGCGGGAGATGAGGCGGCATCACAGTTGTTGGCAACAGGAATAGAGTGGGTGGATGGCAAAGAAGTTAAGTTAGGGCTGTCTGTGGCCAACTGGCTGGAAAGCGCAAGTTGATAATCGTCATGGAATAGCCGTGGTATGGCTCCACGAGGATCAAAGTAGTCAGTCAACTCGGGATCGGTGACTTGAGGAATAAATGCGGCCTTGGTAGTGGTGTCCTTGTCCCACTCTATACCCTTGAAAAACGGATGAGCTTTAACCTCCTCAGCCCTGTTGGCTCCTAGATGAGTGCCTACATTGATGGTCATCAGTATTTGCATGAAATTGCGCACTTCATCAGAGAATTCGACTCCATGGTTGTAGACCCATTTGACCCTTGTGAGTTTGATGATCAAGAAGACCATTCAGTTCGTCGTCGAGAGTATTCTGTTAACATAGAGATGGGCTAAAATATGATGATTTAGACGCTGTAAAAAGGCCAGGGAAGAGGCCCGATGTGTCAGAGAAGAAGATTTTGAAGGGTCTTGTAGTGAAAATGCACATTGTCAACTATAATGGTCCTCTGACTCTGCCTTGTAACCACTGTTAGAATACTCGTTAACCTGAGATATAGGTCTAACATCTGGAGGTTGAAATATAAGAGGTTGATGGACAAGAGACAGTGTTTGAACCCAAGCGCTGAGCCATGGATGGTTGCCCACACAAGCTGGGTTTCGGCAAATTTAACACGGGCCCTTTCAAGCATCCTTGACGAGTCACTCCATGGACACTGGCAGCAACACCACTGAAATGAAGCACTGTTGCTGCAGCCTGAGTTGTTACAGATGGCTCACCAAAGGAGTCAGGGACCAACACTATACAAAAGCAGACCCTATGGAAGCATTGGAATCAGATGATGGTAGCAACAGTTCAAGTCTTGGTTCCGACATGAAGCCGTCAACACCGTTATACGAGCTAGAGGATACTGCAGAAGAAGAGAATGAACTTGAAGATCGTGCAGAAGGAGGTGATGGACTGAAAGAAACCACAGGAGAAGGGGATGTATTGGAGGAGAACAAAAATGCATTAAATGATCTGAAGTTTGATGAAGATAATGACAATAAGAACCTGCATCTTACGCTTGAGGAAATGGAAACCCAATTTCGTTCATGGCTTGGTCCTGAGATTGATGAGGAGCTATACAATATTTGCAAGTAGATTCTCTCCATCTCATCTATAAAATAGCTGATAGCTCGTAGGAAATAAAATCATTACTGAAGAAGATCGAGATCCCTTTTGATTAGAGTCCTTCTGAGCACTACAGTTTGTGTGTCAGGAGCTTGCTATCACTGGGAACCTCGTCACCTTGTCATCCTCGTTGTTCTCAAACCTACCTTGTGCTACAATTAGCAAGGTAGTGCTCATCTATACTCATCACTAAGCCCCTATTTTCTATAAATTCAACTATCGCTCCTCCTCAAAACCCACACTCATACATCTCTGGGTTTTACTTTGAAGGATCTTCATACATACCACCCCACAAACAACCAGAGCACCCACTGTTCTAGGAGGCAAAGCCCATAAACAAGTTCGGTGGAATCTGGGAGGATTATTTGTTAGTTTGTTTTTGTGTGTGGTTTTCTAACAGCAGTTCTCATCATTAACAGCGGTGAAGAATGATCCAGTCAGAATTGATAGACATCTTGTGGCAAAAAGAGTATTACATTTGATCAAAAACATGTTATGGCATATTAGACATAATCTTGAGTTTGAAGGCTCGAGCATTATAACAATGACTTCAAAAGTGGGGAGTGACAATGACAGCAATTAACAGTGGTAGCAGTGGGAAGTGTTATGACCACACTGGATCACAAGTAGCAGAGAGTAGTGAACTTGAGATTAGAGAAGACGTCTGGATTGGAGTTCTTGTTTTTTTTTACAAGGTAAAATACAGGGGTTTATATAGTGAAAGAAAAGTAGGCTATGCACAGTATAGCTGTGCAAAAAGAATGAGAAAGAACATGAAGGAAGGAATGTACGCTGACAAATCCTGCATGGGTAGTACAGGATAAGATTGTCAAAAAAGGAAAAGAAAGGGATAGAACAATGAAGGCTGTGAGTAATGTCACAGGTTTGTACAGCCATAAAATAAAGTCCAATAGCAAAAAGAGAGCAGGAAAATCATGATGTCATGGGAAGATGCAGTAAAAGAGGGAAAGGCAAAACACTATCAGTATCAACACAGTTCCTTTATTGTCAGTCAGGCATTCTAAAAAATATGTGTCCATAAAAATGATTTAAAAATCAAAAATAATCGCACTGTAAATGAATGTTCTGCTGAAGAAAAAGAAACTGGAGCCACCAGTTTACCACCTAGTCCAAATCCGACAGTTCCATGGCTTTACCAATAGACTGGTTGTGTTGGACCACCTGATCAAACAAGGGAGGGAGAGGAGTAGTTCCAATTTGGAACAAGTGAGTCCCAGGCAGCGTGTGGTAGGTGTAGCTGTAGCGAAGACGATGGACAAAAGATAAGTGTACCCAAGTGAATGGGACAGCGATGAACATGGGCGACGCAAGGGGATAAACCTTCTCCAGCTCAAAAATTACCCACCCACGCTCCAACCAGGCAAGACGAGCGACCAATGTTTTGATAGTATATGATGGCAGATTGACGTCATGAAGATGGACCTGTTGCCCTATTTGGACCGGCCGCCGGGGCTTTGCTGATATCAGCAGTGGCACGTGGTAGTCAACGGATCAGCGACGGAAGCGGATAGGAAGTGGTGACATCAGAAATGGTGGGGGTGCAAATAAAATGAGGAGGAGGAGGGTGGAGGTGACGAGGAGGTGAACTAAAATGGGGATCCAGAAACGACTATCAGGTGAGAATAAAAAGGAGAGGAAGGGGCCCATGGTGGGGCTAGGCAAAGGAAGGGGAGTAAGGGAAACGACAAAAGCGAGGGCGCAATGCAATGTGTAGCCAGTGGCGACGCAAAAATTTGCCAAAATACCGAAACGCGGAAAGTACTGAATGGAAAAGCAAAGGTGAGTGTGACTGGATTGCCTAATAGAGGTGATGCTGATCAGCCACAAGTTCAAAAAGGGCAATATTAATTACTATTCCACGTGGCACTGTGCCTGTGTGGCGCAAAGGCAAGTCTTTTTGAATATTTGCTTCGTTATTGACACCTGTCCATGCTACCAATCAACTTTGGTGCATAACACCGCATTGCCCTGCTTTTAGGCGTTCAACCTCTGGATATTCACTGCTGTATTAACTCCTGTATTGCCTACACAAAGAAGTATGTTTATAACAAAGACTGCCCACACTGCCTTGAACCGCGGTATACTGCTTCACGGAAACCCCATCGTATTTTCTCATACATTCCATTAATTCCTTGCCTCCCAGCCATCTTTAAACATGAGGACTTGGTGCAAACACATTCATATAGGTATCAATACCAGCACAAACCTGGTAAAATCTGCAATGTCTTTGATTGTGCATGGTATCAAACATTGCGACAGCAGAATGTAGTTGTTGATGGTGTGGAACGACCGCACAAATATTTTGATGGCAAATATGACATTGCATTGGCACTGTTGGTTGACAGCTACTTGTTATTCAAGCGCCGTTGTGGTGGGCCATCTGCAACCCCAGTTCTCCTTCAAAACCTCAACATACATCCCCAGAAATGTACACATCTAGACAACCTCATTTGTGTTGGTGTTATACCTGGCCCTCATCAACCTAAGGAACTTGATACATTCCTCGAAGCTTTGGACGATGAGCTAGCCTTGTTAGCAGATGGTGTAGAAACCTTCAATGCACTCACAGATATTTTGACTTTCATGCTTACATCATTTTTGAGAACGGAGAGATTGTTGCCATTGAAAAATTACTCAATATCAAAGGACATAAGTCTATTATAGTGCACTTGGCACTCCAGACGTTGAACACCAAACTCGTTATTCTGTGGATCCCCAAAATCTTCCCTTGCGCACACACAGTGAATTCCTAGCTACCTTTCAAAATATTAGATGCAGCACCTTCTAAGGCACAAAGAGAAGGTATTTCCAAGCAGTCTAGTATTTGTGGCCATCCTGCATTGCAACGTGTCAGCTCTCTTGACTATGCTAACTCATTCCCTTGGGAGTGGATGCATCTGTTGCTCAAGAATGTGGTGCCAACTCTAGTGAACATGTGGTCAGGCCGTTTCAAAGGCCTTGACACTGGATGCGGAGACTATGAGATCCCACCTCAAATATGGGACCAAATAGGTGAAGAGACAGCCAATGCCGTTTAGGACATTCCAGCATCCTTTGTCTGAGCCCTTGGAAATATAGCAGAGGATCGTTCAACATTTACAGCTGAATCTTGGGGGTTCTGGTACATGTACATGGCTCCAATCCTACTGAAGGGCCATTTCCAGAAAGAGAAGTATTACACACACATGTGTAAATTATCCGACCTTATGAAGTTGATGGTGCAGTTCGAGATTAGTAAAAAAGAGGTTGATCTGCTGGAAGTGGGACTTATTGAGTGGGTAGAGCATTATGAAAAGTGAGTTGACCACCCAATTATATATGCATAGACTGATGGTACATAGGTACTACTACCAATATGAAGAGAACCAATTACCTGTCTGTACACTCCCCATCCATGGTCTGTTGCATATTGCAGCAGGCATTTGTTTCTGCGGCCCTGTCTGGACAAGTTGGACATTCTATATGGAGTGGTACTGTGGCTACCTACAAGCTGGTTTACGCTCACACCGTTTCCCTTGGAGTAACCTCAATAAACAAGTTCTGCATGCAGTGTATCTAACTCAACTGAAGCTAAAGTATAACCTAGATGATGAACTGAAGGATTTCCACTCTAGTCAGCACAACTATAGTGTACTGAAGCAAAATGAGAAAATATATCCAGATTGTAAGTGTTATATCTATGTTTACCTGGTATTCTAATGCCAAATTTGCTGTTTAAGATCCAGACCATGTCATGTGTAGCCCTTACCGTATAAAACATAAGCCCAACAGTGATACTAGACACAGGATCAGCATATACATCTGCACACTCATTGGTGGTCAAATTGATCAGATATTGCCTCGCTTACCTGAAGTAATGCCCCTTTGGGGAAAACTACACATTGCTGCTGGTGGTGATGTTGTTCGAAGTGCTTTTGCAATGAAAAAGAGCAACACATTATCACAATGTGATAATTCTTTTGTGCGGGTACGGGTGGTTATTTTATTTTATTTCAACCAAACTCATTTGCATCAAGTATGAGATCTCTTACACTGTACAAGAACACAGGAATACCACTGTCACTGCCACTCATTATGGCCATCTCAAACAAATACTTGTCTGCCAGCTTGGAAATGATGATTTTTGGAAGGATCTATCTGGTCGTGGACTTCTATTGGCAATCATCACACCATGTAAAACTGAGGATAATGATGCATCTTTGGGAGTTGCTGTGTATGGTGGATTAGCAGCTGCCATTGCCACGGACATTTGTAACATCAAAGCTGTTGTTGGACAAGTGAAGACAAGAGGAAGGTGGGGAATTATAGACCGAACAAGTGGTCTTGCTTCTGTCGCTTTCACACACCAGGACACAGAGGGAGTGGAATCTGAGTTTTATGACTCCGGACCAGGCTCAGATGATGACTTTATGCAATAGATTGCCTCAAAACTCTTTGATAAAAATTCAGTGATTGATCAGAATGATTAATTGATTTTAGCACTTTGTACATCATTGACTTATTGTAATATACAATGAACATCAGTGATCAGTGTTAACGCTGAATACTAGTGATGGTGGTTCCAGTGATGCGGTCACTGGGCTTGGATCAGTCAGTGATGAACTAACTGGCTTTCAGTGACCTTACTTCCCACAGTGAGTGACGGTGTCATAAATGGTCCTCAAACCTCACCTAGCGCTTTTGTTAAGGTTTGCTTAGGGCGCTCCTTAAGTGAGTGTTAAGGAAAAAAGACGCTCCAGCATTGAGCGGCAATACTGTAGGATTTAAAGTCAGTAGATACCAAATAGTTGCAAAGAAAAATGAGAAAAACCAGCCACAGTCATGTCATGCGGAAATTGAGATTAGTAAGCTGCCACTTTGGGTAGTCGAGTAAGTTCGAGCAAAGATAGCACACTCTAGGTTCAATAACAACTTAATAGAAGCACAGAAACACCCCAGGCTCACATATAAGGACAGGACCTTGAGAATAGAGCCTAAAGTTTTGTCTCAGCCATGCCTAGAGTCTCTGAACGAGCTCAGCTTTTTTCTGCTTTGCAGAATGCCAAGCAACATGCTTTGAATATCTTTATTCAGCGTAAAATTGCTGAATTGATTTCTGAAGTAGAATTGCACACTGAGGGGGGGGGCATTGCCTGGTGATGGTTCTGATTCCTCCCACTCTTCTTCCTCTTCTTCATCTTCTGGTATGGACAATATCATCTTAGCTCATACCGCCAATCTGTTTGCCATTGAAGATAACATCCTTTCTACTTGTGTTCTCACCTATCGTCCTTCGGCCCCTTATGTTTCTGTATTTCAATATCTCCATGAATGGGCTGAAAATGACCGTCCTATTTTTTGCCGTCTGATGCGTACCTCTTCCTCTACTTTTTTTGAGATTGTGAAGAGGCTGAAAGATGGCCCAAGCTTTCATAATAATTCTAATAACCCACAGGCTCCTGCTGAGCAGCAGATTGCATGTGCCATATTCCGTTTTGGACACTATGGCAATGCAGCCTCTATTAAGGACACTGCTACATTAGCAGGAGTTTCTACTGGGTCTATTGTGAACTATCCAGAGCGAGTCATGATAGCCATTCTCAATAGGCATGATCTGTATATCAAGTTTCCCCAGGATGGAGATGCTGATAAGAAGAAAGCAAAAGAGTGGGTGAGGAGCAGGATCAATTCTTATATGCTCTCTTATTGACTGATATTGGACCTAGATACGTGTCTGTACAGAGCATGCTTTTGCAGCTTTGAAAGGACGTTTTCAATCTCTCAAGGATTTGAGGATCAATATTAATGATACCAATAGACATAGGTTTACAATGGCATGAATCAAATGCTGTTTGATCTTGCACAATATGATTATTGATATTGAAGAGAAGAGGGGAGAAAATACAGCGGATTGGGCTCTTGAGGAGGGATTGGAGGAAATCAGTGACAAGGAAGAAGACTTAGAGATGACAGAGGATGAGGGGATACCTGCCTTTGATAATTCTTTGTCTAATGGCCAGAACTTTCCTAACAGTCTTATAGGTCCAATTTTAAGAGCTCTGGCCAGAGCTTCAGCTTAAATACATGTCTTATTTCTTGTGTCTATTATGTACCTTGTGTATTGAATGTTATATGTTATGCCTTACATCTTACAGAAAGAACTAGAGTGACAAAGTCTTATAACAGGAACTCACAGTGAAACACATTAAAGCAGCATGACATTGCAAACATATAAGATATACAATCATATAGTCCATACTATCATGTAATGACAAAGCAACATACAACATATAACAAAGAAAACAAAGGGGGGGGAAGCATACTCAAGCATTATCCATGGGGGGGAGTGATGACTACAACAATGAAAGAGAAAAAACAAAAAACAAGTATACGATGAGTATATAGCTATAGATACTACACTTACACAGCCTCATCCCCAAACGCCGGGGGTCGAGCTTCTGGCGTTTGATGACATTGCTGCCTTTGAGGAGCACAAGGAGCTGGCTGTTGGCCTCTTTAAGTGCCTTGGCGTGCACTGATTCACAACCGCGCTTGCTAGAAGTCTTCTGGGTGGGGGGGGTGAATGCTGACGATGTAGAGCCAGATGGACCAGGGGGGAAGGATGAGAAGCCGGTGGTGTCAGAATCTGAGCCAGCACTAGACTGGTAAAACGATCGCCATCCCCCCTCCTGTAAAGCAGGGGAGACAGCATACAGGGAGGCTTGAGATGAATGTGCGGATGAGAAGAATGGGGGGGAGGTGCCGCGTCCTTGAGGGGGGCTAAATGTTGGGCTGCGAGCACGACTCACACCCCTGGTCCTGGACACAGACCCAACACTGTGTGGTTCTGAGTCCTCCTCAAGGCTTGGCGTATCAAGCGAGAAATTGTCCGTTACAGAGGGAGGGGGGATCTGGTTCAGCAGTTGTTGTAGAGTTGTGCTAGCAGGGCTGCGCACATATCCCGGATGCGCCTCCAAGGCAGCATGTAGATGTTGCATAGACTGCAGCACGTTCTGGTCAAGAGCAGGCACTATGGGGTCCGTACAAGTAGATGCTGGAGGAGGGTCTGTACGAGGAGGTGGTAGTGAAGGAGGGGTTTCGGCTGGTGAGGGCTGATGAGTCGGGGCCTCAGCTGGCAATGGCTGGCAATTTGGAGAGATATCTCTAGATCGGCCAGATCTAGAGAAAATTTCGGAGGCCTCCTTGCTATGGTCATGACCTGGGGATGATGAGATGGCCAGTATGTTGATGGAGGGTATCTCCCTCCACCAGCCATGCAGATCCTCCCACCATGGGAGGTTGATTTTAAGTTTTTCTAAAAGAAAAAGCGGTTAAAAAAACTGCAAGATCAAAAAGAAGGGGGAGGATGAGGGGAGGGACTTACCGATGTCATGCACCAAAGTTGATTGGTAGCATGGACAGGTGTCAATAACGAAGCGAATATTCAAAAAGACGCGCCTTTGCGCCACACAGGCACAGTGCCACGTGGAATAGTAATTAATATTGCCCTTTTTGAACTTGTGGCTGATCAGCATCACCTCTATTAGGCAATCCAGTCACGCTCACCTTTGCTTTTCCATTCAGTACTTTCCGCGTTTCGGTATTTTGGCAAATTTTTGTGTCGCCACTGGCTACAAATTGCATTGCGCCCTCGCTTTTGTCGTTTCCCTTACTCCCCTTCCTTTGCCTAGCCCCACCATGGGCCCCTTCCTCTCCTTTTTTTTCTCACCTGATGGTCGTTTCTGGATCCTCATTCTAATCCACTTTTCCGTCACCTCCACCCTCCTCCTCCTCATTTTATTTGCACCCCCACCATTTCTGATGTCACCACTTCCTATCCGCTTCCGTCGCTGATCCGTTGACTACCACGTGCCACTGCTGATATCCGCAAAGCCCCGGCGGCCAGTCCAAATAGGGCAACAGGTCCATCTTCATGACGTCAATCTGCCATCATATACTATCAAAACATTGGTCGCTCGTCTTGCCTGGTTGGAGCGTGGGTGGGTAGTTTTTGAGCTGGAGAAGGTTCATCCCCTTGCGTCGCCCATGTTCATCACTGTCCCATTCACTTGGGTACACTTATCTTTTGTCCATCGTCTTCGCTACAGCTACACCTATCACACGCTGCCTGGGACTCACTTGTTCCAAATTGGAACTACTCCTCTCCCTCCCTCATTTGATCAGGTGGTCCAACACAACCAGTCCATTGGTAAGGCCATGAAACTGTTGGATTTGGACTAGGTGGTGGACCGGTGGCTCCAGTTTCTTTTTTTTTAGCAGAACATTCATTTACAGTGCAATTATTTTTGATTTTTGAATCATTTTTATGGACACATATTTTTTTAGAATGCCTGACTGACAATAAAGGAACTGTGTTGATACTGATAGTGTTTTGCCTTTTCCTCTTTTACTGCATCTTCCCATGACATCATGATTTTCCTGCTCTCTTTTTGCTATTGGACTTTACTTTATGGCTGTACAAACCTGTGACATTACTCACAGCCTTCATTGTTCTATCTCTTTCTTTTCTTTTTTTCACAATCTTATCCTGTACTACCTATGCAGGATTTGTCAGCATACATTCCTTCCTTCATGTTCTTTCTCATTCTTTTTGCACAGCTATACTGTGCATAGCCTACTTTTCTTTTACTATATAAACCCCTGTATTTTACCTTGTAAAAAAAACAACAAGAACTCCATTCCAGACTTCTTCTCTACTCTCATGTTCACTACTCTGCTACTTGTGATCCAGTGTGGTCACAACACTTCCCACTTCTACCACTGTCAACTGCTGTCATCGTCACTTCCCACTTTTGAAGTCATTGTCATCCCTTTCAATTAGAGTCCTTCTGAGCACTACAGTTTGTGCGTCAGGAGCCTGCTTTCACTGGGAACCTCGTCATATTGTCGTTCTCAAACCTACCTTGTGCTACGATTAGCAAGGTAGTGCTTGTCTATACTCGTCACAAAGCCCCTATCCTTCTATAAATTCAACTATCCCTCCTCCTCAAAACCCACACTCATACACATCTGGGTTTTACTTTGAAGGATCCTCATATATACCACCCCACGAACAACCAGAGCACTCACTGTTCTAGGAGGCAAAGCCCATAAACATGTTCTGTGGAATCTGGGAGGATTGTGTGTTAGTTTGTTTTTGTGTGTGGTTTTCTAACAACAGTTCTCATCATCGACACCAATCAGATTCCAGGCATGAGTTCCTGGCTCAATATCATTGTAGCAAAGGCCTGAACCAGTGGAGCCGAGTTCGCGATTAAAGGCCTGATACTTAGTTTTCAAACTGTGTGATAAGATCAAATTAGCCATTCTAAAAAATAGGGGCATTGGGACTTACTTTGAGAGACGGTTATCCACTGCCCGAGCATATTTCTGCGGATTGTCAGCATAATCTTGGCGTGTGTCAGCATGTTCATCAACAGAGAATATATGATGTGCATTGATAGTGTGGACATCAGATTTGCTGGAGCTAATCTTATTAACAACTTTGCGGTGACCACGGAACTTTGCCTCCTTGGTGGAATCTGAATATAAAGCAGCACAGTGCTCTTTGTGTGCATTCAAGTAGTCAATGAGCGCTATTCCACCATGACATTGATATCTATCCAGTTGATTGAATTGAATCGCAGTGCAGCATGTTCCCAGTGCGTTAACTCGACTAAACCATATGTTCCACCAGGCTTATAAGTGCCATTTCCAGCCGTTCTTCAATGCCCACTTCCATCCATTCCAGTGATGCCTGGTGTGCGGTACATCTATGACTGTGACCGTTTTTGTCATGGATGCCCTCGACATGTCTCTTGTTCAACTTACTTTTGGCATGCTTCTCATGCTCATAGACACCAACAGTCTGCTCTCAGCGCCTCTCAACCCCCTTCTACTCTGCCATCTACCCCTTCCTCATTGCCTCTACACTCTGCCTTCAATGATTTTGAGCCAGTAGCGGATTCTGGAAATGAAGCTGGCAAAGAGAATGAATGGTATTTCAATGTATGCATTTTGTTCTCACTCACCATAGTACCGCTCAAACGTAACATAACAGGAGGACAATGATGATTTTATTGGACACAGGCTAGTAACAGATAATGATGAGGATGTCGTGATGGATAGTGACGCTGAGGATAACCTGGATGTATATCCAGACATAAGTCTTCCGAGGCCTGAGCTGAACCACAACTTGGACCAGGAAGATGACAAGGATGACATGAGTATGGGTGGGCTTGAGTCTTTCAACGACACCACACAAAATCTCCCGCCTACAACTGATTCATCACATAACTCTCAAAATCCTCCACCATCACCTGATCCATCACATAACTCTGATAGAGTTTATCACCACGGAATTGACATTGACATTGATGTGCTCGCAGAAACAGCTCGTCTAAAGGATATACAAATTGCCATTCAATTTATTCAGGCATTGAAAAATGCCACACTCAATGATGAGGCCAATAAGCTTAACAAGGACATGCTCCACCGCCTGCAGCATCCTCCCCAAGCCTCACTTGATATTGATGATCCCAACGTCCTCTTGTCTATAGAAACATTCATGGCACTCAGTAACTCATCTCAAGAGACTTACCATTTGATACGCAAGGCCATACTCCATCAATATCCTGACAGCAAGATGCTCTCGTATGACCAAGTTAAACGGCACATTACCGAAATGAGTGGAGTTGGGTCAATTGTGCATGCTATGTGTGTGACTTCTTGTCTGGCGTACACAGGTCCTTTTGCAAGTTTGGAGATATGTCCAAAGTGCGGCGAGCCTCGTTACGATCAATCCAAGCTTGTGTCAAGTGGTGGAAAAGAGAAAGTCCCTCGCCAGCAGTTCCACACAATACCAGTCAGGCCTCAATTACAGGCGCTAAGGAGGCACTCAGATACTGCTACCAGCATGCATTATAGAGAACGCCAAACAGCTGATATCATGGAGGAGCTCAAACTCAACAACAACATCCTTTCTTCGTATGATGACTTCTTCCACGGTAAAGACTACCTTGATGCTGTTTCTGATGGTTGAATAAATGCTCACGACAGCGTACTTATAATCTCTGTTGATGGTGCCCAGCTCTACAAGAGCAAAGCATCAGATTGTTGGATATATATATGGGTGGTAATAGATCACACACCCAATGTTCGTTATAAGAAGAAACATGTTCTCCCCGGTGGTTTCATTCCAGGTCCAAACAAACCAAAAAATCTTGATTCTTGTATGTTTCCTGGGTTGCATCATGTGGCCGCACTTCAAAAGGAGGGTCTTGTTATCTGGGATGCTTTAACCAATTCATTGCATGTCTCACACCCGTTTCTTGCAATTGCTAATTCAGATGGACCAGGACTTATGTATTTTAACGGTTTCGCTGGATATCATGGTAAGATTGGGTGTCAACAACTATGTGGGCAAAAAGGCCGTCACAAAGCAGGTGGTCCTCATTATTATCCTGCGTTACTCAAGCCACACAATTACAGTGTTGAGGGATGCAACCACGACGACATTGACTATTGCCAGGTGCTCCCCCCGACACCTGGATTGTACTATCAAAATCTATGTTTCCTCATTGCTTCACCAAATGTCACACAGTATAAAAAACGCCGTTTGGAGACAGGAATCTCAAAACCTAGTATCTGCCTTGGAATGCCTCTTGCCCACAATCTCGGTATTCCAAAAATGTTCGGTTCTGATATCATGCATTTAATTGCACTGAATATTCCAGATCTACTCATTAACTTGTGGCGATATAATTTTGACTGTGAAAAAACTGACAGCAAGCATAGTTGGGACTGGGGGGTTTTACAAGGTGATACATGGAAACAACATGGCCAGGCTATCGCAGACTCCACCCCATATCTTCCTGGCCCGTTTGATTGCCCTCCCCGGAACCCAGCAGAGAAAATTTCCAGTGGATACAAGGCCTGGGAGTTTCTTCTTTATGTTTATGGGCTCGCACCAGCTTTCCTGTATAATGTTCTCCCTGAAAAATATTGGAGAAACTTCTGCAAACTTGTTTTTAGTGTTCAGATTTTCAACCAGCACCATATTCTTACAGTAGATCTACAACAGGCCCACAAACGAATGCTTGAATTCACTGCAGAGTTCGAGGTTCTGTATTATCAACAATGTGCTGATCAGCTACATTTTGTACGACTGTCCTTACACACTGCTCAACATCTTGGCCCAGAAGTTGTTCGGAGTGGCCCAGGGATTTGCTCGTCTTAATGGACAATTGAGCGGACAATTGGTAACCTGGGACAAGAGATCCGTCAGCCATCTAACCCATATGCTAACCTCTCTCAACGCGGCCTCCTTCTCTCTCAAATTAATGCATTGAAGGCTATGATTCCGTCCCTCAGTCCACCCACAAATCCAATTCCGAAGGGGGGAGTAGATATTGGTGATGGGTACCTTTTATTGCGCGCAAAGGAGAAGTGCCCCCGCTCTGTCCTCATAGCTGTGAAGCTGAAGTAATTCAATCTTACCTCTCAGGAAATCAAAGCTACGACACAGAATTCCAGTCAAAGATTACAAGATGGGCCCGTATTCGTCTTCCAAATGGACAAGTAGGACGGTCTTTGTGGAAGGAAGCACTAAAGGCAAAGGGAAAATGCAGAGTAGCGAGAAACGTCAAGGTATTGTCTCAGTAATGAAATTACATATTATTATTGCTCACTCTCTCAATTTTAGCTTCTTCTCTCTGGAAAATTGGTGTTTGCAGAAGTCTACTATTATTTCATCTTATGCATGCAGAATAATAGCGAGAAAAGGCCGGTAGCTCTGGTATCATTTTATTCCGAACCCCACAACACTCTCCTCAAGGCATCTTTTGGCACTGTCTGGTCCTGTACATCCCAGGGTGATTCGTCACTTCATGTGGTTAGCATCAAAGCAATTCTGTCAGTTGTTGCAATGGTTCCTCACACTCCATTTCCTACTAGTAATGATGTAACTGAAAGGTTTTTTGTTGTAGAGAAGCCAGGATTGGACGTAGCTCATATGATTCATAACAATAATGTATTAGAGGAGTAGTGTTTTGCTGTAAGTCTACACAGGAAATCATTTGCCTGGTATTAATATTACTACAATAGCTATGTTAATGCATGTTAATGGACTTAGTGAAAAAAAGTACGATGTTTCCTTTTTTGGCAGAGCTGAATTCTCTGCGTCAGCTCACTGTTTTCCTTAAACAACCTACCACACATTTCCGATATTTCTAATGCATCTTACAGGATTCTGGAAGCGATCACACAGTAACCAACTTGAAGGGTCACCTTTTCTTTTTGACCACCCACTTGCACTCAGAGCTGAGGGAAGTCCAGCACCAGCATCTCCTTCCCCGTTGGTATCTGTGTTGAGTGAGTCAGGTGGCAGTAATGGCCTCAGCTCATGCTCGGACTACAAACATGGCAGGATACCCTCTATGAAATATCCCGGCCCTCTAGGGCAAAATTTATTGAGATTGAATACAAGCTTTGGGGTACATTTTCATTCTCTAACTAATTTGACTGATAGTTTTACTTGTGACACAGAGCTCGTCTTCCATCAACACATCTTCAAGTTCTCTTCCCAGATTTGTGCAGTCACCCTATCCGGCCGACATTTTAGAGAAAATGGAACAGCTAGAGCAAGCTTACCAGGACTTGCAACGACAAAATGATGTCCTAAAGGCAGAACGGGACACCATCCAGTAAGCACTTAGATTTTGTATGTTTCTTGCCATTCATTTTTTTATAGAGGTGCATATAACACACTCGTCCAATCGGTTCCCAAACTTTTGGCTCTTAGCCCAGTAACAACATCTACACTATCAATTACAAACAGCAACAAGAAGCCAAGGCTCTGAACCTTACCAAATGTCACTTTAGGCCTGTCACTGAGTCAAGAAGAGTACACATCCATCAATTTCTGGCAAAAACAAGATTACCTGCAATATATGAAAGACGTGAAGGATTCAAACCAAGACCCTCCCGAGCACAAGATGTAATATGTTGAGCACAAGGATGGGACCATCATTGACCACCACTCAGCAACAGATATACGCAAGCACGCTCGTTCAATCTGGGCTGAGCTTGCTGAGCTTGGAATGGCGCCCAAGACTTGGATGAGTGCTGGGAGAGCAGTTATGGACTACTACAGATACAAGATGTAACAACCAAGAGTGATTTACTCTGGCGCACACAGAACACACTATAGAAGATAATGAAAGATGGGGAGTGGGTACCCCTTGGGCTGCAGTGAGTTAGTTGGTATACAACAGGTTTGTTTGTACATGTGTACTATACAGTTGATGGAGGCAGTGGCTGATGATGTCATAGGGCCTAGCCCGTATGGCCAGCTCCACTGCGTGAGAGAGTTGAATCTAAAATAAGAGAAAGGCAACGTGGTGCGAGAAAGGGCAAATGCCGCGTGACACCATGCGTGAAAGCTAAAGTATAAAGTTAAAGCGGAGAACGAAAAGAAAGGAAATGTCCGGAAATTGTGTTATCATAACACAAGATGTACGAGAAAGTGCCACAGTTACAATATTGTGACATGGACTGGAAAGCGGATCAAATAGCTATCGATAACTATCCTTCATGGTATGGGAATCATGTGCAGTGCCCTAAAAAGGATTTAATCAAGAAGGAGGCACCTGAAAACGAAGACAAAAGGGCAATCAAAGGAAACGGAAAACGCCCTCCTGAGCCTGCGGCACCTAGTCTCCCCCGATGTCGATGATGAGAACTGTTGTTAGAAAACCACACACAAAAACAAACTAACACACAATCCTCCCAGATTCCACAGAACATGTTTATGGGCTTTGCCTCCTAGAACAGTGAGTGCTCTGGTTGTTCGTGGGGTGGTATATATGAGGATCCTTCAAAGTAAAACCCAGATGTGTATGAGTGTGGGTTTTGAGGAGGAGGGATAGTTGAATTTATAGAAGGATAGGGGCTTTGTGACGAGTATAGACAAGCACTACCTTGCTAATCGTAGCACAAGGTAGGTTTGAGAACGACAATATGACGAGGTTCCCAGTGAAAGCAGGCTCCTGACGCACAAACTGTAGTGCTCAGAAGGACTCTAATTGAAAGGGATGACAATGACTTCAAAAGTGGGAAGTGACGATGACAGCAGTTGACAGTGGTAGAAGTGGGAAGTGTTGTGACCACACTGGATCACAAGTAGCAGAGTAGTGAACATGAGAGTAGAGAAGAAGTCTGGAATGGAGTTCTTGTTGTTTTTTTTACAAGGTAAAATACAGGGGTTTATATAGTAAAAGAAAAGTAGGCTATGCACAGTATAGCTGTGCAAAAAGAATGAGAAAGAACATGAAGGAAGGAATGTATGCTGACAAATCCTGCATAGGTAGTACAGGATAAGATTGTGAAAAAAAGAAAAGAAAGAGATAGAACAATGAAGGCTGTGAGTAATGTCACAGGTTTGTACAGCCATAAAGTAAAGTCCAATAGCAAAAAGAGAGCAGGAAAATCATGATGTCATGGGAAGATGCAGTAAAAGAGGGAAAGGCAAAACACTATCAGTATCAACACAGTTCCTTTATTGTCAGTCAGGCATTCTAAAAAAATATGTGTCCATAAAAATGATTCAAAAATCAAAAATAATTGCACTGTAAATGAATGTTCTGCTAAAAAAAAAGAAACTGGAGCCACCGGTCCACCACCTAGTCCAAATCCAACAGTTTCATGGCCTTACCAATGGACTGGTTGTGTTGGACCACCTGATCAAACGAGGGAGGGAGAGGAGTAGTTCCAATTTGGAACAAGTGAGTCCCAGGCAGCGTGTGGTAGGTGTAGCTGTAGCGAAGACGATGGACAAAAGATAAGTGTACCCAAGTGAATGGGACAGCGATGAACATGGGCGACGCAAGGGGATGAACCTTCTCCAGCTCAAAAACTACCCACCCACGCTCCAACCAGGCAAGACGAGCGACCGATGTTTTGATAGTATATGATGGCAGATTGACGTCATGAAGATGGACCTGTTGCCCTATTTGGACTGGCCGCCGGGGCTTTGCTGATATCAGCAGTGGCACGTGGTAGTCAACGGATCAGCGACGGAAGCGGATAGGAAGTGGTGACATCAGAAATGGTGGGGGTGCAAATAAAATGAGGAGGAGGAGGGTGGAGGTGACGAAAAAGTAGATTAGAATGGGGATCCAGAAACGACCATCAGGTGAGAATAAAAAGGAGAGGAAGGGGCCCATGGTGGGGCTAGGCAAAGGAAGGGGAGTAAGGGAAATGACAAAAGCGAGGGCGCAATGCAATGTGTAGCCAGTGGCGACACAAAAATTTGCCAAAATGCCAAAATGCCAAAAGTACCGGATGGAAAAGCAAAGGTGAGTGTGACTGGATTGCCTAATAGAGGTGATGCTGATCAGCCACAAGTTCAAAAAGGGCAATATTAATTACTATTCCACGTGGCACTGTGCCTGTGTGGCGCAAAGGCAAGTCTTTTTGAATATTCGCTTTGTTATTGACACCTGTCCATGCTACCAATCAACTTTGGTGCATGACATCCACGGACAACTTGAAATTGCAACTGTCCCCAGTTGCTTCCATAAAGGTAGGGTCATAGGGAATGAAACATGGCAACACATTAAAGGGTCATGTCAGCATAAAATTTGATCAGGTCAATATTAATTACTATTCCACGTGGCACTGTGCCTGTGTGGCGCAAAGGCGAGTCTTTTGAATATTTGCTTCATTATTGACACCTGTCCATGCTACCAATCAACTTTGGTGCATGACACCGACCTGTGAAGAAATCAAAGGGTGCAACTTCGGCAGCGGTTTCCCTTCCAATGCCAGTCACAACGGTACCTGAAACAGAGGCACACAATTTCATTGAGGTATGTGTCTCCCCAGTCATTCATGTTTACACTAACAAATTTTCTCAATAGATGCATGATCCATTGTATGTTTCATTTCGTTCGCAGGAGTGGCTGTTATCTATACTAACATTTTTTTTGCCTTAGAGCCAACATTGTTCTCAGCAGTCCTCACATCCCTCCCATTGGGATGTCTAGGCCAGCTCCAAGTCCTAGCCACGTCGAGCACCAACTCCCTCCCCATCCAGATCCCCCAGAAAGCCATCCTGAAACAACCACCCCAGGTGTCCCCGGCGATATGGGACCACCAGCAAACTTTGACCAATCTACCACGCACAGCGGGACTCAAAAAATAGTCAAAGTGAACCAAGAAATGGCCGGAACAGCTACAATTGCAGAAGGAGACAGGCTGAGAGCTGCTGCCCCCATGTCATCCACCTTGTCTGACCAAGGCATAGAAGAGACAAGGGGCCCATCAAGTCACACCAGCGAGGCCTGCAGGAATGCAGGGAAGAAGGCACTGGCTGACAGGAAACCTGGCAAGATGCGCCCTGGAAACACATTAACTGCCAGGTATGTTTTTTTTTGATCTAATCTAAGGCTAGTTACATTCAGATACTAGGAATCTCTGTGCTATTGAGTGGGTTAAGGCAAATCCTTGAGGAACAACAAATGACTTCGGCTCATACTACAAAAATCTCGACCAGGAAACGAAAAAAGTGATTGCCGTTTACTGGTTTGCGGATATATAAACTAACACTGTTTGCTATATACACCTACGAAGACCTGGCTAATCAGGCTAGTATGGCACAAGTAAGTTTACTCATTCACAGGCTTATTATACTGAGCTAATACATGTTTTGTAGAAAGAAGCGGCCTTGGGAAGCATCAAAGGAGGGCAGGTGGGTCTATAAGCTGGGGCTCAAATTGTCGTTTCATTTTTGTTAAATTTCCCTCGATCGTACTATTTGTTGCAGACAATATTTGTAATATATGACACTCGATGAGACTCGTTTCTGCTATTTAACATGCAAGTGCAGCAAGGTCGTCTGAACGTTGTACTTGAATCTCGTAACACATTCGAAGATGTTTAGGAGTAGTTCGGGTATGAGAAAAACATCGGTGCATGATCTTGGTATCAGTATTGCTTTCTTTCCATATCAAAACATGGTAGATATTGATGATAAATTACTTGCATACCACTATACTATCTTTCCAAGTTCTGGTTTGAAGCTTGAACGTGTGACATTTTCGCACCAGTGATTCTGACAGCATAGCTTTCAAAACCATGGCGTCTTTTTCAGTTGTCCTTCTTTCTCCTCTCACTTATATATATATCGGAATTTGTAAGTTGTATCTTTATTTCATCCCGCATATCTAGAGACACTAAATATGTACCTCTAGGCCATTAACGCTGTAGTACAAACACACCACTGGCAGATATGATCTTCGTAGAGGGCGATGATGGCAAAGTAGGGTCGAATCGCCAACCCGTAGCAGCAGTATCAGCTGATGTACGTTGTATGTACAATTGCCAGACGTGCTGATGCGACTGGTCTGGTTAGCGCAAGCAGGAAGAGCATTTACCCTCTTATGATGACGCCGCCCAACTGCGTGACGCTGAATCCAACGTGGGCACAATATCAAGTGCTTCAGAATCCATCATTCCATCCCATCCGCCTCTTACGTCCAAGCCGACTAATTTTCTGTCTCTTACGCCAAAGGATAGATCGATCACAGGATGTTATGCTATCAATCCCTTCCTCTCTATCCCTGCATCCCTCCTTGCACCTCTTCTTGAAGGTGAATCAGAAGCGGACAGAAAAAATCTCGACTTGCAATCGAAACAGGGATACATTGACGTTGACATCTCGTTGATGACTCCCGACGAAAGTGATTCCAACCTGAATCCGAAATCCCGGGCCACCTTATATCTCAGCTCTAACCATGGTTCTGTGTCTACAAGAGTCGTGAGTGTCTTACATTGTCGTCTGATTGAACTATAACAATTTTGGATTGTTAAGTATGCCGTTGGTCGCCCAATTCCTTTTTTCTTGAACGTAAACTGCCCGAATGGTCAGGTCACTGTCTACCTTCCGCGTTCGTTCTGTGGCCTTCTTCTACTTACCACGAAGCATGGAACCGTTTCGCTCTCAAATGAACTTTCTGCAAACTCTACAACATTGAGTCAAGTCGACATGACAATGCGCTATTTCCTAGGCGACTTCAGCGCAATGACCGAAGATGAATGGTCTGGTGACGAATTAAAAGTTGACGCCAACAATGGTAGGATTAGAGTCAGATATGTGGATGAACTGAACGTTCGCAAGCCAGGCTTATTTAGCCGTATGTTTGGCCTGTGAATTAGGTATCAATCTCTTGCTTTCTAAATACTCGCCATAGGTAACATATTTCCTTTCGTAGGTGAAGATTATTGCTCATATCCCGTCTTTCTCGCCTTTTATTCCCAGTGATATCAATATATTCGCGAGCTTTTCACATGGAAAATGCATACGTTGTTAAAGTTCGACTTAAACACAAATCAGGTAATTGAGGACGCTTCTTCAATTTCAACAGGCTCATAGGCTTGCATTCGCATCAACATGGCGGCGAACCTTCAAGCTTCAAATTTAGCAACGTTCAAACGTTCATCCGGAAGTCGAAGCCGCGCTAGCTTGTAATTAACCTGTGTCGCTCTCGACCATAATATCGCCTGAAACGCCTGATCTTACTTCATTAGAGACAGTTCTCAAGAATATACTCAGTCTACGGGCAGTGTGCCAACTACCATTGTACAATGGGCTTGTTGGCCGGCTTAGATGTGGCTCGTCATTAGATCAGTTCGTGACATCATGATATGCTTCAATAACATTGTCATCTAAACCTGCTTTTGCGACACGCAAAGCTTGTATCGAGCAAAGAAGGACAAGTTAGTCTCCCGTATGCAGTCCAAAAGATTCGAAGGAAGATAGTCGTTCCTTCTCAACAATGAGGGCAGGCTAGTTTGGAAATAAAGCAAATAAGATACCTTTCGAAAACACTATCGAAGCTCCCCAACATGTAGTGGCGATCATTCGAGAGCAAGGCTTTGATAACATTGACGAGTAATCAGATAAACACAACAGTCCAAAGGGGCCCATCAAATAAAACATATCTCAAAAGTGCATGAATGATGACATGAGAAGGAACAGGACTAGAAAATGATAGTGATGATTCGTTACAAATACATTGATACAGACCCGACATCGTCGGCAAGAAATATTCAAAGAGGATAAAACAAGTTCCAGTGAAGCCTAGTCGGACCATATTTGCTTTGCAACATCGACGAGCAACTTCAGTTTCTTCGTTTGGTCCTAAAATCAAATCTCAACAAGGAATACGAACGAGTAAAAAAGCTTCTAAACCTCTTCGGTGATTGGATTTCCTTGCCAAATAGACGCGAATCCGCACTGCGTGCTGATACATAACCTGATGCGGCAGCGTTATTGAAATTTGGAAGAGAAATAGAATCGGTTACCACTTACTGGTTAAGAGCTTCTTCTTTGGAGCGCTTTGGGAAGCCGTGAGTCATTATCTCTGCTGCTTCTTCAACCCGAGCTTTCAATTCTGCAGCGTTCTCCATCTATATGATTGTAAATCAATACGCACGGCATGATTATATCACAGGACTTTGGCTTACCTCAGGGCTCTTTGTAGTCACAAGCCCTAAGACAGCAACTTTATTTTTAGGTAGGTGTTTCAGCGCTTGGAAATTACCAGCACGAGGACTGTCGTATTCAAGCTGAAATGAAATATTACTCAGTTGTGATGTAGCTGAAAACTGCCAAAAAAAAAAAAAAAAACTGCAGAAACATACGTAGAAAGTGTCAACATCCAGCGTGTTGAAAAGCTTGCTAGCAATGCGGTCATATGCGCCTTCAGTGAAATGCAGACCCCCAAAATTGCCTCGACACGTGTGCACACTGATTCGTAAATCAGACGGTCGACCTTTGACACACACATTGATCGCGCGGATGTAGCTATCTAGAAGGGCTTCATGGTCCACGCAAGCAGCTTCCATCCCCGTTATCATGGCTTCTGAACAAAAGTAACAAAACGTAGGATCGTCAATTTGAATATGGCCTGTGAAAATAAATAGAACGTATGATCAATCGCAGCCGTATTAAAACAGAAGAGGAACGCACGGCATCCAAGGGTATAAAGTTCGTCTATCTCTTCTCTGAATGCCTTGCCCACATCATCGAAGTACTCAGCTGGACTAGAGGTTAATATGCAACGCTGTCATATACGTGTACAACTCACTGTCATTCTTATACACATTTAAGTCGTAGGTCAGATCCGATCCATGACGTTGATGAAACCACGAAGGCGAAACGATAGTGACCTTGAGGTCTTTTACTTCCTGCTATCGGTTAGAACACCACAAATTTGGATAATAGCTAGGATATCCATCTCACCTCAGGGGAAACAAGAGTCTTGAGAAACTTGAAATCCTCAACATAGAAAGGTTTGGTCCTTTTGATTTTACCCTTTGTAATTCAAAAGGAAGATTAAACGAGGTATTACCTGGTTATGTGTTCAGACGTACTGTGCAGAAAATCGTCGCCTCTTCCTTTACGCCATGCGCGTACATCAAAGCTATATGAGGAATGTAGGGCTAGACGAAGTTGCAGGTAAGTACATAATAGAGATGCAATACAACAAAATTGCCTTGAAAGTTTCAATAGGACCTGAACATATTAATGTTATTTATGTAATGAAAAAACGTGTGGTGTTTTCTTCAACTTACGATTGGGAATAGATGTCATGCCTTCCATACGGTCGAAGACACCTTGAAAAAACATGCCCCTATGTAAACTTGAGTCTTTTTAGCTCGTCAGCTTGATTACAGCACACTTACCTTCTCATTTCACCATCTGTGATAGTCTTGATACCGAGATCTTTTTGTAACTTTACAGATTTTCGGATAGCATCTTCTTCTACTGCAGCGAGATCCGCAAGTGTACACCTCTTCTCTTCGAAATCACTTCGCTTTTGGTAGAGCGCAGTGGGACGCAGCAGTGAACCAACATGCTCGGCACGAAAAGGTGGGCTCAGATGAAGGTGAGAAGACGACATGTTGATACGTTGGTGGTTTATAGACAACAGAACCTGCCTGGCAAAATGACATCCTTATCATCTTGATTCTTATACACTTGAACACCACCGCATAGCCCGCTCCAATCGCCTAGCATGGAAGGAGTTATGATGCTGGCAGGATGAAAAAAAAAGGGTCCTTCTTTGCGAATCGCTATAGAAAGCGTAAGTAGTAATACAAATGCCGTGATCCAATAAAGCTTAAGCTTCACATGCAATCTTCTTCAAAAGTTCATTGTGCCACAAGTACATGCGCTGTCAGGGAAAAGGAGATGGCCGTATACATGTGTGCTCTAACCTCATGTAGAGTCCAGGGTAGTAACGCAAAGAAATCAATTTTTGGCGAGCAATTTAATTGACGATTCAAGTTATATGGACCTATACAAGGCACGGTGATCATGAGAACACCTCGCGCCACTATAACTGAATGCAGTCTCAAAACTTACTAGTCGCTATCTCCTGTAATAACTTGAATAGCTAGTATGGTTGTGTGAGTGGTGGATCATCATATGATCTGAAATTTTCACCAATCTAGACCCGCCTCGCTGCCAGCGGCAGATGTCATGACATGATGGGTATACATGAGTCTCAGGCTCAAGATTACTCGCGGTAAAAGGTCGTAGGTTTCCCAAGCTCGGCACAATGATTATCATCCCTGTACGGCATACACATAGTGATTGTTAGTAAGGCCCAAATACTACCAACGAGCATTCTGCAAAAGCAGATGACCATATCTGCAGTGATGTCCAACGTTAGCCGAGCAAAAAACCGCTCAGACTCCTGCTCATAGCCGTTCTGGAACGGTATCTTTCACCAATGACGATGCGGCAACAAAATGGAGAAATCAGACACATACTCTATGCGAGTGAACGTGTGTATGTGATACTGTATGATGTAAAAAATTGAGGCCTCGAGGAGGATGATAACAGGAACGCAATCATCGCATGTAGTTTTCGATCATAGCGTATCATGTACAAGTGGTACAGGATCATGCTAGATGGGTCTTCATATGATGTGAAGACCCATCTAGCACGCCTATTCGCACGGAATTAACATCACAAACATATACTATGATATGATGGACCACCTACCATAACCCATATGGCATTTCAAGACACAGTACTCAGCGCTCAGCAAGCACGCACTAGTCCAACAATAAAATGTTCGAAGTCATAATCTATCATAGCGTTGCGTATCGTACATTGATTTACTTGACGTATTATAAACAGTCATGACGGTCATGACGGTAGGAAACAAGCTTGAGGAAAATAATTTTGTGCGTGAACGAACAGGTGATCACTATAATTGAAATAGAAATAGTGGAGTTCGGTCCCTTTGAGAATTCGACAGCGAATTTTTGAAAGGCACAGGCGCAAGCGACAACAAATTAGGAAGAGTGTAGTGGTGTCGTTATGCATGATGAGACACATTATGTACTAGTAACTCGGGGTCAAGAAGGCCTATGAATGGACCCCATTGCGTTCATCCTTTTCAGGCACGTCACCATCCGCCTTTGCATCTTGAGTTTCTTGAGTATCTTGCGTGTCAAATGTGGTAGTGCTATACATTCTGTTATTCACCATCTGTAACGAGTGAAAAGAGTCAAGAGGTTAGCTATATGAGTCACGTTTTAAACATGCTTTCGGATACTTACCCCTCCTATAGGCCTGGAATAATCTTCAAAGTCACGCAAACTCGCTACACTCCTGCCCCCATCTTCACCACCCAGACCTCTCCCTATTCCTCGTCTTCCAGCAAGTTCCGGATCAAGTAGCCCTCTAAATCTAAGAGAATCTTCTGGAGGCGGTGATGGTAAAGGGACTGTCGAAGGCATCCATGGCCATGCAGGCATAGGCAACGGCGCGGCATCATAAACTTCTGAATTGCGAAATTCAGTATCCTGCGGATCCAAGTTCTCGCGTACGTCGCAGGGATCGGACGTGTTGGTGAAAGCCGAGCTAGGACGTGAGTCAGGATTTGACAGGACAAATGAAAAAACCGGCTCTGGAGGTGGAGGTAGTGGAGGCAACGAAGTAAGAGGAGGGAGAGGCGGCATAGTTGGTGAGATGCCTTGTTTGACACTATGGTTGTTCATTGACGCAAAGGACGAGATAGAAGCCCGTTTCTCGTTAGTTCCATTTTCCATATCACTCCCACTCTCTGCTAGGCTCGCAGTTGCGCTATTACTCCCTTTCCCTCCCCGCAGTCGTCCAAAGAATGCTCTCATACCCCCAGGACGGTCATCGTGAGTTTCTGTAGGCGAGCTCTGAGACTTCTTCGAGACTTCTTTTGAGCGGAAGGTAAAACTTGTGGGTGGGACTGACCCTCTAGACCCACGCTTCTCTTGGCCTGCAACAAGAATATGACCATGAGATGAGGAAGAAGCATTTGACCTAGATCCAGCTCCAGCTTGCACATTAACATTGCCACCACCAAAACCAGTACCACTTGAGCTCCCTATTACACCTCCGTGGGACAAAAGTGGCTCTTCACTACCTGAACGCGTAGGTCCACCAAATCCTGTACTCTGCGATCGTGAGTGCGACAGTGATTGTGAACCAGACCGTCCTAGAGAGTGTGAATGTGAATATTGTGAATGCGACAAGGACTGAGATTGAGGGTTCGAGAGAGGGCGGAATAGGGAGTCTTCCCTTCCTTGATACCCTCCAACGCCGAACTCGGAGTGGTCTCGCCCGCCAAGCCAAGCCCCAGCATCTGGTCCAGGAGAAGTACGGCGCCCTGTAGAAATATTGCGAGCGAGAACTGCATTGGGAGGGCGCATTAACGACTGATAGGATGGCTCATTAGGTAGATAATGCCCTTCATCCGTAGTATAGGCATACGGTGCCCCTTCCACGGTGTATGCATGGGGTGGAATTGGAGCTTGCAAAACGGGAAACGGTAATCCATCCCGAGGCAAGTCCGACGATGCATACAAGGGTGAAATTGGTAACTGAGCATGTGTGTGCCCATGCATTGAAGGAGATACGGGAAGTGTGGGTGATGCAGGGAGTGGAATACGCGTTGGAGACACATCGCGTACCCCTGGCTCGTCATTGCTGAGCACTTCATCAGCATCCACGCGCATGGCAGCCAAGATGCCCGCAAACCGCTCTTCCATTGCGCGAGATGTACGTCCGCCTATCTCAGAGTCTTCCTCACCTTCGAGGACGCCTCTACCGTGCCTGCGCCAGTCATCAGAAGTCCAGTTTGCGCGTGTAGGATCCCAATCAAGCCCCTGGACTAAATTGTGCTGAGCACGCATGCGCCTACGAGCACAGAAGGCTAGAAGCACGAGGAAGAAAAAGGCACCGAGGGTTCCAAGGACGATTCCTACTATCGTACCTGGGTGGACAACACTATAGAGAGACTGCATTGTTAGAGTCTGAGATCAAAAGAAATTGAACGGAAGTTCGTCATATAGGACGTATAAAACCCCCGAAAGACCTGAACGAGATATAAAAGAGGACTCACGAATTCGCCCTGTTTTGGGGTGGAGAAGTACTCAGCACACCAGAAGTCAGTACAACGGTCTGGACAGTCGTAGAAGGTTGCTGGCCTGGGACAGACTGAATGGAAGTGAGATACAAAGTTGATGTATACGGCGTTGGAGCATGATCTTGAACAGAAGTGGTTATATCGGTGGTAGTATAAACTGTAGCAGTAGGAGACGTCGAAGGCAAGGGAGAGGAAGAGTGAGGAGGGTCAGAATCAGATGAAGCAGACGCTGGTGTATGTGCTGTGGACAGTGGAGGATTCGAGGTTGATAAATTAGTGGTGGTGGTGGTGATGGGTATATTTGATGAGGATATATGCGAAGAGATGGTAAGAGAAGTTGATGTATATGAAAGGAATGATGATGTTATATACGTGGAAGAAGGTTGTGATTGCGGGGTTGCATACGTTGACGATACGTCAGTTGATGACGGTGACGAAAAGTTTGTGTAGTACGAACTTGTGGCTGAACTTGATGATGTGCTTGTCTCTTGTGAACTACTACTTGAACTCGAGGGAGTAGACGAGCTACAATCAAATCGAACACCAAAGAAACGTCATTTGAAGGACAAGGGGTACCATAAATACAAATGCAAAGGAAAACACATTCGATAAGACGCATATATAGGGAGGGAGAGCATGAGGAAAATGTGAATAAGGTTGCAAAATCGCGTAAAGAGATATAACTGTACTCACTCGGACGATATTGTTGGGGTGGGAGTGAACGACGTAGTTGGAGGATCCACTGACGAAGACGACGGCGGCATAGTATATGTATCAGTGCTGGCTGTAGATGTACTACCATCCGATGACGATGCTGGCTGACTGGAAGCAGAGCTTAAAGGCGTACTTGACTGCGAATCTGCTGAATTCGGAGACGCAGTAAAATTGTCGTTTGCGGCAATATCTGCTAACGCCAAAACCGTAGGTGATCGCGAGAGCGACGCAATGGTACCTGAAAGAGACATAGAGACGGGGGACATGCGTGACAAATGATAGACGGTAGTACTTGAGGTCATTTTGGAATGGCCAGTAAGCTGGTGGATGCACACCAGCTAGCACTGGCATGCAGCGAGGACAAGCGGGGGAGAGCTCGAAGGAGGACCCAGGGTGGTGGAGTGACGCGTCAACTGCTTGTCAAAAGCGAATGGGAAATGGAGGTATTTACGGAAAGGCTAGATGTAGTAGCACTAGAAACCAAGCTAGCTATAGTGAGGAGGAATGAACTCGGAACCGCGTGGTGCAAACCCTATGCGAAACCTGGAATGCAGAGGTTGCAATGGAAGAGACAGTTGTGAAACTGAAGGTTATTGTTGGAAAGAGTAAGCCAGACTCTGGGACAAAGTGAGATACGGTGAGGAAGAGGAAAGAGGATGAAGACAAACATGCAGGTTGTGTGATAAATTGGTGGTGGAGCTGATAGACTCGTTGTAAGCAACCAAACAACATCGTGTAATGATCGGGCGACTAGAAGGACGGTACTTACGACCAAAATGGCCTCGGAACAAAGGTCACTATAAACGACCGAGACAACGTTGGGAACAGCCAACTGTGCTCATCCACAGAAATAGTGGGCCCCTCTTGTTTTCTTTTTTGTGTGGGTGGTCCGGGCCATCCGAACATACGATAGCACCTTTAAAAAGCGCATGGTTGCTGTCCCTACGAACCTCGATGCCCGCCTCATACATGACACAACTAAGGTTTAGCCTTACGTCACTTGCCTTTATCGACTAACAGTGCCACGCGAGTATGCCCCGTCTATTCCCCATGTCCGTTTCCACCTCGTCTGCGTCAGTTCCTGCGTCATTCGCTCTCATCCTTTGGCCACCATTGCATGCGAGTGCCAGCATTGGTTTCTCAACGATCTCATCCGTGATATGTTCCTGATCTTGTTGGCCCCAATTTGCAAACCTCTTTTGCAAAAATAAGGACCCACTTTTAATTGGTCAAGCACCTCCTGCTTTTCGCTCCTCGGCATAGCCTTTTCGAACCCCAGCTCAACCGGATCAGCCAACGCCACACTAAGTAGGACATTGCGCGTCTAGAACCTGCCCTTTTTCATGGACAACACACTACTGAAACAGGTGGCGAGAATGCCTCAAGGTGGGCACTAGGTTTCGGTCTTGCTTGATACGTTCCACACTCTCGACTAGTTTTGCCTTTTTCCATGACGCCATCTAACCCCGCTCGATCGCATTATAGCACCGGTCCGCTCATATCCTCTTTCTGTCCTCAGATATATTTCTAGATGCTGCGGAAAACCCCAGTCACCGATAGCGGCGCCCATCTATGGCCTGTGTAATCTGTGACATTGTCAGTCGAGATAAGTGGTGACTTACTCCAATGATCATGCATGGTTTCCTCTTACATTCATACTGTGAGTCAGAATATCGGGCATGGATTTACTTAACAGTTATCATCGGTGCGTGACCACCTGCTGTCGCAGTTATCTCTCTATTAATCGTGGTGACCTTGCACGCATCCCTAGATCACTGCAACAGATCACCATGTCATTATCGTATGATTATCATATCGCTTCATTATACTTTTGGCTTTGAGCATGTTTGATATTCAGACCAAGAAGTAGAAACCACGACAGGAACACATATTATGATTACCCTTTAGAGGTCTACTGTCGACCAATCGAGTGCCTATGCCATATCAACTGTGCATATGACGTCGCTCGGATTAGGAGAACGTTTCCTGAGCATTGCAGGGCTCTGTGGTAGGACATCATGAACTGCCAGATACGAGCCCATAGGCGCATCACAGCAATCTGACCTTCAAATTTTCATCTTGTCCACTCGCTGCCATCTGCCAAGCATCGCTCGGCGTCAGGTCATGCTATGGATATGAATTCATGCAAGTCTTCGACGGTGTAGTATGCATGTTTTCTTTCTGTGGCTCCGTTCTTGGCTTTACCATTCACTCAGGGGGACATGTCAGCTATATCACACTACTCTTAACTCGATCAGCAACGACCTCGAGGTCCGACTTGTGCGCATATGATCGTTCGATGACTACACTCATATTGGATAAGAGGCAAATTCTCCTCTCCTTTCCGGCCACTCATCCGTCGGACGACCACTCACCTGTTTACTATCGATCGCGAAACCATTGAGACATTTTGTGCAATCTTCGATCGGGGACTCTGATCGAACATGTCTTTGTTACCACAGTTACAGTAGTTGGAAATCATCCTCGGGGGTTGATCTGCGAGGGTACGATGATGATCGAAACTCCTAACCACCCCTCGATAATATGCAGAACGATTTAACCAGGGGCGGAAGCTATCTGACCGGGTGCATTACTACGACGATCGGAGCGCATATATCGAGCACAAGAGGACTAAAACAGGGGCCTGACAGGCCTCTATCATCGCATGATGGCACTGTCCCGGGCTTGTGAAGCTTAGACACTGTTTTTCGAACACCAGCACGACCACACCACACGGAAGTCCCTAGATTTTACCACGACGAACCAAGGGCTGAAGTTTCATTCAAATGGACTTTGAATAATATTCATATAGGACCAGGCACTTCACTTCATAGTAACACAACGAGCGCGCTCGGAATCGAGCGTTCCAAGCGTTAAATCAGCTGTACACTACACCTGCCAACTTGGGTGTCGCTGTCACCCTTACACGCTTCTTCTCGTCCAACAAAATCATACTTCGATGTCTCGGACCCGTCAAGGCTTCATACAAGGTTTCGGACTACTAGTACGGCGCTCTCCTTAATTTCATATCCTTGCTGGCGTCGGACCGTTCACTACGGTTCGAAACTCTGATCCACCTCTGAATCAGTTTTGCCTCGTTAGTTTTAGTAGAACTTTAGTTGAAAGATGTGTATCAATGTGTTATGCTGTATAAGGGGCATACAAGACTATACAGCAAATTCAATGTGGGAAGGTGTATGCTCGCTGAGATGGTCTTCGTTAGGGGTAGACAAAAATGGCTCCGTGAACCACGGTCTTCCGCTTATCTTGGTCACAACAGTTTGAGGCTCAATCGCCGTGAGTGCATATTTGATGGAACAAGCTGAACTTCCGTGATGGGTGCTCAGATAAACCGTGTTAATATCCAAAAGTATCTTCGTAGTTACCCTTCTCTCTTTTAACTACATAGGAAATGAAACGCGTAAAGAAATCACTGCTATCTCGAAGGGATCAGGACAACAAGAATGTATGAAAGAGCTCTGAAACTCACAAGGGTTAACATGTTAACATCCTGGAAACGGCCCATAATAATCGGTATACGTGTATGTCTCCGTATAGGTGCTAGATTGCCCTTCGTATGTCCATGCCTCGGTGATAGTCTTCGTCGCTAACGGATAGCTTACTTCCGTGAGGGTCACTGTCGTGGTGTATGGATATGTTGAACTGGGTGCTATAACCAATCCAGTATACGACGTCGTCACTGTGGACGTTACAGGACACTGTGCAGTGGACTAATGATGATGTAACTTAATTATCCCTCTACTTACCGCTTGAAGGATGAGTGTAAGACTCACTGTGAGAGCAGCGGGGATGGCGGCCACAGCACACGCGCAAGCAAGAAAGCTGAGTAGTGTTTTGGTTAACATTGTGAGAGCCGTTGAATGATATTCACAATGCCACACTTTATGTACTAACACAACATACCGAGGCGCCCAATGTCAGCCATGATGTTCAAGAAAATAAACCATTAGCAATAATACTACAAAAGTCTTGATCGTCTCACCGGAGACAGTTGGACTTTGACATCTCAGTCAGCAAAAACTCAACTGGCCACCTACCAGGTTCCTCCGTCTCCTGTGTTGTGACCCACATTACCGCCGTTTTGCCTAAACCGGTTCCTGGAAGGGCAGTCCAGTGTGCGTGCATGTGCGAAATTGTAGCCGAATTCCCCTGGCGTTAGACATTTTGATGGATTATGACCTTCGGAGTAGGACGGTATTTGGCGGGCGGACGCCGAGGAGTGTCTCCTGAGCTGACTGTTGGTTCATCCAAGAGAACGAATGCCCAAACTGAGTCTTCGTCAACTGTAATTTTTGGCAGACTTCTCAGCAAGAAGGCGTATAGCATAATGTATGACCAAGGTAATCCCCCATCTTCGGAAATTACTGTAGTTTAGTTAAAGATATCGTTGTGACGGCGCCATGGGCTGGAAGGACGGGACCTTCTGGAGAATTCGGGAACTGCGGTTACCAAGTTCAGTTCGAACGTTGAGAGAACGACACAGGTTCTACGTTTCAAAGCCATCCCGGCATCGTTTCTGCTGCCATGTAACAGGGAAGGTGAAGTCAACGTGGTGGATAGTCGACTATACAGGGCAGGGGTGGTATTGAGGCAGAAGTCGCTACTACCGCGGGGAGGTTCAGTCAGCTGAGGTGGTATTTGATTGTCGTCTTTGGGATCACCGGGCGTGTGTAGATACGGACCATGTATCACGAGTAATTCTGGACCTTAATTGTAAACAGAGAATATTCTCATATTTTTTGATTTGTTGCAATGTTGTCAGCTTTGTTAAACAGAAACAGACCATGGTCAGGATAACAATAAAAGAGCCTCACAAAACGACTCAACAGAATTCAATGGGAATTTGTGTGGGATAAATACCAAAGCGACTGGGAGGAACAGGAGACGGCATATGATCACAGATTCGATGTTGACATTGTGTGTGATATCGAGAGTATGCTCAGGAAGAAATCTGCAGCCCAAGCAGGGTCAGATATGGTAAAATTCAAACAAATACAGCAGTGGAGAACAAGGTCAAGGATGCCATTGGATCAACGAACTCTGTGAATCGCAGTGGCCCCATCTGTGAGGTATGTAGAAGGATGTCATGACCATGACTCATCCGCGGCGCGTGATTTTTATGCTCAGCTCGGCAGCAAGTAGCTTGGGAGTACTTTTAGCGGCATGTTCAAAGTTACTTTGTCCTTCAAGTTACAATAAAAACGACTCTTTCTGGTACCGAGTCATCGTTGACAGCACGTAAAGCCTTAAATACCTTTTCAAGTTAAACAAGGCAACAATGAGCGGGCACAAGAGATCAAGCCTTGGTAAAACTCGGAAATGCCTTGGTACGTCAATTAACTATATTCTAGTAGACGTCGAGGACGCACATCAGCACGTTGGAGCCGGACCTTCTTTTGCTCTCACTGGATTTTGTTATCTCAAGCTTCCAACCAATTGCATGTCTTAATTAAACGCATCACTGCTTACTCAGCAACACGGACAGAGGTAATGCTGTAATGAACTTTCATTTGTGCTTGAATAGGCCCGGTTGCAGGTGCAGTGGCCACCTTCGAGACTTGAACTATTTCGTACAAGCATCCCATCTAATGCTGTCAATTATGGTTTGATACCAAGTAATTTTCTGTTGGTCCTCATGCTGATTGCTGCGATCACCGATAGGGCTAAATAGGACTCCTCTCTGCCGTTGCCCCTCGGCTTACAATTATCTCTAGACAGTTACATCCACTTCCGATAATGTCTTCTCCGATGGACCATCCATATGCCAAGCTGAATCTTACCTGTGTGTGGTTAGAGACAATGGTGTATGGTATGTATCCCGATGTGGTCATTATACCATTATACAGTCTCATGAGTACTAAGTGCACTCGAAAAATATTTCTAGGTGCCAAGTCAGTATTATCTAGGTGTATTTCAATGCTAGACTGCGGGTCAAAAAGTATCGTCTTACATGGCTATTTTATCTACCTTTTAACGGCTCAAAACAAGTCCAGTGACAACCATAATCATTTGTGTGTCCTTGTAAGTAGTCTACGGAACCCGGGTCTCAAACCAGGTGTGTGGTTACTGAAACTGATCGCTTTAATTGCAGCCATGAGCAAAATGATGAAGCCGGGTTTGAGCTTTTTAACAAGGTACAACCCAACTGGCAAAATGTAAAGATATGGGAGGCTTGGGGCAAGTATGCACAAAGTCAGTTTGGTAAGTTTCCAGCTCAATTAATTAACATCACAGAGTACTGAACTGTATGTAGCTGATATAGATGGGTCTGTGCCAAAGGAGAGCCTATCAAGCAAGCAGAAAGAAAAGATCAAGCTTTCACTTGACAACAATGGATATCCCATCCTTGTATATCAGGATCTGTCTTCCCCAGCAACCTTTTCAGACCTACAGGTTATCATCAGGTCTTTCCTGATGACACATTACCAGATTTCCAATGGAAATGCAAAGGCTTCAGTACCTTGGACCAGCCTTGCGGAGCGCCAGGGCGACTATATTGACTTGTCAAAGGGGTAAATACCCCTGGGCTACAAGTTACGGGAACCTTCACCTTCATGTATGACAAAGGAGGAGACCCAGGGTCTGTTGGACCATTGGTATAACCGGCACAATAATATAAATGCCAAAGTTAACTTCAGGTTCAAATCTAGTCTGCACTCAGTAGCCAATAAAGGAAAGGGTAAAGAGAAGGCAGTGATGAAGAGAGTCCTTCCCAAAGCGGGAATGGTTTGATAAAATTGGATAATGACCAGACCAGGGATTGAACCTGGAACCTTCTGGATACATGCCAGCTGCTCTACCAATTGAGCTATATGGCCAAGGTTATACAATGTAGGACCTTCAACATGACATGCAACCACGGACGTCTTACACAGAATAGCTGCTGCATACTGGGCTGGCTTACAGATCAGAGGTATTATCCTATGGAGTATTGGTATGTCAGAGTATATTCTAACATGGTTGCACCCAGAAGCAAATCCACCGACGAGGAACAAGAGGAGATTAAGGGGCTTGATGAAATTCTAAGCAATGATGAACACGGTGCCGACATTCAAAACCAGCCCGGGCCCTCCAAACCAGCTGCAAGGTGACAAACTGTAGCCTTCCAGGAATCAACAACCAGGCCCGGGCCCTCCAAACTAATGTCCAACCCCGTTCTGGCTTCTTCTATCTTGAGGCAGCAATCTGTAGGTGTAGAAGAAGTGGACAAGGACAGTCCTCGGCATGCTTCTATTACACACAAGCCTCAGAGGAGGTTCCTCGCCGGGTTATGTACCAAGGAGGAATACTTGAAGTTGGTGGATGCAGTGTACCAACTACTAAAGGACAAGCCCGGGCCTGGCTCCCAGAGTAATGGCGAGCCAGAGGATTACTTGGACTACTGGCTGTCATGAGCCTCATGGGGCTATGTCCACAGCATGATTCCATTGGAGATTCATTAAGGCAATGGAACTTGAGGCCTGTTGGGGTGGCTCCGCATGCAACCTTATCTATATTGCTTGGGGTCCTGGACAGCCACACAGGTATCAGGGGCCATACAGCTATAGCCCTGATATGTTTGGCGGTAGGAATGCTGCTCTGGGACCTTCATACAATCCAATTTGCTGATGGGGATGACGACCTGATGTGATTATACATTGAGTTTGTCATTGTGGGCAAAACTATCCTCCTATTCTGTAGGGACATGACCACCGCAATAGAAGATAGCTTGGAATCCACCTTCCTTGACAAGACAAGGCCTCCACTCAGGATGGTGACAAGGGCACTGCAGAGTCCCACCAAATGTGGGCAAGAGGAGATGGATGAGGAACCCGGGAACATTGCACACAGGACAAGGTCAGGTAGTAGTCCAGTAAAACGGCTTCAACAAGCCAAGGACACCAAGGTAGATCAGACGCTAAAAGTAAAGAAAGCCTCTTACCCTCTGAGTGCACCGAACTGGAGTTGACAATGAAGTCTTTCATGGTGCGGACACTTGGACAAGATGCCTACCTTGGGTTATCAAAGGCAGAGAAGCATGAGGCTGTCCTCATACATGCACATCAGGAAAAATGGGGGTAGCTATATAGAGCTCTATAGCACTATAAGTACTCATAAAGCTGTTATAGTGGTCAAACCTGTTATAGAACCTCTGCCATCTATAGAGCCTCATATAGCTCTATAAATGCTCTTATAGATGTTGGAAATTCTTGTGTGGCTGATTGAAAAAAATTAACACAAACAGTATTTGAACTCTCAACCTGCTAATCAGCTCTTGGGTGACTAAGCAACCTACAGCCACACATCACATTTATCCACTACACCATGAGAGCTTATAAAATGTATTATACAGGTGTTATATACTGACCTTTTATGGACTTAGATTATTTTTTTACTTATTGTCGCTACTTATATTTGGATAAATCATTATTCTTATTTTGTGAGTATCAGGGATACAAACTACTATTTCACTAATACAGGCTACATAATTAATTAATACTGGATGATTTATTAGCCCTTTTAAGCACCTTGAACTATATTATAAGTATGACCTTTACAGCTATAGGAGCTATGTAGGCTGCTATAGGCTATAAGAGCACTTATAGTATCTTGCCTATAATAATATACTTGACTCAAAACACTTTTGGCCTCTTTCTATTATTGAACAAGTTTATTAGATTAATCCAAAATTTGAGGGAATTATAGATACTTCTCCCCTTGGTTAAAATTTTGCCTAATACTGTGCTATAAGAGCTATGATTGCACTGATAGTACTATAGTTTCTATGAATGTGTTTATATATATAGGTGGTGGCTATATAGTGCTATATAGCAAAAGTGTTTTTCCTGATGCAGGGTGTTGCATGCACAAGGAACTAAATGCTGTGAAGGGCGGAAATGATGCAATGATGGCCGAATGTGATTGAATTGGCGTTGAAGGGCCAGTGCTCCTTGTAAACAAGGATAATGATGCAATGCTACAGGGTGCTTGTCATGGTGCTGATTGCAAGCCAACTCCTGCTAAACAAGGATAATGATGCAATGCTACAGGGTGTGCTTGTTATGGTGCTGATTGCAAGCCAACTCCTGCCAAGGTGCGTGCACTGAATGAGTTAAGCCGAGAAGCAGTCAAGACAATCAGTCTTGCGGGCGGAATCTTCAACAATAAAGATAAGAAGAAAGGCCAGCATGATACATATTGCTGGTACTATTGTTTATCTAGCAATGAACAGCTCAGACTTCGAGTGAAGGTCTGAATATATTGGAATAATGTACCTAGCAATGAACAGCTGGAAAAACGAAAGGTAAGCTAGGTACTCGTAATTTAACACTAAATGGGGAATCTCACCTCAGACTTCGAGTGAAGGTCTGAGGTGTCTGCCTAACGACGACAGCGTATATAAAGGAGAACGGAATCAAAATCAAAAATGTTATCTGATGGCGCACGGGCCACTCCATCTACTAGGCCTGCCTAGTTCGGCGCTTGCGCCACTTCCCTTCTTCGTACTACGCTTGTTTCTCTCATATCTCCAACAGGTACATGGAAAACAGAGGGCTGGTGGCCAGTCAATTTCCTGACACGAGCAATGTCAGGTTCCAGTCTCACATTGAAGCTGCGGAGGTGGTTCTCATGGATCATCAAGCTATACTCGAGTTTCCGGAATTTGTACAAGATAAGAAGGATCACCGGAAACTCAATCACATGGAACTCAACTTGTATGAGGCTCTCCACTGTTTGAAGACAATGACAGAGGTTGTTGCCATTGTGTTATATGGTGGTACAGTCTCGCATCCATATTCACAGATGGTTTGCCGGCCAGGCACAGAGTCTCTCAATGTGCTAGACTTGGGACAATTACAGGAGGAAATGAAACAGCACCTCAAACTCATTTTTACCAATCCCGAGCTGATCTTTGGTGCTAATGTGGCCCCCGAGACAGCTTGATTTGGTGGTCAGCCCTGGTGTAATCCTGCTGCTATGGCTGCAGCATTCAAACTTGCCTCCAAGCTTGAGCATCTGCATCCAATCACACTAGCCCTATTCCAGGGAGTACTCGACAAGTGGGAGTCATTCACAACTGAATTTGCGCCAGGATTGGCCGGTGGTTGTGGACCAGACCTTCCGAATTGGGAACACAATGCCAGGTTGATAAATGTTCCGAGTCGAACTCATTACGCATATTTGGTTCCGTGCAGCTGACAAGGTGGGCTTTATCTGGTTTGCTGCATACTGTAAATCACGTTAAAGACTACTACTTCTCTCCTTTTCGAACAACTCCAGTACCCAAAGTCACTGGCATCACACGATTCAAGAGGCCTCGAGTGGAACAATCGCAACAGGTCACGGGCTTAACCCATCATATTCCACCGCTATAACCTTCTACTCCATGGATGCGACGACAGTGATTCACGAGCTTGAAGATATTTATGACTGGCCTCCTCCTGTAGCGAAGCTCGCAGACTTACTTTCTCAGCCACTCCCATCTTGGCTTGCCACCGGTCCATACCCTTTCACGTCCCCTTGTGCCTCTGATTCTGTAGATATTCTATCTGGACATCCAAAGGATCGTATAGTAACGACCGAGAATTATGATTCTGGCGGCTCTACGTCTTTGAAAGTCGTGTTTGACTTGGTCATGACGGCCTCGTCTGATTTACGCACCCTCAGTGGCAGCGTTGCATACGGTTGTCCTCGCCCCACCATTCCAATTTGGATCACAATGCTTAAGCATCTATTTCTCCATTGCTCGGAACACATATCGATACTGTAATGATCTTTTCTCTTTTTTTTTGAAGTTTGCATATTTCTGATAACTTGACGCGCGGATTTATTTTCAATTTTTAGTGAAGATGAATATTTTGTCAGGCCACGCGCGCCTCATTCGCAGGATGTTTCCTCCAGTGGTCCAATCACCGACGGCTTTGCATCACTTATTATAGCCCACTATGTCGATCGAGCGGATGAAGATCAAGACACTGGCTCAGCATGTCACTCCTCACAAGACAGCTGTACGAGCTCTTCTAGCGATGACAATTCTTCTCATGTACGAGACGAAAACTATGGGGATAACGGCGAAATTACGAAGAAGAGGAAGGCAAACACGAGTAGCTCAAAGAATCATTCTTTGAAGTTTCCTATCCACGCCCATCTTCTTCCCACACGCGGTCGCCATCTCTCCGCCGTCCTCCCGATTATTGCGGTTGCTGACGAATATAATATCATCCCTCTCATGTCAAGTATGCTTTACCAACGTCGTGTTTGGCACATCGACCAACCAGTTATCGGAATTATTTTCCAAGGGACTGGAACTGTTGGCCAAGTCTTATTTGGTTGGCTGGATCACGATTCTGGGACTAGCGGAGATTTGGTAAGCTCTTCTTCTCTCTTCTATGGCTCGACTGAACCCTTCTCTAGCCTGGGGTCCATATCGCATGTGCCAGCCCAAACTCTCAGCCTAAGGCGTCATTAGGCATATTCGATTTAACCGACCCAGTGGCCGCCATATCATTGGCCCAATTTGTGCTTGGATTATCGTCGTATTTCAAGGACCTTATCAACGCTACATCAGTAACGTCTGTCGATGCGGATCCTTCCCTGCACTGGAGATCAGATCTCATCGATATCTCCTCTGAATCAGGAGAACAATGGAAGGAGCGAGTTTCAAGGTGGGCATGCGACGTACACGTGTCCACATGCGCGAGGTTCCTACTATTTTCAGTTTTGTAGTTGCAGGGCATGCATCCTTATTTATTTCTTTTTAAAGCAGCGATACTTCCTCTTCTCCTCCCCGTACCCCACCATTACACGCTACACGTTCTCAGCCTAGCTGCTGGTCCCCAACTAAGTCTTCGAGAAATCTGCATACTATTCAAGAGGAAGGACACAATGAACCCAGAGGCTCCAAGTCTCTTCGCAGCAGTGTCAAACATGGTGGTACTCAAAGTGACCACAAAGTGAGCAGGTGAGCATGGCAAGTTTTGAGCGTAGTGATGGAAATGATGTAGTAAATTGATATTCAGCGATAAAAGCTTTTCTGTAAGTCAATCTTCTGTTGCAAAGCACTCTGTAAGCAAAATGTCGACAAAATATCTATCAACCTCTAAGTGAGAGCATATACATCATATGTGTTGAATCGTGACTCACAATATTTAGAGATAAAAGCCCCGCTGGAAATCAGCTTTCTGTCGACAAGTACTCCGCAAGCAAAGAGTCGAAAACAAATGTATCAAACTCTAGGTGAGAGCATATACATTAAATGTGTTCAATCATGACTGACAGCTGGGCTAGTTTTGCGATGAAGAGTGAGAATGGCTTAGATGAAGAATTATCGATTACGAATTGGCTTTTTGATAGAAGAGCTCTCACGATCGGTAGAATCTTGTTAGCAGATCTTGCTCGAGACCCTGAATCGGAACAAGATTCGGAACACAAAGAGATTAACGAAAAAATCAAATTTTACGACGAGACGACTAAATTTTGCTGGCCAAGCAGCTGGAAAACATTGGTTAGTTTTCTCGATCTTAGTGCCACGTCTTATATACTCACGCCAATGCAGAGTGACCTACCTGGATCAGACCTTAGCATTGAAGGGCATCGTAGAATGCTTTTTGAAAATTATAATAACTATGTTCAGGCTGGCAACGAGGTTCCAGACCTGGAGACCAAAATCATGGAACTCCTCTCCAGTCGGTTCTCCTCTATGTTGTCATCTTCCGATGGTGCATATACTCGAGCTCTTGCAGCGGCGAAACGTAATTCTAATGAAGCTGAACGCCGCCATGATTGGGACAATCTGTTACTCAAATTTTTCACGACCTCGAAGTACACTGGTAGCACAAACCGTGATGTGTTGTAAGTACCAGGCAACCCGCCCTAAAGCATATCTAATCGTTTACTTAGGCTGGAACGTGTTTTAAATGCACCTCGAAATATAGCCCTTGACGCGATGAGGACTTCTGCTGCTGATCACGTGCGAGAGCGCTCTGCGCTAGCAAGTCAATATGCATTACATTGCAGCTTGGCAGACTTCAGCTTCAGATATGGCTATGATGGGGGAAACAGAGTTGTCGCTTCTCAAGCTCTTCAGGCGCTTAACCAGTCTGCTTCATTTGTCGAGCAAGTCAAGGGTGATATAGAGGCCCGCTTGCTCGATGCCCTCGAACGTCGCACCAACCAAGAACCAACACGTGGAAAATGTGATGCAATTCTAGTCGTACCCCTTGAAGGCGTCTGCGCTAAGATCGTTAAAATCCTTGGCCAGTCCGAAGGCAGGAAGTTCGTGAAAAATCTTGCTTTGATAGCACATCCTGGTGCGGAAAAGTCGGCATCTGGGACTGGGAAGAACGACAGAGGTGAGAAAAAATAGCTGAGTCGTAGAGCTCTTGCTAAACTCGAATGAAATCAGCAAACTCGGACTCAGCTCGACATCTGACCGTTGAGCCTCAGCCATCATCGGTCACGGACAACAGCAAATCAACTTCCTATCCCTCCTTGCACAATGTCTTCACGGCAACTGTTCCGAGACCACCCTCCGAGTCCTCGGAAACCCTGTCGAAAGATGTCGTTCAGCTTCAGGCAGCCCAGGACGGGGAAATAGACAATGATTTATTATTGCCAGTCCTTACCGTGGAGTACAAGAAAAAAGATGTTACTACGACATTCAAGGCTTTGAACCAGTCTCGAATGTATACGGTTTCAGCACTGTATTTTCTGAGATCCTTGGGGATCGTTGATTTTCCGCTTTTTGGCCTAGTCACGTCTGGATCTGAAGGAGCAGTATCAATGGCTTGGTACTCGTCCAAGCAACAAGTAAGTATGTTCATTGATATGCTCATTGACATCTTACCATCCCTCACCATAGAAATTTTTTTTAATGGAGCGGAACTTCCAGTTATATGACATTTCAGACCCGCTCCAAGTTTACGAGTTTTCTGTAGTTCTTCTTCGCATTGCTGAACATGGTCAGAAGCTCAAAGTGAAGCTGCAAGAAATGCTGAGCAAAATTGATGAGCGAAGCAAAATTAAAACATTCAACCACTGGTCTAATTTGGCTCAGCCAAAAGAACTGTAGTATATCTCAAACCATATCTATAGGCTTGCATAGCATCACTGTCACATTTGTACATATCTTGTATTTGTATTTGTAGACATGTCTGAACACCTGCATAAAAAGCATGAAATGGCCTTCAATAATTATTAACCAAAAGCTGCACTATCATTTCTTCTGCTTCCATCATTCTTGCTAATGTCTGTTGAGGAGAAGTACAATGCAATTAGTAAAGCTCAATCCAACAAGGAGGGCTTGCTTGCTTGATTCACATCCAAGTAACTATTGACCATGGCTTGGCCAATGTACTCTTTAATCACAGAGTCCTTTGTCAAGTTGTTTTGGGCCTCTTCCCAGCTGAGCAACATCCTCTGCGTGATTCCTATTGTTCAATGTTCAGATTTGTCCAACTGTGCTGTACTCTTAGTATCACTAAGATCTTTCACATCCAGCTTCTGGCTATCGTTAATATCAGACAAGCCTGCAGATAATAAACTTGCAAGCACAATGTGTGGATTTGATGTCCCATCAATGCACTTAACTTCAAAGTTACATGAAGACGGGGAGCTTGCATTACAAAGCTGAATCAGGGCCTCGCAGTTGTCAGTTCCCCAACAGACATAAGTGCCTCCAGACCAAACACCATCTAGCATCCAGCTGTAGGATGCAGGTAGAGGGAGAGTGAATGCTGCAACAGAGAGGAGGTGAGATAAGAGACCAGCAAGGAATGAAGGCTCGATAGAGGTCAATGCATTTTCTACAGATTGCAACAATTCCCCATTCATACAGCCAGGTGTACTATGGATGGAAATGTGAGCATAAGCTGCACACTTCCACCTATCCTGAGAAAGTTCAAGCTATATTGGATTGGCCAGAACCTACTCACACCAAAGGAGTTAGGGCCTTCCTTGGCTTAGGCAAATTCTACCAAAGGATTGTTGAAAACTTCACAAAGATGACAAGACCATTGAACACTCTCACAAAAAAGGATGTTATTTGGCACTGGGGCACCAAAGAACAAGAAGCTTTTGGTAAGCTTAAACATGCATTTACAATAGCACCCATATTAGCATTTCCCAAATAAGATAAAGAGTTCCAGCTAGAAACCGACTCTTCTGATTTTGCTACTGGGGCTGTTTTGTCAATCAAATACCCTGATAATCTTTGGAGGCCTTGTGCCTATTTATTGCATAGTTTCTTGCCTACAGAGCACAACTATCAAATATATGACAAGGAGATGCTAGCCATCATTAGAGCACTAGAGCATTGGCAGCATTACTTGGAAGGTGCTAGGCATCAATTTGAAATTTGGACCAATCATAAAAATCTGGAGTATTTTATGACGGCTTGGGACTTGAACCAAAGACAGGCCCGCTATGCAGTATACCTGTTAAGGTTTAATTATAAATTGATTTATAAGCCTGGTACTTCTATTGGAAAATTGGATGCTTTATCTAGAAGAGAGGACCATGGCAATTGCATTAAAGATGACAACAAATGTGTCACCCTGATAAATCAATCCAGGGTTGCCAATGTTTGAATTAGGCAGGATTCAGACCTTCTAGAAGTCTTCAAAAAAGGCATCTCATCAAAAGAGAAGTGACAAAACCGGATAAACCCGGTCTCTGCTAAAGCAGCCATTGTTCTCTATAGAGTATAGCCACCACTCCATGGAGTCACCATGGTTGTCCTAGGAGCACAATTGGACTCCTAGGAGTCATTATACTGTAGCGACAACTATAAGTAGTTTACATTACATTTATTAGAGATCACCTTAAACTAACATCTATTGTAGTTTCACTTAGGTAAATAATAAAGTCGTTTCTATAGCCTTTTGGGCAGCGGCTGAGTTTCACTTAGATTTATTAGGTTATGAGCCCTGGTGGCGCAAAAGCTACGCAGGAAATAATTCTCATTTGAAACGGCAACCTCAAAACCATGACCATAGCACACAATACATATGCATGTCCAGTTTTCACTGGACCCAACAATTTCCAGATATGGAAACTCCAGATCATCTCAAAGCTATGTTGGGAAAAGGTTCTCCGAGTTGTCACTGGAGAGGAGCTTAAGCCCTCACCAGGAAAGCCCACCTCCTCGGAGGATCCTGAAATCACCTGAATACTTAAGGATGAGAAGGCACATGGAATCATCCAGGACCACATCTCTGATGCCCTTCTAATGAGGACTGGAGACCTCACCAGCTCCAAGGAGTTATTTGACAAACTTGTTTCACTCCATCAGACGTCCAACATTGCCTCGGCCTTCTATTCATTCCAGGAACTCACCAAATTATCCTGGGATGGGATATTGCCTATCCAGGACCACATTGCAAAAATCCAGACAATTGATTCACACCTCTCTGGAATGAAACTAGGAGTTGATACTAAACTCATGGCCTTCGCTCTTCTCCAATCTCTCCCATGCACTTCTGAACGGCAAATATTTCAGTCATCGGTAATCAACACGATTGAAGAAAATAAACTTATCTTTGATGCAGTTGAAATCCAGATCACTGCAGAAGTTTCACGACAGTCAGGAATGGCCCCTGAAGGTTCTGAATCAGCACTCAAGTCCAAGGAGAAGTGGTGTAACTTCCACAAAGTCAAATCACACAATACCTTGGAGTGTTGAACACTTCAGTCAGCTGGAAAAGGTCAAACAAAGAAGGGAAAGGAGAAGCACAAGGATAAAGGAAATGATAAGTAAAAGGCAAATACAGCGGAGCAATCATCTGGATCTGACTCTGAGGAGGAACAGAGTCATATTGCATTGGAACATGTACATATTTCCAAGCCCCTTGCTAAACGCATTCAAGCTTACCTTGTGTCGGAACCTGATAAGACCAAAACAACAATCATCATTGACTCTGGAGCAATATCTCACATGGTCCCTCACCACTGTCATGCACCAAAGTTGATTGGTAGCATGGACAGGTGTCAATAACAAAGCAAATACTCAAAAAGACTCGCCTGTTATAATTTGACATACTAGCACCTAATTACGCTTCACTTTTGTACTTTACTTTTCATTTCTCCAAAGTCACATGACCAGCCATGTGACCATTTACTTTACTTTATAATTTTTGACTTTTCCAAGTCACATGCTAAAATATCGGACTTAAACCTTATTTTACAACTGTATAGTACATATGTACAAACAAACCTGTAGTAGTATATATACCCCAATAGATTAAGGAGACTCCTCAGCAAGTCCTCCTATTGTCTAGCATAACTAACTCACTGCAGCCTAAGGGGTAACCACTCCCCATCATCTTCTTTATAGTGTGTTCCTGTGTGCGCCGGAGTAAATAACTCTTGGTTGTTACATCGCCTTTGCGCCACACAGGCACAGTGCCATGTGGAATAGTAATTAATATTGCCTTTTTCAACCTTGTGGCTGATCAGCACCACCTCTATTAGGCAATCCAGTCGCGCTCACCTTTGCTTTCCATTCCGTACTTTCCGTGTTTCAGCATTTTGGCAAATTTTCGCGTCGCCACTGGCTACACATTGCATTGCGCCCTCGCCTTCATTGTTTCCCTTAATCCCCTTCCTTTGCCTAGCCCCACCATGGGCCCCTTCCTCTCATTTTTATTCTCACCTGATGGTCGTTTCTGGATCCCCATTCTAATCCACTTTTCCGTCACCTCCACCCTCCTCCTCCTCATCTTATTTGCACCCCCACCATTTCTGATGTCACCACTTCCTATCCGCTTCCGTCGCTGATCTGTTGACTACCACGTGCCACTGCTGATATCAGCAAAGCCCCGGCGGCTGGTCCAAATAGGGCAACAGGTCCATCTTTATGACGTCAATCTGCCATCATATACTATCAAAACATCGGTCGCTTGTCTTGCCTGGTTGGAGCGTGGGTGGGTAGTTTTTGAGCTGGAGAAGGTTCATCCCTTTGCCTCGCCCATGTTCATTGCTGTCCCATTCACTTGGGTACACTTATCTTTTGTCCATTGTCTTTGCTACAGCTACACCTACCACACGCTGCCTGGGACTCACTTGTTCCAAATTGGAACTACTCCTCTCCCTCCCTCGTTTGATCAGGTGGTCCAACACAACCAGTCCATTGGTAAGGCCATGGAACTGTCGGATTTGGACTAGGTGGTGGACCAGTGGCTCCAGTTTCTTTTTCTTCAGCAGAACATTCATTTACAGTGCGATTATTTTTGATTTTTGAATCATTTTTATGGACACATATTTTTTAGAATGCCTGACTGACAATAAAGGAACTGTGTTGATACTGATAGTGTTTTGCCTTGCCCTTTTTTTACTGCATCTTCCCATGATATCATGATTTTCTTGCTCTCTTTTTGCTATTGGACTTTACTTTATGGCTGTACAAACCTGTGACATCACTCACAGCATTCATTATTCTATCCCTTTCTTTCCCTTATTTTGATGATCTTATCCTGTAGCAACTACGCAGGATTTGTCAGCGTACATTCCTTCCTTCATGTTCTTTCTCATTCTTTTTGCGCAGCTATACTGTGCATAGCCTACCTTTCTTTTCACTATATAAACCCCTGTATTTTACCTTGTAAAAAAAGAAAAACAAGAACTCCAATCCAGACTTCTTCTCTACTCTCAAGTTCACTACTCTGCTACTTGTGATCCAGTGTGGTCACAACACTTCCCACTTCTACCACTGTTAACTGCTGTCATCGTCACTTCCAACTTTTGAAGTCATTGTCATCCCTTTCGATTAGAGTCCTTCTGAGCACTACAGTTTGTGCGTCAGGAGCCTGCTATCACTGGGAACCTCGTCACCTCGTCATCCTTGTTGTTCTCAAACCTACCTTGTGCTACAATTAGCAAGGTAGTGCTTGTCTATACTCGCCACAATGCCCCCTATCTTTCTATATTCCAACTATCCCTCCTCCTCAAAACCCACACCCATACATCTCTGGGTTTTACTTTGAAGGATCTTTATACGTACCACCCCACGAACAACCAGACCACTCCACTGTTCTAGGAGGCAAAGCCCATAAACAAGTTCCATGGAATCTGGGAGGATTGTTTGTTAGTTTGATTTGTGTGTGGTTTTCTAACAACAGTTCTCATCATCGACACCGGATTCATTGAATATGACATGCCGACTGGAAAACACAGT